GATGCGGTGCGATCTCCCCATGCGTTCTCATTTTATTATCTTTGTCGATTGATACCGTTAGTACATACCCAGTACATTGATTTATTTAACTTTATGATCCTGGTTTTTCTGTACACAGGATGCGTCATCTCATCTCGGTGTGGGATCCCTAAACTGGTGTTTGTTATTTCTTGGAGATGGAGGGTTGAGGCTTGGCTTGGCTGGGAGAGGCACGGAGATGGCAAAAAGTGGCGTGGTTTTTCCTTGGCCTTGGATTTGGAGATTAAATGATGTTTTCTTTTCTTTTCTTTTCTTGTATGTCAATTCACATGTGATAGACTTGCCACCGATTGGACTTTGTACTCTTGTATGTGGCTATAGGTTGAATGTAATACTGCGGACTTTCAAGTCCATATGGAGATGTCTAATGTAGTATCCCAGATGTCTAAATTCTGACAAAATTGAGCAAGGTATCTTCATGCCAAAAATTTCCCTAAAAGTCTATGTACATAAACAAAAATCCCCAAAGGCAGACCGATCCATCCCTCCAGGCCAAGAAGCAAATGTGACAAAGTAAACAGATATCAGAAACAAGAAGCCAGATGAAGAAAAAATAACGATAGGGTGAGAAAAAGGTATCATAGGTAAATTTAACGTTCATTAGGCATAGACATCCACTCGGCCGCTTCGCTGAGAGACCGAATCCTCAATGGCTCTCCCTTTGCCCTTCCCTCGATCTGCTTGAGCCTTGATAGCGCGCATTCGCTGTACGGCTTGACCGAAGTCCACAACCCCGTAGTCCTTGGGCATGTGCTCGCCGCTGTAAATGCAGAGAACGCGCATACCGGGCTTGTAGACAAGGCCGCTGAGAAGTTTGGGGGTGATCAGGAAATACTGGCTGCCTCCGCTGCTCTCGGTGCCGTCTTCGTTGTACCCTCCGTTGGCGCAGGCGATGTCGACGAGGCGGCCGTGGACCATGCGTTCGTTTCTCGGGTCCATACCTTGGTTGATCTCGTCAACCACACGGAAGGGAGATGCGGAAAGAGATTGCAGAGCCATGAGGTAGAAGATGGTGCTGACGGCTCTCTCACCACCGGATTGTCGGTGCGAGTCGAGCAGGGAAAGATTTTCGTTTTCTCGGAATTTGACGTGGATCTGGACTGACCATTGGTCAAAGTTGCTACCTCCCGATGTGTTATCAGGGCCGGCCTCGTCCTCTGCCTTGTCAAGCGAGACTTGTCCGGCGCACCCAATACGGGCAAAGGAGTCAGAGAACGCGTCACTGATGCTCTTGATAAGCGCATCGAGTTGAGGCTCCCATTTGCCCCGGATCTCGTTGATGGCGTGTTCATAATCCGCGAGTTGAGTCTGGAACTCTTCAAGTTTGCCGCGTAGCCTCTGGATCTGGCGTTCACGTTCCTCGAATTCTTTAATGATGTTGCTGCTACCACCTTGCGTGAGTTCTAAGCGTGCTTTCTCCGAGTCAATGTCCGCTTCAAGCTGGTCGACGGTATGATTAACCAAACTGGTCATCGTATCTTGCAGGTCGGGTTGAGCGCCGGCGACTTGCGCCACCTTTTGTGCCTCCTTCAAAAGCCTCTTTATCGTTTCAGCAATCGTCTTGACTTCATTCACAACCTCCTTCAGCTCGTCCTCCTTCCCTCTCAGCCTATCGCTATGCTCTTGGTTACGGGCTTTGAGGATTTCCAGGTCGGAAATCGCCTCGGCACGGCGGACGCCCAGCTTGATAAGTTCTTCATGTGCTTCGCGAAGTTGTACGACGGATTCCTGATGCAGAGTTAGCGAGAGCGCCTCACGATTGAGTATATAGCCTGGTAACATACAGCATATTTGAGAGTCGCTTCGGCCTTCTCGACAGACAACTCGTCTTGCTGATGACGAATTTCCAGAACTCTTGTCCTGATAGCATCAAAGTACTTCTGATTGTCTCTGCGCTTAGTTTCTTGTTGACCTGTTGTTTGCGGTCAGTATACAGGTAGATAACGATGAACAAGAAGGAAGTACATACGAATTCTTTCCGGAATAGCCCTTTGTTGTGTAAGAGCTGTCTGCTTTTCAGCTTTCTCCCGTTCCAGTTCATGCTACAAGAGTCAGTGTGTAAGCTAGTCGCGGATTTTTGAATTTATTCTCACCCTTTCCCTTTCATATTTTCCATGGGTCTGACCCAGCTCCGTGAGTTTGGTTTTCTCGGATTCCATGCGTTGTTGTAAATCCCGGAGCTCCTCCTTCAGGGCTGACATGGCCTGGACCATGTCTTGCTTCGCCATTGTGTCGACTGGCTGAGAAGTCCATACTTTTGCCGGTCTGACTTGTCGTACACGTGTAGACGTAGCGCTGGGCCCATATTCTCGTCGCCTGGTGACCTTGTAGCTATTTTTCCCGGCTACCCAAGAGCTAATAGACCCACTTTCCATCTGATTAAATTCTTCATCTGAGATATCGCGAAGAGTGACAGGTGTTTGATGTAACCGATTCTCACTGCATAAAACTGATAACACAGGCTCCGGACCCTTGAGAAAGTCCTTGGCCCAGCCGTCGAACCCCATCGTTTGAATTTCATCGCCCGACATCGGAGGTCGAAAGTTCTCTAGAGGAATTGAGCTGGTCTTGATACTGATGTCATGAAGTTTCATTTCGATGTTCAAGCATCTCTGAAGAGTTCTGAAATCGTTCCGACTTTGAGTGGTAAAGGCAGTAAAATCCGTTTTTTGCAGAAGCGATTCAAGCGCATCCGCGTATTTGGGATCGGTTATGGAACACTCGACAATCGGAGGGCCAAAAACCTGTTTTTCAAACTTGTCTTGTTTATCTTGTAACCATTTATAGGCCCTGAAGGAATCAGGCGAGACTTGCTTGAGCTTCGCCTCCTGCCGCCCAGATTGCGAATCCAAGCCCTTCAACTGCTGCTCTGTTTGGTGCAGATCATCCTTTTTTCTATTGAATTTTTCAAAAAGAGGTCTGCGAGTTTCTTTGATTTGTTCGGCTTGTTCTTCGAGCTCTCTCGCTTGTCGTCGTTTGGCTCTCTATGGAAAGTCAGCAAGGAAACTTGTGCTAGGATTAAGAACCCACAATCTGCTCGTTGTACCAATCGACATCGAAATCGATGGATTCGTCGTTCAGCTGACGAGTAAGCTTATTGATTGTCTGCTGAATTTTGGTTCCTTCTTGTTTATACTCCTGCGCCTGCTTCTTTTCAACGCCAATCTGGTTGTCTAGATCCTTCATGGAATCCTCATGCTGCTCGATAGTTTTCCCAATGTCTGAAGCATTGCGATCAGCGGCATCGACGCCGCGTTTCTTGAAGTCAATGTATCCGTCCAATTGCACGCAATAGGTCTGTTTCGCGTTCACTGCCCTCAATGCGGGTTCGAGCTCGGATTTCAGAGTATCAAGCTCACGGCTCACGGTGTCTTTCCTTCTCTTCACCTCCTTGTAGTCCTCATGCGTTTGCTTGTACAGTACCACCGGCCGAACAAGCTCCAGCATCTCGATCTTTCTCTTGATCTGAGCGCGCTGTCGCATTCTCTCGACATCCGCTCTTTGCATTTCCTGTCGATTCTCAAGATTCGATAGCAAGTCTCGGTCACCATGGTTGTTCGTCTGCAGTTTCTTTTGTTCGGCTCGCAAGCTTTTGAGGTTGTCGTGCCATTCGATCATTTCTGGCCCGGCAGCGGCTCGTTGCGTCGAGTAGAGCAGTTCAATTGGCGTCAAGGCGGCGAATTCGCTAACCTTGTCTTGTGGAAGGAACTGACACAGGTTGTCGATTTGGATGGCAAACGACTGAGCAAGCTTCAGCACCTGCGTGCGAGATGCCACCTTCCCATTCAGCATGAAGGTACTCTTGTTGCCCTCGCGTTTGATCGTCCGAGATACGACCGGGTTTCGACGAAATTTCGGACCCCCTGCAAGCTCTATCTCGATCGTGGCTTCTCTGCAGCCGTGTTTGACGAATTCACCAGGATCTTTCGCTCGGCCAAGGTGCTAGACAAGGAAGTAAGATAAGTAACCGAGTAGACTCAAACATAACCACTGCAGAAGACACATAAGAGCGGTGGAGATATCCTCATACCTGTGGTCCCCAGCCTAGTCCCAAACATATCGCACAGACGAGCGTACTTTTCCCTGTCCCGTTCGGCCCAATCACCATATTCAACTTCGGACCAGGGAAGAACTCCGCAGACGTGTAGGTAACGAAATCGGTAACCTTAATTCGCACAATAGATCCCGGCTTGTAAGCATCCTTCGTGCCACTCCCATCGCCTGTTTGATTTTGTGTCACGGTGCTGGCACGCTGGACGGGAGGCCTCGTAGTCTGGGTTTTCTGAGTGGAAGAGTTTTGCGCAGAGGATTCTTCATCGGAGTCCTCTTCCCTAGCATCTTCATCCTGATCCTCATCGGCCTCATCCTGCTCGTCCTCGTTGTCGTCGTTTTCCTGCGCGCGCCCGCCAGGCGTATTCTTTCCTTTGTCCCGCGGCGCGGGATTCAAAGAATTCTCCGTGGAGGATTCACCATCCGAATCCTCCTGGCTGGTACTATCGCCGGTATCATCATCGTCGTCATCGTCCTGCTCTGCCCTCGCAGCCTCCAATCGGATGCGTTTGCTGTTATTCGAGGCATGAGAAGAGGGCGGGGGGTTTCTCGTAGAGACCGAGGATGTCTCGTCGCTTTCGCTGTTATCGTCATCCTCGTTGCGCGGTCGACGACGCGGTATTAAAGTTGAAGAAGACATGGATAATCGTTTAGGCACGAGTGGCCCACTGCAATGCGCAGAGAGTACCTTTGACAGCGAGAGATCGCCTCGTTCGGAGAAAGTGACTTCAACGCGGATAACGCGACGCGGCGCCAGATCATGTGGGTCGCCTCAATGGGAAGGCATCAATCTATCACCAGGTACGGTAGGCGGTGTAGAAGGGCAGTTTGGAGACGATCGGCCAATTGGAGAGCGGAGGATTCGGATATTGACAGCGACCTTCTCCGGGGAATCAATTGAATTGGAAACCATGGCTTCGAATGTTAAAGCTAAGCGTCTTGTTCTGACCGCTGCCGTGACGTCGATCACCATTGCGGGAACGCTTTACGGCGCCGGTCTCAAATCGGGACAAGAAGTTACCCAGGTATGTTTGCTACGATGCTGCTTCAAGTTTGACGGCGATGACTTACGTTGTCTTGTCTCCGTAGGCAGCTCAAAAAGCACGGGAAATATCGATCGATGAGCGCATCTCGGCACTTCGGAGTACGCGACAGGAATTGACGGGCAAGAAACATCACGTGGAGAAGCAATTGAGGGATCTGGAGGTCCGAATCGAGGAGCGAAAACGCAAGAACATCGATGGCTTGAAAAAGGAACCACCTCATAATTGATAGCTGAATTCTGTGTCTACGATCCTTCGAGGTGACGAGGTATCGTTGAGAGACATACTTCCCTCAGTGCCAATGCCGGACGCATGTGAGCGCTTCCTTTACAAGTGGATGAGTGTTTGATCAAAACCTGCCGCTCATACGGTTCAAGCGCCTTGCCATCATCGATTCGATTCTCTACAGCCACGAGATTTTTGCGGGTAGAGTTCCGACCTCCAAATGCTTCCTCGCCACGGGAACCTGAAATTACACTGTCGCTGAGGGGGCAGAAATAATTCGGACACTCCTGCTAGTTTGCGGGAGCTCAGAATCTCGGATAAACCATCTCACGACTGTTGGTCCTGATTGCCTGGGAAATTGCGACCCGAGAAATCCATTTATGTCCACAATACTGAGGAAATATGCCCTGTCAAGGAGTTGAATGTGGTCGACATACGCTCACATTGAATGACAAGAAATTCAATCACTTCAACTTGCCTTATCTGGACATTTGGGTGGATCTGTACGTCAAACCATTGTCTTCATATCCAAAATGATGTAATAATATTATAATGAAATATAAAAAGATTGTCCAAATGTTAAGACCCTAAAGAATATGTCGTTTCCCGTTTATCCAATAGAAAGAATAATAGCTCATAACTCGTTAATCATCCAAGATGCCTCGTGCGAGAGCGGCAAGGCTGGCCTCATATCTTGCCGGGTTGTGGTCACTGAACATGCCGGAACCGAATCTCAACTCTCCAAAAAAGGACTCGACGTCCCGAATGAACTTAAGCTGTACTCGTGTTGCCGGGCGTCCGAGTTGCGGGTGCCCGTCCGAACCCATATCAGTTGTGAATGCGCTTCGCTGAAGAACGCGCATGGTCTCAACCACAAAGACCTCTCCGGGAGGCATCAGTTTAGGCGCAATCATTTCTTCCCGGAGCATTTTCAGTGTCCGCCATGCCCAGACATCTTCTCCGAGACCATCGCCAGCATTCAGAATCATAGGCGGTTCATTCACGTAGAACTTGTTCAAAATGCTCTGTCGAATGTCATCCCAAAATCGACCGCGCACGTGTGATCTGGCACCGGAAGTATCGTCCTTGAATGCCACGGATACAGTATGCATGTCGTGCAAAATGCCCAGGGAAAGACTTGGGACCACATCCTGACCATTTACTACCGTCGTAATCAATCCGCGGGTTGCACGTCGAAGGAAAGGAGACATGGTCGCAGGTGGACCATATGCGTAGACATGTATGGGGCGTCCTGGAGGGAGGTAGTAGGCTGCGTGGTCGGTTATATCCCCGTTCTCTGTCAGGAGCAAGAGCTTCTTGCTGGAGTGCTGAGAAGCAGTCATGAATGAGGTCCCGGGTTCCTCGTTATTAGGTTCCGAGATCATTGTCGCTAGCAGTGCAGCCACTCCTCCGCCCAATGAATGACCGCAGAATACCACGCCATACTCGGGGAATTCTTCCAGAGCAGCCCTTATAGTGATCATGACTTTTCCACCTCCACCCATCAGAAGACGCTTTGCGGATGCATGCATGCCCTTGTGGACTGACCAGCTTTTCCCTTGCCACATTAGATCATCATAATCGCAGGTCATATCTGTAAGGACGTCTTCAAATCCCCATGTTCCTCTTAAAGTTAAAACAACAGCCTTCGATTCATGATCCAGAAAGAGGTAATGAACAAGGGGATAACCACTGTCGGTCTCTCCAGCAGCATTAGTCCCACCGGCAGTGTCAACAAATGATGAAAGAAGAATAGTAGAAGCTGGTAGCCCTGTGTGGTCCGAGAAATCGGCATGCTCTCGGCTATCTGATTCTTGATAAGGAAGTCCGTTTCGCGCTCGTGGAACTCCCATAACTTTGAGAGCATTAGATCCGTAAGAAGCCGACGAGAAGCGACAAAAGCGCCGAATATTTTGCACGAAATGCTTTCGGGGAAAGATACCGGGAACCATGCCATCTCGGTTCAATGCTTGAATGGTGGCAATATCATCATAAGTACTCTTGCGCGAGCGATGAGCAAGTATCAATGACGTCTCCGACCCTGCTGTAGCCAATGAATATAAACCAGGAGAGTATGAATTAGTTCTTTCATGCATATAAGAAGATCCCGGGCGGCTATCTCCATTGACTGACAAAGTCATATCATTTTCAGACCTTGTCAGAGACATAGAACTGCTGCTGCGAACATGGGCTCTCATAGTAGCTGGGGATTTCGAACGGGAATCCATTGAACGAAGAGAATATGCATCTGTTTGAGTGACAAATGACTCTTGGTTCTTCTCGTAGACGGAATAATACCCTTTCCCCGAATTTCTTCCACCCCCTCCGCCTCTTGCGTTGTCGCGGCGCGTGGTTGGAGAGGAGGAAAGACCCGATCCGGAGTTTTGTGATGGGGGTGATCTTTGTAAGCCTCTGTTGGCTATAGACGTAGGCTTAGCAGGCGATAAACTCTTGTGTGGTCTTTCACCAGAGCCAAGCTTCGAGTCAGGCCCTTGTGCTGAGGATTTGCTTTAGTAAATAGGGAGTCCCCATCTTTCAGGAATAGGGAGCCTGGGGGTCTTGTTTTGCTTACCAGAGCTCGTTGAAAATGGTTGTACGTTGAGTTTACCCGAGGATGGTTTGGGTAATGGTCGCCTAGCAGTCTCGTTCTTCTCCGCGTGGGTTGGCTTGACCTTTTGTGCAAATTTCGACAGGGAGCTTTTTTTAAATGTAGTCTTGGGGCTTGTTTCCGAACTGTTTGAGACACGAGAAGACACGGCAGGTTTCCCGTCCTCGGCATTGTGCCTAGCAGTTTGCACTGTTCGATCACGAGAAGAAGACGGCGAGCTTGGCTCGGATGGAAAACTGTTGCGGTTGTGAGAGGGGCGTTTTACTCTTCTCGTGGGAGAAAAGCTGCCGTCCGGCGGAGACCGGTTGTTAGTTACGTTGTCGGAGCTATCTTCGATGATTCCTGGTTGAATATCTCGTGGTATTTCTGTGTTGCCGTGTGCTCGAGGCGTCGTCGTCGAAGAACTCGGTGGTTCCAGCTCAACACCATGTCCGCGTAGACTAGAGACGTCTGCGCATTGTGACTTGTTAAACGCCGTTCTAAATACAACAGTGTGTCTAGGAAGTTGCTGTTGACCCGACTTCGTGCTCAGAGCTTGATCATCATGAAACCTTTCCTCAATCATCATTGTCCCTGGTGGAGGGGCGATTTCAGCAGTGTCATCATCAAATACATCAACGGTGATGGTGCGTGCTGTTACCCAGTCGGTTTTGATTGAAGCTCTGCAGCCACGCGGAAGCTGGCTCATTATGTACAAGCGGATATCTTCATCTGAGACCTCGCTCTGGTTAGGTAGAGTCAGGAACGGCCGTTCCGTCGTATCAGCCACGCTCCTAGGACGCTGCACAGCATCGAAAGCCTCTTCCTCCTGTCCAGGAGATAGGAATGACGAGCGTTTGGTCTCTTCGCCCAAGTCATTGTATCGATGCCGTGCTGGTACAAGTTCGTGAGACCCAACCACATCTGCTCGCAACCCATTGTCAAGGATGACGACATCCCAGATAGTCTCGTCTCCACCATCATCGTGGATGTGTCTCTCGGTACTTTTCCTGCCCCAGCGTTGTAGCATAGCAAATCCCACAGTGCCAACCAAGAGGTCACCAACGCCGACTTTTTCCGTGCCGGCATCAATACTCGGGCTGCGAAACTCCCGTCGGATGAGCGTTATGATTGCCGCAATGGCTCTAGAAGATTCCGTCGAGCCCAGAGTGGCATCGAGAGTGGACAAGAGGGCCTGAGACATATGCGTAGCAGAAGAGAGAGTTGTAGACGACATGTGGAACGTGGCAGCCGCAAAGAAAGAAGCAGACGTGACTGTCGTGTGTAAAGCAGCGAGCTAGATGTGAATTAGCAGCGGAAATTTGGAAAGTGTCAGTACTTGGTGTTTATCATACACTTCTCTCCAACAAAGATTCGGCCTCTGCTTTGCCATGTTCGCTACTGCGAATTGCAACGTCACGCCCAGCCCTCGTCAAGACTCCTTCGATAATTGCTCTACTAAGCTCCAGCCCCGTCAGGGTCGTGACTCTGGCCCCATCAAGGGCCACACCACCAAAAAACGAACCCACGCGGAGCCCGAGCGATGTGGACTGCGTCAGGAATGATACCACGGAGGAAACTGGCCGCGGAAGTAGGGTCATTCCCGAAGTCGCGGGTGCATGGCTAGCACCGTCATGATGGGTCACATCCACATCCCCGTCGGGTCGAGGCCCGGGATCAGATCGCCTGAACAGGGGTACAAGGCCCCAAAGTCGAGTCATTCCGAGTCGATAGAGTGCAAAATTGAGCGAGATTTGTTTGTCGCATTGAGAGCAAAGTAAATCACAGCCATGAGCAGATGAGATTCTCGAGCCAGATTACTTGCTTTGGCACATTTGATTTGCTTGATAGATAAGAGAGGCCAGGGACCGAGGGGGGAAGTTCTGGACCCCAGCCAGCCAAGGGTTGCGTCAGTGGAAGGTTCCTGACTGGCGGCCAAGCGGCGTGTAGATCAACTGCAGGTGGCAGCAACAGTTCCTTTTAGGGGGAGAACCCGGCTTGACATGTGATTCCTGCATTCGATCGGATTTCCACTGCCACTGTTGCCTTGATGCCTTAGTGCCTGAGTGCCCAGGGGTGCCTTGCTTCCCCGAGCTCCACGTCATCTTCTTTCCGTCCTTCCGCTTCTACCCCGGAATTGATCATCTCCTCTTTATACTGAGTAATTTTATCCTTGGTCTTCAGTTGATGTGAATCTTTCTCTATTCGGAATTATGTGCATAAATTTCTAAAATTTACATCGACCGTCATAATGATACTTTTTGTCCTACTATAGCATCGCTTTGGTGTCTCCAGGATATTGAATCTTCCTGATCCTGTCTGGAGTGCACTCGGCCACCGTCCGGATTCCCGCCAATCCCATGTTCTGCCATAAGTCCGCTAACAATCCCCTCAGTACGGCCTTCGCTCCGTTCTTTCCATCAACAGCAAGGCCGTAGATCGCTGGTCGGCCTACAAGGACTGCCTTAGCCCCCAGGCACAGCGCTTTAATGGCGTCGGAGCCAGTCCGAACCCCCGAGTCGAAGAGAACAGTCATCTTGTCACCGACTGCCTCGACAATTTCTGGAAGAACTTCCAAAGACCCAATCGCACCATCAACTTGTCGGCCTGTACGGTTTTAGTCTGTTATCTCTTGCCAACGTCTTCCAAGCAAAGTATACTTACCTCCATGGTTAGAAACAACAATGCCGTCGCATCCAGCATTCAGAGCCAGTCTAGCATCCTCCACATGCTGAATTCCCTTCAACACAATGGGACCGTCCCAGTTCTTTCGGAGGAAGGAGACATGCTCCCATGTGTGCGGTCGGCCAGGGAACACATCCGAGGTCCACGCTCTAGAAGCACCAACAATATCATCCTCGATCTTGTTCCCGGATTCCTGTTCGAATTTCTTCCGAAACACCGGATCGCTGAAGCCAATTTGGTTTCCAATCCCCTTGATAAAAGGGATGTAAGCATTGTCGAGATCCGCTGGTCGCCAGGCAAGCGACCACGTGTCGAGGGTAACAACCAGGACCGAGAAGCCGTTGTCCTTTGCGCGTTTGAGTAGCGATAGTGTAACGTCGTCGCTCATCGGCCAGTAGAGCTGGAACCATCGTTTCCCGTCGCCGTTTGCCGTAGCCACTTCCTCGATCGTGCTGCTGCTGGCCGTGCTAAGGATGTATGGCACTCCGGCCTCCGAACAGGCCTCCGCTAGCCCGGTCTCCTTGTCATCGTGAAATAGGCATTGCACGCCCACTGGTGCCTGGAGTATTGGATTGGGATACTCCTGCCCGAATAAGTTTACCGTGAGGTTTTGGTTATCCAGCTACAACATGTCACTAGCTGTTCTTTGCGATGATTGATCGAATAGACAAACCTGCTTCATCATCCTCGGGATCCTACCTAATATTAGCTACCATCCCACTTCAATTAAAACATACAGAGCCCGATTGAACACACAGCTCAAGAATGACTTACAGCTTCCACTGCCGAAACGCCAACCGATTACTATCCATGGTCGCCTTTTCTCCCGCGCCTCCAGCAATATAATTGTACGAGCGCGCACTTAGCGCCTTCTTCGCCTGCTCTTCAAGCAGCCTGGGATCTGTTGTAACGGTCGGCAGAAGGCCCATCATGGCCCCACGGCCGTAGATCTCCGTTTGATAGTCGCCGTACTTCTCGCCCATGATGATAGGGAACGTGTTATCAAATTCAATTCAATCCAAGCAATTTATGAGTATTATGCCCAACAGGATCAGAATCAAAGGATTGAATGTACTCGAATCTAAGTTTCCATGTGTCAGAGGTATCCCTCCCCCTTCTTATTCTCTCGGCACGTGGAACTGATCCGACCGGATTTGCCTCGGGAAGCAGGGATGCGGCAGTTGACGTCAATCGGTGATCTCATCACCAACAACATAAAACATCTAGACTTATACGTACTTGATTTTCTAGGATGACCGTAGGTTTCCTCTTCGGGATACTGCTGTTTTAATAAGGGTGCTAAGAGATCTATCTAATAAATGTTTTATATCACAGATTACTACTACCTTAAACTAGAAGACGGCAAACGAGCAGCCCAAAACGGCCGCAATCGACGCCGTTTCTGGCCAATCTGCCAGGCCTTCCGCCACTCCCCCGTGCACTTATGTCCACGCACCGCGAAGCACCGTGTGTAGACCCACTCAAACCTCATTTGTCCGCAGCGCAGTATACCTTCAGGGCCACTCTTCTGGAGGCCGGCCAATGCTAACTTCACATATCCTTCGCTGCGGTCTCCGAAACACTACAAATATGGCGGCCTCTTTAATCCGGGTCGTGTCGGTCAATCTTGCCTGACTTGTAGGAGCCGCCGCTTTATAAAGTCACGGCGGAGTTCCTCCAATATTGGATACATAGTTGGATCGCCCAGTTTTAGGGCATGATAAAACTGTTTATGCCCCTCTCTTAGACCTCCTTCATTAAAAATGTCCGTTCCATCAACGAACTCTAGCATATACGTCAAAATTGCCAACCAGTAAGTCTCGCGGGTAGTTCCGTAATCTCGACAAAGCAAAAGGATAAGAGCCTCACAGTATCTCGAGGCACTAGGGATTCGGACGGAACTTAGGTGTGGAAAACGCCCTCGACCGCGACCTAAAGTAGCTGGAGGAAGCCTCGCGTCAGATGCGAACATAATGTCCGCACTGGAGTCGTGGAAAGCAGCCTCAAATTCTGGGAATTCCCAAAGCACATCAGACTTTTTGTGCAAAAATATCGCAAGCTCATCATCGATATGTAGGTGCTTATAGGGTGGCTGGCATTGAATTGAATTTGAATGTGGGCAGTCTAAATATCGCGAGCAGAGATGAAAGCCAGCCTCAGCGATGGTGGAAAAGGAGATTTCGATAAGTGCATCGGGTACGACGAAGGACACGTCCTTCATAGTGTTAGTGATGTTCGAAAACCAGTCATTTCTGGACAGGATACTAACATCAACAACCGTCGGGACTCCGTAGACAGTTAACAGATAGTTGCCCCAAAGCAGATTCGGGACATTAATAACGTCGAGAAGGGAAGATATTGATGTCACTAGGTCATTATCTAGCTGTTGACCGTTGAAGTGAAAGGTAGTCATTGCGGATAGGAGTATGGGCGATGGAGATGGACGATGAAGCAGAGTGCAGACACGGTCAGCCTTTTAAGTGGACGTCCGTATGTTTACGGACGATTGAGCACATGAGAGGGTGTTATCGTTGGGACGTGACTATGTCCATTTGTGGCTTAGCTCACTAGTTTACGGACACTAAGCTGAACTTGTTACTGCTGCAACACTAGAAGCTGTTCGACTTGTTTTGGGCTGAAAATAAAATGTCTTATATATGTCTGACAGGGAGTTGAGGAATTTAGAAGCTCCCATTTACGAGAGTCTGAAAAGGGAGGAGTTGCATGATATAGGCTGATGTAGATTAGTGTGTCGTGAGTCATGAAGAACACGTGTCTAGGTCATAGGAACGATATTACCATGCATTTTCTCTGATTAACACGCCCCATAACTGAAAAAAGCGACCGCGGGAGAGTTAGAAAAAGGGAAAGAGGTAGGCTCCTTTGTAGACCGTCACAGAGATTATAAAGGTTAGAGTACAATTTCTATAGATCCGGTGCTTTCTATAGCTTGGCCACGTATACAAGCATCACCACGAGTTACTGATTGCTATACTTTAGCATATAAATGATTACAATGCTTTAATCGAGATCCTAGTTAATTTTTTTATAGAAATGCAATTGGCCAATTAATAAAAGCTGTCTGGGATCGAATGCCTAACTCAAACAATGGTCCGAGACAGAGATTTATGGTAGCTTGTTTCTTCTCCAGCCTTTTTGCCCCGAGCCGGTGGGATAGTGCCATACTCCGGTGGTAATCTTCGCCTGACAAATCAGTGAACAAAGTAACTATGCCACACATGATTCCTTTGTCATCGAGCCAGAATCTTGGGTGGGATGCCGGTATGACACCAGTTTTAAGAGCAACAGTGTTGCTTTAACATTGAGCATTCCCACCAGATAAAAATACAACACAAGCAACAATCACAAGGATAGTAGGTACCTTTTTTCATCAAGAACGAAAATCCACAATCATTTCAACAACATGAGCTTCGCCCCCACCGACGACAACCAAGAAATCTACTATGAATCCCACGGCACCGGCCCAACCACCCTGGTCTTCGTGTCGGGCTACTTCGGTATCGCCAACCTGTGGCAGCCGCTAATCGCCCGCCTCAGCCCCAAGGGATATAGATGCATCGCCCACGACAGCCGCGGGTACGGGCGATCCTCCAAGCCCACCGACTCAACGGCCTACAGCATCCCCCACCACGCAGCCGATCTACACGCCGTCCTCGCCGCCGCGCGCCTCCCCGATGCCACAGAGATCGTGCTAGTGACGCACTCGATGGGCGGGAATATCGCCGTCGCCTATTGTCTGGCGCACCCGGAGCGCGTCGCCGGCCTGATCCAGACGGCCACCTACTTCGACGGGCCGCGTATCCAGAAGATTCTAAGCTACGAGATGTTGACCGCTGGCGTGGAGAGTCCCGCCATATGCGTCGAGTTCTATACCGCAATGGGCCTTGACAGGCCGACCGCGCTGGAGGCCGCCAAGTGGCCGGCCTATGCCCGCCGACACAAAGCTAAGGCGCTACTGGCGTGGGAGATGGGGGACCTGTATACCACCTTGAAGATCCCAGGGCTAGTGGTCCAGGGTGATCTAGATCAGGCGAATCCTATCGACTCCCTAGCCAAACCTATCGCCGATGCCATGCCCAACTGCCGCTTGGAGGTGCTCAAGGGGGTCATGCATTTTCCGCCGACGGAGGCACCGGAGGAGTTGGAGAGGTTGATTGAGAAGTTTGTGCGGGACTTGTAATGGGTTTCTTTTGGTGCTATGAGGTATGGAAAGGAGCTGCTGAGAGTTCCGGGATGCAGCCAACAAATATGTCTTTGTTAGACTTGGGTTCTGTGCTTCGGACTTCAGATTTAAAAATCTTAATCTGTAACTATAAAGGTTTAATATAGATTTAGTATGAGTTTTATCAAGAAGATTGTATAGTACTGATTAGTATCACTTTATTTAAAAAAAATTCATAGAATAAAACAAATCAGCTGTCATCTTGATCTACATGCTTGCTGTATGTACAAGGCTTGATTAATGGGTTAAGCAGGGATATCTAGGTCAAACCTTTTTTTTTTCTGCTGGCTATTTTTCGGGAGCAGCGTTTACTAGGGCGAGAAGGGCTATGAGTGACACTGCATACCCGGCACTGCTAGATATGAATGGGTCTGTCTATAGGCATGACGTTTAGCTTTGTCACAAATTGATAAATTAGGTATGCGTGTATAGTTTTATTGTGGCGCCTCATCTAATATGTCTTGCCAGATGTCCTGGGATAAAATTAGCAAAGTTATTCAGAAAGAGAAGAAAAAATAATTGTCGGTTGACTTGGTCATTGCCCTAAGCAGATATCCTATCGATTCAATGGAATGTAGGTATATGCTCGGTGGGTAAAAGTGAAGTGTCATTTCTAAACTACAATCTGCCTAACTATTTATAGTTCCACTTGTTTACACCTATGCATTCCTGATCCCTTGGTACGCCATTTGGAATGGTAGGCCAAGTCTAGACCAAGCAAGGTGCTGTGCGGTATGTGGATTAGGTCAGGATACTCCACCTCTCTGGCCTGGTTGACAATATTGTTCCAACAATAATTAACGAAACCATCATCATATTGCCTCATCGTGCCTGGCAATGCCGTTCATCCCCATCGATCCTTCACATTTGCACCAGCTTTGTTGTCTACTCCGTAAGAGGATCTGCACCACTGCACTGTGACCCATTTCACTCGCCTCATGTAATACAGTCTGAATATCGGACTGGGATTTCCGAGCATGGTATCGTGGACAATCATACTAGTTAAAGAAAAATCAACTGACCAATCAAGATTACGTAACCAGAAAAGCTTTAACTAACTAACCTAACTAACTAACTAAGTTAGTTAAAAGGAAAAAAAGAAGCCCGACGCAAGACTCACTCACTTGCGACCTTAATATTAGACGGGATGATTGGTTAGTAAGATCCAGAGGATGGGATTTGTGAGGTTAACTAACAGTATTACGCTCTTCTGACTGAGTGTATTTAATCCAGTTAATCGTGTATTTTTGGCCCACAAATGTGCATGCTCAGTCAACAAAAAAGTAAGGAGCCTCGCTCCCGAAATACAAGCCCAATGCGGGGAACCCGCAGCCTTACGATCACCATCCACAGCATGGAGGCCTCGTATAAGAGAGACCTGGCACTTCTTTTTAATAAGTGGAAATCCACCAAAAATAGAACTCATACTCTACCGATTAAGTTGATACATTAATGTTTTAACAGAGGAGCCAAAAGCTATTGTAATGAGCTTGTTTGGGATTTTCTTTTCTGTTGGACGTTATACATAGCAATTAGAATGAAGGATTATGATTTCCGATTGATAGAATCCACTGTGTCCTCTGAAGTATCTAGTCATTGAGTATGACTCTGATATGCTTTAAGTAGCACTTTTTGACAACTGGTTCTTATCTAGCCCGGCTAGCTCAATCGGTAGAGCGTAAGACTTCTACTTTTGATGGAATTCCACTTAAAAAAAGAAGTGCCAGGTCTCTCTTGTGGGAGGCCTCCACGTTGTGGATGGTGATCTTAAGGCTGCGGGTGACCCCCGCGTTGGGCTGTTTATTTTTTCACTGGACGAGCACATGCAGCTCCCGCGAATCTGGAATTTAATTTGTCTAATAAGGAAGAGAGTCAAATTCAAAGCCTTATAGCAGATTGGCAGTTAGTGTTCATTTATCATAGAAGCCCGACGCAAGACTTGTAACCTTAAGATTAGTCTTCTTCCGCCGGGCAATGTCCGTCGCATAAAAAAGGCGCCTCATCCACTTAAAGGGGCCCCCTACTGGTCTAGATCTTCTACAACTATGTCGGTATCATTTTATATGACTGTCAGAGTCTACCCAGCTGCTATAACAAAACTCAGTTTGCATACAATGGTCTCTATTTGTGGCGACCCAACCACCCACCATCTTATGTATAATATGCGTAAAGATAATGAATGCTACTCGCGACATAATGAGTTTCTGGAAAATCCTCTTTTAGGATTAGGGGAAATAGAGGAAAAGAGGATTAAGTTGGTGGTTGCGATGATGATGTTAGCAACTTTCCTACAGGCTATATCAGTTCTAGTGGATCTACTACAAGCGAGTGCCAAGTCCATTCAGCCAGGGCATGTCATCAATCCATTCATCAAATACGTTATTGGATTCCAAACCCGAGGTAGTCGACCACCGGAACATTTCCGGCGAAAGCATAGTCCTAATGATTTTAATTAGGACGATTTAATGCAGATGTCGAGAGGGGACAGTGAAAAGGTTACTTACTGCAAATGCCGAAGTATCGGATACGCCTTGACACAGATCGGACTCCTCGCACGGAGAGCTTCTATTCTCGAGACGGCCGAAACGAAAGCCGCACGATACGACGAGGTGTCGAAATCACCCGGCTACATGAGTAGACACGACGCCAGCACCACTGCCCCATGTAGCGCACAGAAACTCGTCATCCCGTAGACATACCAGCGATAATGTCTTAAGCGCGGGATCTCGTAGAACAGGCGATGGATTTCAAGCAAGGCAGCGCCCGAGGATATACATTTTAGCTGTGAGTCTACACGACAGGGTCCAGCGGAGCGAGGACGACAAAAGGCTCGATGGATGAGGAGATAGAGCTGATGTGCGTATTGTTGCAGGATGCACCAATGAGCGTAACTGGCGATGTCGAGGACACTGGGCTTCCCGTCGATTAAGCACTTGGCGTCCCACTGGGCCTGCTCGCTGGCAATTTCTGAATCAAAGGAGACAAGAGCATGCTCGTCTAGTCTGGAGTCGCTGGAGAGACGGTGACAGATGCGGCTGGAGAATTCGAAGAGGCGAAATTTGAACATGATGACGGACACCTGGGTGGGTTGGCTGGATGGCTGGTGGATTCCATCGTCCTAGATATCGCTGTCGTTGACATCAGCGGGTATCGTTCGTTCTTTTTCGAGGAGTGAGGATACGTCCACATCTCGGAAAAGGATTGCCTGGTAGGTATGAAGAAGCAAGATACCGGCCCAGCAGCGACGGCGACGCTCGAACTCAATCCAACCCATATTGAAAGGCTTGTCCTTAATATTGCATCGTAGAGCGATTCCTATATTTAGGGCCATTCCTGACAGAGACGTCAACCCTAGAAGATTCAGCTGAATAGAGGAATGTCATACCTAAAAGTACCCAGGTCTGTTCTACCCCGTCATTGTGGCTTATTGAGTAGATGAGGATCAAAAGAGTTTCGAGGGTATTCAGGGAATGGCGAATAAGAAACTGATCTTGAGACAGGCACATCATCGCCAATTTCCTGAAATGGGAGGCCACCGAGCGGAGACCCTTATGACGAAGCTCACGAGCCCAAAGCTCAGACAGAATGATATCATCATCCTCAATTGTGTAAAGAATCATAGACAATATCGTGAAAAGTAACGCCAACCATGAAAGATTGGCTTCCAGCGGGCTGTCCAAGAATTGGTTACACTGCCTTTGGAAGGTTGGACCGTGCAGCACATGGAACAAAGGCGAAAGACGCAGAAAGTATTGGGATATCAGATAGCCGCAACATTCCTGCGGTGGAAGCTGGGCTAGTAGATCTCCTTTCGGAATCGGAGGTCCAATGGAGAATGGGAAATAAGAACCCTCCAGCTGAGTTACGGCAGGCTCTCTTTGATCAGCAGGAGGAGAACATAGCTCAGTAGTAAGCTTCTCGAATACTTGATCCCAGCGAGCATGTCCTTCACTAGCTGCTCTATCTTCTGGTGTCTCATGTTCTCGGCGCGGAGATAGTAGTACATGACCGGTACTCAGTACCGAAGAGACTGTAGATGGCAACAGCAATCTCGTGTCTGTTTGCGTAGAAGACACAGTAGAACCTTTCGAAGCAGAACCAGGGTATATACAAGAAGGCACCAGATTTCTTCGCCGGCATGTTGCACACGGCTGCTGTCGATCACATCGGAGTTTGGACTCCCTGCAAGGGGTACAACTGATGGGCTTTCGCTTCCGACGAGGACGGAATTTGGTTGCTTTCTGTGCGGAGATCTCGGCTGTAGGCGATGATGAAAACATATTTGCCTTATCTCGGAGACGAAATCATATCAGATGGACTTCAAGGCTTAATTAAGCTAATTCTGGAATTTACATGAACGTCCGAGACGGGAGAGTCGGCAACGTCGGAGACCTTGGAGAAGAGTGAGCGATGGATCGGAGTTAAGATCGGACTTTTCCCAATAAAAAACTGTATTCTTAGAATCTACTATTCCCAACATCAAAATCCCACTACCAACTTAAAACCCCCGCCAAATTAGCGATAAAGGCGCAAATAAATCGGAACAAATCCGAGATAGTGTCACTCTTCAGCGGCATAAGCCAAGGGCCGGAAATTAAGACTAATCATAGCGATATAATTGCCCACACATTGCCTGCACTTCTATCCCTATATGTTTGTCACAGCATGAAGCATACGTCTCAATCCTTCATCTAAAACATGTTTGGGATGCGCGACAACTAACCGAAACCAACCCGGCTCTTCGCTGGCAGAGGTAGCCCCGGAAGTGATGTAGACCTTCTCTGCGCGAAGCCTCTTCATAATGTCCTCGTCCGTCTCCTTCTTGTCTTTGACAATGGCCTTAAGATTCATCCATATAAAGAGAGCCGCATTTGATTTTTGATACGGAATTCCATGGTCTTGAAGGAATTTGGCCACATGCTGGTAGCTTTCAGACAGCCGTGCTCTGTTCAGAGCGATGAACCTATCCGTGTACTCGTCATTCATTAGAAGAGATGCCACCGTTTTATCAGCAAGACTGGAAGGGAAACTGAAAAGTCTGATCAAGAATTGTCAGTATTAGGATCTGGTGTCCGTATACTCGAACGAGAACTCACGAGATGCTTTCGCATGCATCTAGAAATTGTCTGTTTGACTGACTTATCAGAGCTCCTATTCGCAAGCCTGTCGCCCCGAAGTCCTATCTAACGTTGAATTTGAAGCCATACTGGAGCAGGGGACCGGAAGGACTCACTTTACTCATGCCCCAAACAGCATGCACCATTTCAGGATCCATGAATTCTTTTGCGTCAATCGACAAAATTGACCTGAAAGGAACAAGGTCTTTACTATCTGGTGTCTCCCAGACAGAGAGTCCATAGAGCTCGTCACATATCAAATGGAGGCCAAATCTATGGCAAAGCTTCATGTATGCCTGTAAAACTTCTTCGGCGTAACATCGGCCTGTGTAAACGTTAGCGAGCAGTGATGAAGGGAGCTTTTATTGAAGTGACACACCTAACGGATTATTTGGAGAGCATAACAAAATTGCCTTAATATTCTTGCCTGCGTGTGTTGACTGCTCCAGCACTTCCCCGCATCGGTTAACAGCTTCCAGACTGAACGGATCTACTGGCCCAAATTCCACCTCAACGATGTTGACACTGCTATAAGTTAGCCTGATCCGAAAGCCTTGGTGTCAGTCTATCAATGATGTACCCAGCACGGTTACCAAGCATGGTCCTAAAAGTAGTCCAGTAGGGCCGTCCAACGAGAACATGGTCGCCGGGGTCACACAGAGCCCACGCACAGTTCTCGATCGCATTGCTGGCTCCAGATGTGACGACCATATGAGCAGGGATGAGAGACTTATGGGGCTGAAAGTGCCGGTTCAGAAAGTGGCACAGCGCCTCTTTCAGCTTGATTGACCCGGAGAAACCATCCCCGTACGTCAAAGCATGGCTGTCAGCGCGAGGCTACAATCATGTCATTATCGGTAATCCAAAGTTGTTATACCATTTCATGATATAGAGGAAGGGAAAAGCTACCTGCAGGTTGATAAAATCTTTCATTTCTGATTGCATTAGGCCCTGAACCAGTCAGCCAATGAGTCTATATACGGCAGAGCACATTCCGTTCTTACATTCTCTGCAAGTCCGAGGTTCACAATGCCGTTGGGGTTCGACTCAGGGTCCCAAAGATCCTTCAAAACGTCAAAGAAACCCGGCATCTTAGCGACAAGAGCGAGTCCTCGAGAGGATACGGCGTGCATGTTGTTTGAATGTATCTCTGCGCTAGACATGACCACTGTTGTAAGAAATTATATCTGCACTTCTTTTATCCTTATTATGCCCAGTTTTATGGGTCACTAGTAATAATAATTTGGTGTCAACACCCGAGTGATTTAGTAAGTATTAAGAAAAATAGTTGACTGTTAACTCATTTCTCAATTTTCGAGATTGAAAGCTGTAGGGTCAAATGGGTGGAGCGTCCTCAACCCTTTATGCAATCCCAAGGTTCGCATGAGGTGGGGCGTTGGCACATCTCCGACGCCCTCTGAGAACATCTCCGGCGTTACGCCGATAGGTATACTTCGCCGATTCGTCATTAGATGATTCCACTGCAGACTTCCGGTGAACATAAATCACACCAATCTTATCAGATTATCAAATTAAGGCAGAGAGGGGACATGGGATACATCGGAAAACGAAAGTACCATACTGACATCTCCGAGTCAAAACGAATTGGTGATGGCCGTGCACATGAAATTGTGCGCTCCCCACCTATTTGAGCTTCGGAGATGAAGGGCCTGCGTACAGAATGCCCGATAGATGTTGAGGGAATGGATGGGCCCATGCAACGATCTGATAATGCGAGACAGGCCTTACCGGCTTAGCCTGAGCTATAGTGGATGGACCAGAAAAATGTATTTAAGGACGTCAAGTTCCCCTGATAGTTTGACAGAATTATATTTATTTATCTCTGATTCTTTGCTACGTCTTTTAGTTCTTCAGATTCAGTCGGGTAACATCACATACACATATTTCAGCGATGGATTCTTATGATCAATATGTGACGGCCTCTAAGGCAACTGTCTGGCACGGTGTAAAGGCTGCCCGTCCCTTAATCTAGTTTCTCCTTGCTAACTCTTTATCTAGGATGGCCACGAGAAAACCCTCCAAACCCACATCCTCTCTCAACCCAGTCTCTGCAACCAACCCGAAGCGATCCTCTCCGAGATCGACCGCTGGGCCACCGAGAAAAATATCTGTATGATGACCATCGGTCCGGAGCGGAGTACTCCAATCATGGACCTGATCAATTCTGCCCGCCCCAGCACCATGGCCGAATTAGGCGGGTATGTTGGCTACTCGGCCATCAAATTCGGGAACGAGGTACGTCGTGTCGGCGGGACGCGATATCTAAGTCTCGAGTTTAGCGATGAGTATGCAGCTGTGGCGAAGGCGCTTATTGAATTCGCTGAGCTAGGCGATTTCACTCAAGTAATTGTTGGACCGGCCTCGGAGTCGTTGGGGAAGGTCGCGGAGGAGTTGCAGACGGGGATTGATGTGCTTTTCATCGACCATTACGAGAGATTGTATCTGGGTGATTTGAAGACTGCAGAAGGACTTGGATTGCTGAAGGTTGGGGCTTTTGTTGTGGCCGACAATGTTGACGCGCCTGGAGCAAAGGATTACATGCAGTGGGTTGATGGAAGGGAGGAGGATGAAGGCAGGAGATTCAAGTATGAGTCTCAGAGATTGCCCTATATGCTCGCTAATGGACAGCAGTGAGTAATACGATGAATTGGGCGTTATTTATCTGGCTTGTGATATGATACACATGCTAACTCTAGGCTTGTTTTCCAGGATGCTCTTTGGATTTCAAAATTGATATAGATAATTGCACCGAGTTTATATGTGAACTGAATGTTCAGTTTAGGGTAGTATAATGTAGGGTGTGCCTGAGATTCCATATCGATCTGGAATCTGCCAAACTTTGCTATAATCATTTTTTTTGTGACATAGATATCTAGACGTTCTGATCTCTAGGAACCATAATCCCAAAATGAGAGGGGCGATTGGTCCTAAGATCGCTAACTATGATTCCGTAGCGTAAGAAAATGCTCCTGGTTTCTCACCAATTAATCGCAAGGAGATCGGAAGATGAAAAAGTCGTGCACGCTCTGTGGCCGGGTTGATCAAAAGTGCGGTAGGACTGCCTTTCGTGAGCCGCCTTGACTAGTGAGAGATCATTTGATGCACTCGCATTTTGGTTTTATTGCTGGTGTATCTACTACACCGCATGTTGTAATGCCACCACAATTTCGATCACAACCAATGATGAATTAGCCATACTTGATACATGCCAAATGGAGAGACGCTACTGCAGTATGAGATCACATTGACATACGAACTGTTTGCCACTATAGTTCGTTGTAGATCCTATAGAGACACCTTGCTTCATGCATGAGAAAATTACCTATAGCGCATGACGATCACATTCCATAAAATGTAGAAGCTTCAGCATAAAAACCTCATCTCCTATATCGGCGATCGACGGGAGACGTCCGGGCAAATAATGATCCGCGTATACAGTAGTATAGGCAGGGATCGGACAGCTTTCGAGGTTTTTAGATAATCGATCGAAGCCATGCTGGGATTGAGTCCTTATTTGTGGCAGATAGCAGGGTCTTGGAGTGGCGCGAGAAGTGATGCGGTTGTCTGCCGAAGGTGACACGGAAGAGAGAGGAGGATAAAGTCAAAGCAAAGCCCCCGCGTCGAATCCCCCGCCGGTCTCGAATCTTGGCGCTGCCACTTTATCGCACAATTTTCCATTCGCTTATCGCTTCCTTCGATGATCATGTCGCGCGATGACTCCGACATGATCGAATTACCAAGCATCGTCCTTCTTTAGACTTCTCTGTATCATGGACTTTACCCTGGGAGTTAATTGATGAAGTTTCTCAATCAAGGGAGAAGATTGTTCCTCATTCTCTAGATTTCGTGGCGGATCTCATTCGTATCGGGATATTATCAATCAAATGGCCATGGAGTCCGAGCGAGAGCCGAAGCACGACGTTGAGTCACCCCCGTCGGCTGGCAATGCGACTGTGTTGGCCGACGCTGGTTCTGAGATCTCGATGCTCGAAGAGGAGAGAGAGAAGCATTTAGTCCGGAAAATTGATCTGCATATTCTGCCGTTTGTGGTGCTTCTCTATCTCTTTAGCTTTTTGGACAGAGGTATGCCATTCATCGCCTCGGATATATTGCCATACATTTTTGTTGACGTTAATTTCTATAGTCAACATTGGCAACGCCAGACTGTACGGTCTAGAAGAAGACCTGGGTTTGGAAGGAAACCAATACCAGGTGGCCGTGTCCATTCTGTTCGTCACATACTGTGTAGGCAATACGTCACCTGCTCGAAGATTAGCAACGGTCTAACAATCGAGTATAGCTGTTCGAGGTGCCGTCAAATCTCGTCCTCAAGAAACTCACTCCCTCACGTTACATTGCGTCCATTTCGGTAATATGGGGCATCATTGCGACCCTTACCGGCATCGCTCAGAGCTACGGTGGTCTGATTGCCTGTCGCATTCTTCTTGGTGAGCCAGACCATCGTATTATTGACCATACACCCCCACTAACAAGCCTAGGTGTTGTGGAAGCGGGACTCTTTCCCGGGTTAATCACCTACCTAACCTTTTTCTACAGCAAGCGCGAACTTGCTCTGCGCACAGGATACCTCTTCAGTAGCGCTGCCATCGCCGGTGCATTCGGCGGTCTCCTAGCATACGGCATTGGATTCATGGACGGGATCAGCGGGCTCAAAGGTTGGCGATGGATCATGATCATTGAAGGCCTTCCCACCGTCGTGCTCGGCATAATCACCTGGTTTTTCCTTGCCGATGACCCCGACACGGCATATTACCTGAATGAGGAAGAAAGGGCTCTAGTGGCCCGCCGTCGGAGTCGCTACGTGGGTCAAACGGCGTCTGCTCAGAAGTTTCACTGGGCAGATGTCAAGGAGGGTGCTTTGGATTGGCGCATCTATGCATTCTGCATCGGCCAGTTCGGAGTGGACACCATGCTCTACGGCTACAGCACTTTCCTTCCCACCATCATCAAGGGCATGGGGTCTTGGTCGACGCCCGAGGTCCAGGCCCTCACCATCCCTTGTTATGCAGTCGGAGCTTTAGCCTACCTGGCCGTCGCGTGGCTCAGTGATCGAACCCAGCAGCGTGCACTCTTCACCTGCATTTTCGCTGCCATTTCCGTGGTGGGGTACGGCGTTCTGATCTCGGATTCCTCCTCCGGGGTGCATTACTTCGGCGCCTTGCTCATTGCATTGGGCCTTTATGTCGCCGTTGGTCTGCCTCTTGCATGGTTACCCACCACCCTGCCTCGTTATGGAAAGCGTACCTTCGCCACGGGTCTGCAGCTGACATTTGGCAACGTGAGTGGAGTCATGTCGCCGTTCTTGTATAAAACAAATGAGGCCCCACGCTATGTTCGAGGCAATGCGGTGACTTTGTCTCTGGTGGGTTTTGCGGGTATTGTCTATGGTCTCATGTGGTTTTATTATCGGGCCAAGAATAACCGCAGAGACCGAGGCATGGAGGATTACAAGGTCGAGGGGATGACGGAGGAGGAGGTTGAAGAAATGGGCGATCGGAGCCCTCGGTTCCGATACAGTCTTTGATTTGATTTCGTCGTGGCCCCAAGTTAGGATGGTCAGATTAAGGTGGTACAGATATACTGTGATTGATGATTTTGGCCCTTTTCCGGGGGTGTTTTCGACTGGAATCCCTCTGATTAAGAAGAGCCCGCCTTCTAATGGCCTTTGTTAGCGTTCATAATGAAACGCGACTAGCTTGCTGACGAGATCCGAGAGGTCAAAAAACAAGGATTCCTGTCGATGAGATCCCGACATGGAATTCCTGCAACGAGCAACCCCATGTGGCTTGAGAGAATAACTCATTTCTCACGAGCAGAATACTGCAGGAAACTCCTCCAATTGACCCGGTGAAAGGTCACCAGTGCCAGACTACATTTTAGGGCTGAGAAGATATGAGCAGATTTTCTAACCGGTTCGGGGCTAGCGGATGCATGATATGGTTCGGCTACCAGACAGAAGTCCCGGCTCTAAAGGTAGTCAAGGTACCTGCCAAATCAAATGAATCCAATGCTCTCACGGCCCAGCGCTTGTGCCACCGTAATCTCCAGCGGTCAATTCACCTGTAACATCAACTGCATTCTCATTATATAACATTATTGACCACCGAGTCGGGGCTAGTTAGTCCTTCGCGCCTGTGCCGGGCGTTGCCGTACCACCATAAACTCTCTCGTCTCCCCGGCTCTATATCAAGTAGCTTGGTTCGCTGTTTTCTTGTACCTTCTTGACCCTCCCGACACACCCTCTTCTGTCTTTCATATCCTCTCCAGATCTACCCTGCAACCCCTCAAATAAGAATGCAGCTCCCTCTTCTCACCCTCGCCGCCCTGGCGCCCCTCGTCGCCGCCCACTTCAAGCTCGACTATCCCGAGTCCCGCGGCGTGGATGAAGACAAAATGACCCAATTCCCCTGCGGCGGGCTCTCCGCCTCCTCAGACCGCACCAAGGTCGCCCTATCCAAGGACGGTTCCGCCACCCTGCCCGTCGCTATCACCCTGGGCCACTCGCAAACCGCCGTCGAGGTTGTCCTGGCTCTGGGCAACGACCCCGGCAAGAACTTCAACGTCACTGTGAAGCCGACTTTCCGTGTCGAGGGCCTCGGCGCGTTCTGTATCCCGGATATCAAATTCGATCAGGACAAATTGGGCGTTAACCTCACCGATGGCATGAATGCTACCGTGCAGGTGCAGAGCAACGGTGACCCTACGGGAGGGTTGTATGCTGTATGTGACACCTCTTTCTTTTCCCCTGCTAGGTTTCTAGATCTTCCCAAGTGTGTGTATATGCGATGTTAACACTACCTCCCCAATATAGTGCGCCGATATTCAATTCTCCTCGAGCACCAAGGACGAACAACCGTCTTCCTGCAAGAACAACACCGGTGTCTCGGCCACCCCATTCTCTGAGGCCGCGGCGAAGCGCAATGCCAACGAGTCGACTGCTGAAGGCGAAGCTCAGAGCGGCGGCTCCTCGGCGTCTGGTTCCTCGACTGGCAGCTCGCCTTCTTCGACTGGTGCTGCCGTTGCGCTGGAGACGGCTGCTTGGGGAATTATCGGAGCTGCTGTTGTTGGAGGTATGGCTGTTTTGTAAGGGACGATCGGTATTTTGCTGTGAGTGGAGATACTGCTTGAAATACGAAATGAGGGGGAAGATAAAGGAATGAGTCTGAATGAAGAGGAAGAATTGAAAAGGTGAACATTATGAGTGACGAAATTAGTACTATCCTTGACGGAAACTTGATGTATATTGATTGGTTCCTTGTATATATTATCTACTTGATATCCAATTTCATTACCCATTATTTGGGGAGAACATTGCTGCTATCCTAGGTACTATGCGACTAGCACTGCTGTATGGCTATCATCATGACTTGCAGTGATGATAGCAATATTGTCTTAATAGCAAAGATATCCTTGTCTATATCCATTAGATGCTGATCACGTGGATTCAATCCTTTAGCGAATTAGGCTCCCGTCGTTCCAGACTTGCCGTCACCTTCTCATTTCTTGTCTAAAATTTAATTCAATACTCTTCCATTATATATAGGAAATGGCTGGAATAGAACAATTCGAGAAGCTGAGGCCTGTCGGTGAGCCAATCGACTCGACATGAGTTCCTCACGCAGCTACTAACCAATACCAGGCGGATTGGAGCAATACGCCACCGCCAGGCACCATCTGGGCTTCTTCTACAATGCCGGTGTCACCGCCGATTACACTTTGCCAAGCACCTACGCCCTCCCCGCAAAGGAGTATATCTACAAGGCCTGCGAGACGCTAATAGCCCAGCACCCGATCCTCTCCGCCATCCCAGTGGGCGAGGAAACGAAAGAGCCCTATTTTGTGCGTCTGCCGCAGATCGATCTGAACGGTCCGGTTTCGTTCCATGAGCGTGCTGTCGGGTTCCCGGACGCCGAAGACGCCCAAGATGAGGATCTAGAAGCCCTGGTGAAAGTTCAGCACAATACGGCGTTTGAGCCGCCGTTGCCCTATTGGCGGCTGTGCGTTCTGACACACGAGAAAGATGAACGGCGGTTTACAGCGGCGTTTATCTTCCATCATGCGCTTAGTGACGGGGAGTCTGGGAAGGCGTTCCATCGGACGTTTTTGCGCGCGTTGCAGGGTCTGGAGACGCTAGGGGTCGGAGACGCGACGACGGGGATTGTGAAGACACCGGAGATGCCACTCTTGCCGACGCTGGAACAGGCGCATCCGCTGCCTCTGTCGTGGTGGTTTATTGCGACGACGCTGTTCAAGGCCAAGGTTTGGTCCCCGCCGCGGAATCCCGGGCTTTGGACGGGCAGGAGGATCGCCTCATCCTTGGACACCGATGTGCGGCATTTTGCGCTCTCAAGGGCCTCGAGCTCGGCGTTTCGAGATGCCTGTCGTCAGAATGGAACTACTGTGACTGGGGCGTTGCAGGTTATTGTCGCTCGCTCGCTGTTCAAGCATTTGCCGGATGGTTGTACGCAGCTGGAATGCTCCTGCAATGTTTCGACTCGGAGATGGCACCTGGGTGTCATTACCCCCGACTCTATCGGGGACTGGGTGAATGGCTTTAAGGAAACGCACGACCGTGCGAACTTGACTCTTCCGTCTTTTCCATGGGAGGAGGCTCGACGGGCTCGCGAGACAATCGAGGGCGTGCTGAGATTGCAGGGCAAGGATATGGCCCCGGCACTTTTGAAATACGTTGACGATATCCATGAAGAGCTTTTTCTCTCGAAAGTAGGGAGGGAACGCGATTCGAGTTTTGAGATCTCGAATATCGGCGCGGTCGGGTTGAAGGAGGCCCAGGATCCTTCGATGCCGCGGATGGGCCGGATGATGTTTTCTCAGAGCGCCAGCGTTACGGGTTGCGCTGTCGTAGTGTCCTCTGTCACCGGTCCGGATGGGTGTCTGGTCCTCACATTTGTGTGGCAGAAGGGAATCGTGGATGAGGATCTGATGTCATCTTTGATTCCGACCGTGAAGGCGGAATTGCTCGGTCTGTGTGTTGAGCATTGATTGAGATGATACACGATCTTATTGTTGGTGATTAATTGTACTGTATATCTCGATTGCGAAAGGGTTATTGCCTAGATACTTTAATGTTTAGTATGTGTTCAGTGTCTTTGAAGCTTTAGCAAAGGGAAATGTTGGAGCTCTCCGATCGAATACAAGCATTGTTGATAACCGATCAACGACTAAGCGGTGAACGTCTCAAACAGCCTCGGCGGCAGAATAATATCCCCCCTCCGTCGTATTTCCTTTCCCCCCATCTTGCTTCTCTCTTCAACCTCTTCTTCTGCATATCATATCTACTACCAAGGCAGAATGGCATCCCGCGCACCTTACATCGTTCCGGCGCTCAAGAAGCACACCGCCACGGTGATCATGGCTCACGGCCTAGGCGACAGGTTGGTCATTTAGAATAGATCTCCAGAATATTGTTTTGCGCGCAGCTAAAACGGCAGTCTCCTGCAAACAGCGGTGCCGGATGGATGGCACTTGCTCAGAACTGGCGCCGCCGTGGCATGTTCGACGAAGTGGCTTTCATCTTCCCTAATGCCCCGATGATCCCTATCACAGTGGTATGCGCCATATGACCCTGTCGCAAGCGCAGACGAACTAACTACCTGGCCATATCTATAGAACTTTGGAATGAGCATGCCCGGGTGGTATGACATCGCCAAACTCGGTCGTGATGTAAGTCTGAATAACCTTGAACTTCTGCCCGAAGTGGCCCTGCGTCTGGCCCAAGCTAAAACAACCCCCGTTATGTATAGTTGGACTTCGAAGAATCTCTCAAGAGCCAAGACGAGCCCGGTATCCTTCGCTCCCGCGACTACTTCAACACCCTGATCAAGGAACAAATCGACCAGGGCATCAGCCCCTCGCGAATCGTGCTGGGTGGTTTCTCGCAGGGCGGTGCGATCTCCCTCTTCACCGGAATCACGAACAAGGAGAAACTGGGCGGAGTGTTCGGTCTGTCGTGCTACTTGCTTCTGAGCGACCGCATCAAGAACTTCACGCCGGAGGGCTGGCCGAACAAGAAGACGCCGTTCTTCATGGGCCACGGCTTGGATGATGAGGTGGTGAAATACGAGTTCGGAAAGATGTCGTCCAAGGCGCTGACCGATATGGGGTTGGAGGATGTCAGCTTCAACTCTTACCCGTAAGTTATCCTCCTTGGCTTTTAACACTGGTGGAATCGGTTTATTGATGAATTACTACAGTAATTTGGGTCACTCGGCCGATCCTGTGGAGATCGAAGACCTTGAGAAGTTCCTGAAGAAGACGATTCCTCCCCAGGATGAGCGTGAGACCTCTGCCGGGTTATGACTTGACGATCACAGTGGGAGCCAGAGTGGAGATCTGTTCGGGACAGCTTTGAAATACAGCGTTGGGCTGGGTATAATAGTCCTGTTAGCGGCTGTTTTGCTCTCCAAGTATAGCTCTAGATCTAAAGAAGCTGTATCGAAGAAACAAGGCTGAAAATCAAATGATCCATCATTCTAATATCCTCTGCCAAGTCATGCCCTCGATCAATTCGTGAAATCTTATATATATCAGTCTTACTCGCCCTTCTCCGCTCTCTCAATCGTCCTCTCGATCGCCGCAATCATCGCATTGTTATTCTTCATATCGAACGGGATCATATGCCTCGACCCATGATCATAAAACTCCGCCTTGGCCGGATCACACAGACTATACAGCTGCATGCTAGATTCATACAGATAATCCTGCTTCCCCACGATATTCGCTGTCGGGATGCTCAGCGGGTACTTCTCCCCAGGCTGCAAGCTGATGACTTCCAGCCCGGAGCTGTCGAACGGCGGCGCCGCGCAGATAAACACAGCGGCTTTGAACAGCGGCGTGGAGTGCGTCTTGGCGTGTTCGGCGATCATGGAGAACGCCAACGCCGCGCCCTGCGAGAAGCCTATGACGGCGTCAAAGGGACCCTTCTTTTCAATTATCTGGAGGACGTGGTCAATTGCCGATTTGAGTTCAGGGCCTGGCGCAGCGTCGCGTCGGTAGTGGTTGTAAAACGGCCCATCGCAAATTCCCGCCAGTTCTGGATTGCACTAGGTTAGATGAGGGAGTCGGTTGGCGTGAAGGATGAAGTGATAAGGAGAATATACCCGGCTCTGCGGGCGCTTCGACCCGTCCATCAATATATTCGAACTGGTGGCCCTTGTCGCTTAGGGCGTGGCTTAGTCCTCCTGTATAGATTGAAGATGTTTAGTGCTCATTCCCACGAGCCCTCATTCCTCGTGAGGGCGGTAGAGAGTAGAGAGTTACTCCGGTACCAGATTGGATCTCAAAGATCTTAGATTTGATCGTCAGGTTAGTGTTTGGGTGTCAAGAGAGGTTAGCCGGTTTGACGTACTTCCCCGCTTGTGCCGGCGCCGTGTAAACAAAGAAACCGCATCTTGATAATCTTGTCGGGCACAGAGATTCAAATATTCTGTTTAAGTGCTCTGATTGCGCAGTACTGAGGAGCAAGTATGATCTTCGAGTCTGTACTGTGAAAAGAGGGAGAGAGAGAGAAGCGGTGTTGGCGGTTGTCATGTGCCTGCGAAAGCACGGGATCTCGCTAGCCAGCAGCTGCATGCCGAACTGCATTCTTCTTCTTTCCATCTGACTGGTCCTTGAATGCTATCGCGACTGCGCAGATCTAAGATCGCTATCGCTTTAAGCACTGACAACTTCATCGACAGCATGACGAGATAAAATTAACTCGGAAGCACCTCTCACAATAGGTGGAGATGCATCTGAACCTCGGTCGCTTTGATGAAAATCGCCGTTGTTCCACTCTTGTATCCCCCTTTTTCAGGAGAGCGGCAGCTTCATGCGCTGTCCATTGACATTCACCGCGAGGGATAAATAAACCATCCGATCGCAACTGACCACTCAATCTCACAGGACTTTCTTTTGACCGCTATTTTGTTCCTTGATTGTCCATTTAGCGAGCATGTCTTACGCATTCTTGGCTGGATCCCTCGTTCGCCATGCCTTGTGCCATCCCGCGGATTTCTACTCCAGTGTCGCGCCCACGGTCAATGAACTGAGCTTCGGCCTGTTGGGCTCTTCTTTCAAGCCGCAGCGGGATATAGGCGATCTTTCTGGAAAGGTCGTCTTCATTACTGGTGGTAAGGACTCCTCTGCCTTTGGCCTAGGCGTGTGCTGCGCGGTCCATCGGTCTACATTGCTAACTACTCTCGGTCAATTCAGGAAATGCCGGCCTTGGAAAAGAAACAGTCCTCCAGCTTGCCCTCCATCGCCCGTCTCGCATCTACCTGGCCGCTCGGACCGAGAGCAAAGCGCGCGACGCCATTGCCTCGATCCAGGAGATCCTTCCGGAGCCCGTCGACATCCGACATATACTGCTCGACCTATCCTCTTTCCAGTCCATTCGCGCAGCGGCCGAGAAATTCACCGCGGACTGCGATCGCCTCGACCTGTTGATCCTGAATGCCGGCATCATGGCCACGCCCCCAGGCGTCACGAAAGAGGGGTTTGAGATCCAATTCGGAACCAACCACATTGGACACTTCTTGCTCACCAAACTATTGCTTCCCACGCTACAAAAGACCCGCGCCAGTGCCGTTCCTGCGCCCGACGTCCGGGTCGTGACGGTCAGCTCCGTCGCCCATAACGTCTCCCCATCTTACGAGGTGATGACCTCCACGGAGGCCCTGCAGGCCACGGGGCCGTTTCACCGGTACGGCGCTTCCAAGGCTGCCAACGTCTTGTTTGCGACCGAACTCGCTCGTCGCTATCCGGACATTCTCTCTGTTTCTGTCCACCCGGGAGTGGTGTCGAGCGACCTGTACATCCACTCCAAAGAAGCGGGCGGGTTTACTAACATCGGTGCTCGCCTCACCTTGATGATATCCCGGGGAATACGCACCGGGGCGATGAACCAACTCTGGGCCGCCGCGTCGAAGAGAGAGTCGTTAACTAACGGGGCGTATTATGTTCCTATCGGAGTTCGCGGGTCGAGCAAGCATGCGGACGACGTGGAGATGGGTCGGAAGCTATGGGAATGGACCGAAGCCCAAATCGCGGAGGTATCTTAAGCTAGCTCTAACTTGTAGAAGTGTAGATTCTCATTATGATGTTTATGGTTGAAGAATGAGAATAGTATACTCCGTCCAACGGATGCCAATAAGGGTCCAGACAGCTGGATTACCCGATCGGGATTAAAACACCGAGTGGAGGCGAGAAGGGCTGGGCAAAGGCTCAGACACTTCATCGGAGCATGGCATTCGCCCGGATAGAGTGGGAAAAGAGCCCATTTACGTGCAAGAATAACTATTGATCTTCCAGAATCATCTATCAACATGTCCCGGACCAGGGCCCGACAGGCGTCGGCCGCGTCGAAATCGTTAGGGTTTAGCCGAGCAGCCTCAAGATCCCCTCCACAACGAAATCTCGTGGATCTCCCACCACACGGCGAACTTCAGTTGAAGGAACCGCGATCAGCCTCCCTACCAGGAATGCAGAGATAGATACCTAGACAGTAATCGCACAGAATTGAATCTTCACCGTCGTAAAGCGCTCACCGTCGTAGTCATCCAATCCCAATCTTGACCAGTTTCACTCCCCACAATCATCAATCATCAGCCACACTTTCCCGCTAACAAACGGGAACGTCGACACTTTCTCCTCTCCTCTCCCACTCCAATTTCATCACCACCAGTTTTCGGTAGGTTGCCCAATACCCCCTTCCCCCCTTACCCTTTCCCTCTCAAGGCATCTGGAACCACGACTCCGATCGGTTGCAACGAGCGTACGTTGTTGCATTGACAGTCATCCCCCCTCTCAAAGCTTGGCGCCCGCACACATCGAGCCAAAAGCCTTACCGAGTTTCGAGTTCCACAGATCCGGATTATTGACGTCTTGCTTCTTATCCCACCAGGTTTCCTCTCGACTTCATCCACCCCCCTCTCCCCTTTTTTTCTCTCGAAAACCGTCACAATGGATCAGGCTAAGTTGGCTCGGATGCAGGCTAGCGTGCGGATTGGTATGTTTCATTTTCTTTTTTTTTTTCTTTCGGTTCTTTTCCTGCTTTGATGTTTTTGTCTTGCGAGCTTGCAATTTCGATGGGTGGAAGGAGTGATGGGAACGATATGATCGGTCGGTCTGTCGGACAACTCGGATTTTCAATTTGGATCAAATGCGATGGCCAATATGGATTGGATTGGACGAGGAGAGGGGAGAGCCGCGATTGCAGAGACGTCAGCTCAGCTCGTTTCGTTGAATTGGTGGAGCTCGTGAACTGAGGTTTTCGCTTTCGCTGTCACCTTCGCCGTCGAAATTGCATTGGATTGGGGTTTCTGCTTTCTTATTTCTTTCACGCGATCTGCAAGCATGGTTCACGCAATACAAGGTCTCATAGCTAATCTGTATCTCTGAATAGGGTACGTATATCGATTTTCTCCTACTCTCTTTCCCTTCGATTCTTCTCGTTTGCGATATATTCGACCGCGAAGATACCTGAATTTCCAGTTGCAATTTGCAACCGAATCCATGTCCCAATATGCATTCATTCAATTAAACCAACCCAACCCAACCCAACATACCAGATCATATCATAATCCGACCTGCGTCAAAATCGGATTCAAACAACCACACCACACAGATCAAACCAAGCGATCAGAACAGACAAACGAAGCAGAGGCTAACGCATAGCACAGAGGCAAGGGCACTCCCCGCCGCAAGGTCAAGAAGGTCCACAAGTCGTCCGGCGCCGACGACAAGAAGCTCCAGGCTACCCTCAAGAAGATGAACGTGCAGCCCATCCAGGCCATCGAGGAGGTCAACATGTTCAAGGAGGACGGAAACGTCATCCACTTCGGTGCCCCCAAGGGTATGTTATGTTATAGCCTAGCCCAACATGTTGGATTGCCGCCAGCGTCTCTCCAAACTTCCAACCGTCCACCCACCAAATTCAACCAAACTAACGAATATGAAATCCACAGTCCACGCCTCCGTCCCCTCCAACACCTTCGCCCTGTACGGCAACGGCGAGGAGAAGGAGCTCACCGAGCTGGTCCCCGGTATCCTGAACCAGCTGGGCCCCGACAGCCTGGCCTCCCTGCGCAAGCTGGCCGAGAGCTACCAGAACATGCAGAAGAACCAGGCCGGCGTTGAGGGCAAGAAGGACGACGAAGAGGATGATATCCCCGATCTGGTTGAGGGCGAGAACTTCGAGAGCAATGTCGAGTAAATGTTTTAAAAACTTAAACTAAGTTCAGTTCACGGTTTCCCTTGAGAAAAAAAATTTAAAGTTCTGAGTCGAATACCTGCCTACCTATGAATGCATGCCATGTCATGACTTTTGCCTGAGGGGCGTTTTGATGTGCTCTCTCTCTTTTCTCTCTCTTTTTCATTCTCATCTGGTTTTTGAGAAGAGGTGATCCAACATAGAAGTCCCAAGATCATGACTCCATATCATGACTATTATGTACGCCGGCGTATGTAGTAGCTTGGTTTACGGCAAGCTGGGTTTAAAAGATTACTCTATCGGAAGTCAGGTATCTCCCATAATCGGATCAATAACTAGGTAAGTTAATAGGAAGGATTGGATTATTCTAAACATCCTCCGCCCTCATGCAAAAAACTTAGATAAAATGCAACTTAAATCGATTATTTCCGGAGCGCCTTGACCATGCCATGAATCATATAGAACAAGATAGAATAGAAAAAGAAAACGTCTGACGACGGTTGTTCAGGACAACAGAAGAAGATAAAAAAAAGGGCAAGGAAAAGGAACGTCGAGCCGGGTAGCATACAGTCCCAATCACCGCGTCCGAGTCAATCATAGAAACGGTTTCTAGGTTTCCACCGGAGTAAGAATTGTTGGTCTGTGGGCAACCTTGAAAGTCCTTAGGTTTTTTGTATCCCCACGCGGAGGGGACTGAGCCGGTTTTGCTTGCTTCTTTGACAGTGATGGCCGCGTTTCTGAGAAGTTGAATTTGTCCCCATTCCCCGTTGTGGTTGCCTTGGGTGATGTTGTATTTTGCTTGTAGCTTTTTAAAGAGGTATATAAACGTTGATATCAGGTGCCAATGGCCCACGAATCAAGATTCCTCCTTCAGTCCACAGATATCCGTCCCCAGGAATCGATCAAGCATGTTCCAGAACCGCCAGTAGGAGTTCGACTTTTCGTAATCGAACGTGCCATCCTCTTTCAGTTGCGGTCCGTCGCCGACGATATCGCCCGTGAACCAGCTGAGGATGGGAATCGAGCGCAACACTCGCTCCGTCACCGTTGGCTGAGGCGGCAGGGCCTCGGCGAGAGGCCGTAGCTGCGCCCTCCGCACGGTGGGAATGTGCGTCATGAACTCAGACTCTGGTTTCTCCTGGGGAGGCTGAACGGGGACGTCCTTGGGGACGTTACGCTGGTGAACCGGGGACGACGATGCGTTCTGGTTGTTGATCGTGTCGACGCCCGTGGCGGTCGCCGAGCTGGCGGTGTTAGTGGACGCGAACGAAGCATCCTCCTCGACGTCCGGCACGGTGGATAGATTGTTCATAGCAAAGGACCGGGGGAGCGTCGAGGCAGCGCGCTCTTTCCCCTTCTGCGTCTGCAAAAACGTAGTGGAATGCGAGGTCGTCAACGTCCGGGCCGGGTTCGTCTTGAACAACGCCGACGCAGCATCCGTCTTTCCCGTAGCAGGAATCGGAGCATCCTCCGCGGGACCCTGGCCGTGATACATCTCACAGATAACATGATGTCCGTCGATCTCCTGCGGCGAGTAAAAGCAAGCCCGATCGGCCGCCAACGAGGAGTCAAACGTCACCTTGATCCAGTGATATCCGCCCGCATAGCGCTTCGACTTCCGGTTCGCATCCGCCGACAGGTTCGTGCGGATCACCACGTCCCCACCGCTCAGCAGCTGCGCGTACGCAGCCGACGAGTTGGGGTCCGTACGCGGGTAATCCTCACAGATGAAGCCGCCGGAGATGCGCTCGAACTTATCGATAACCTTCCACTCCGAGTCCTTGCTTTTGTAGCCGTAGAGGATGCACTCGGTCGCTACCTTCTCGGTCTGCTTGCGCTGGTTGTCCAGGTTCGAGGAGGACGACGACTTGGGCAGCGTGTTGGTGCGGCTCTTCTCGTCTTCCTGCTGCTGGGCAAACAGCCGTCCGAACTCCGCGACGTTCGGGTTCTCGCGCTTCGCGGGCGTGCCGGTGCGTGTTCGAGAGCGGGCATGTTCGTAGCGAGCATTTCGTCGTCGTCCAAAGGGTCCGGATTCCTCGGGCGGTCGTCGTGGGTTGCGGGCTTCGCTGTTGAGTGGGTTAGTTGACCTGCTGGATCCTTTCCCTCTGAACATGACGAATCATGGTAGAAAGGGGTAACGTACTCTTTATAGACATATCCCCATGGTAGAAGATTTCCCTTGTCGTCTTTTGCGCGCTCCTCGGGGGGCACGAAGTGGTACTCCATGCTAGGAAAAGGTAGGCTAGGAGTCTTGAATTTTTCGAGAAAGGAGAACAGCGAGATGGGAAGTGTTGAAAGGGACAGCAGAAAACGATCGCTAAATGGTACAGAGAATTGGGCTGGTTGGTCAGGAAAAGCGCTGATCGGGTTCACTGCGTTCCAAAACTTTTGGCGGCCATAAACAGTCTGTTCGCCCGGATACCTGCACGTGACTTGGATCTGCAAGTTATGCGCTTACCGCTTTGGGGTTGTCTACTAGCGATTTGGATCCATGAGTGAATAGTTACATCAAGAGAATCAGACTAGAAAGGGAAGTGAAATATAAGAGAGAATTGATATGGTTTCTTTTTTTATGACTGAAGATGTCAATATTGTAAATGATTTGTTAGCGATCATGTCCCACAATTACAATGTATCTGTCGGTTGACTTGGTCATTGCCCTAAGCAGATATCCTATCGATTCAACGGAATGTAGGTATATGCTCGGTGGGTAAAAGTGAAGTGTCATTTCTAAACTGCAATCTGCCTAGCCATTTATAGTTCCACTTGTTTACACTTATGCATTCCTGATCCATTGGTATGTCATTTGGAATGGTAGGCCAAGTCTAGGCCAAGCAAGGTGCTGTGTGGTATGTGGATTAGGTCAGGATCCTCCACTTCTCTGATCTGGTTGACAATAATGTTCCAACAGTATCTGTTTCGTTGTAAATTAATATATATGAATCATCTTTGAACCTCTCTCGCTATTTCACCAGGTTACAGGTCTTCTAATTCTGTCGCAAGAATTCTATGGATCCAACATCGCCCTCAAGTCCACAAACCTCCTTGAAATCTCCCACCTCTGCCCTCCGTCGCTCGACATGCCGAGCAAATTCCTTCAACGGGCACGAATGACCAGGCCCAGATCTGCAGTACGGTAGCGGCACAATTCTGTCGTTGATATTGATGCGTACAAAGTTTTCCTGCTCAGATTTATCGCCCTGAGCTGAAGTTGAAGGGCATGTCATTCGTTCCAAAACGATACGAGCACCCATCGGCATCACAGACGAGGTGCGCCATTTGCGATCTTGTGCTATATGTGTGATGGGAAGCGATGGATCGTATTGAGGATCTTTCATGATATCCAAAGCAGTTAGAAAAGGGGCTATATCGCCGTCATGAACGCTATTGGCATGTCAGTTTATTATCTCTGCAGAAGATTGAGAAATCCTCGCAAAGATACGCACAAACTAAAGAACATGGCTCCAACCCCAGGGCCAGATTGTAAGAGTGCCGTCGTGGCATTCAACCAGAGCCATCCCATCGCACCGGCATATGGGTTTCCAGGACCGGCTCGATAGTAGTGGATGATATCGCGAGCATATTCAAAACTTTCCCATTCTTCCTTGGTGAAGACATCGCACCAAGGACTCGACCCTCGGGCGATGGTCTCGTAGCCGCACATCTCTTGCATGCTGAAGATCTCCTCATCAGAAAAAGATCCCAAGGCAAGATTACCTTGTTCCGAGATAAGTCGTTTCGCGATAACCGGGGCATACACTTCTTGGAAACGAGTCCGCATGTTCATGCCATTATCATGTCCCTTTTCAGGATCTTCCAGATACTTCAAGCATGTATCGCCCGGTGTAAGTGTATTTGCGCGCTGATCAAACGTTTCCGGGATAATCTCGAGCTCGGCCTTTCCGCTCTTTTCCCAGTCGAGGCCAAACATGCCTGATGCGAAGTGTTGGGCCGTCTCTATGACGCGCTGGCATTCGCTTGCCCATAGGCGGGTTTTGGTGTGCTTCTGCAAGAGATGTCCATACCGAGTCACGAAGCGGACTCCTGTGGTAAAAGCCTGCAGTTTACCAGCATATGGCCCAGTTGCGGTCAATTGATCGAAGTCCTTCTCAGGCTCACTGGTGAAATAAGACCAATTGTTGAGCAAAGACAGTGAGCCGTTCAGAGGTACGTTTGACTCTCTGATACGGGATAAAAGCGCAAGATGGCCTGAATTTAGACAGTTAGACATGAGCCTTAGTTGATAAGTGGAGAAATCAACACCAGAAACGTACGACTTCCTGCGGATTTAGTTGGATATCTCTCTCCGTGACGAGACATCTATACTATTGTCAGATATGCTCCACTGGCACAGGGATCAGCTGATCATCCGTACCATGTGCACTTGCTCAATTGAACAGCGTTCAGGAGGACCAATCCCTTCGGATACATGTTCCCCATCGATCTTCTCGATCCAAGGGCCGTTGCCGCCTAGATAGTGGAGGAGATTCCAGTCGTCACCGTCGCATGGCGATTTCTGTGATAATTTTGAGAGGGATCTAGAAGGGTGAAACCAGGTGCTCCAACTAGCATGGTGCGGCAATAAGGGCGTATCATGACAGGAGCAAGTACCGAATAAGGATCCAATCGTGGGAGCGCCCCAATTTTGGTAGGAAATGCCTAGAATGATAGTTACAAGGGGGATAATCAATGACCAGAAGGAAGAGGAGTTGGACATGTTCATTAGTAGCTAAATGGGTGATGCCTCATGCTGGTATGTGTCGGAAGGAAGTAAAGCCAAACACAGTGAAACAAGGCCGGTGACGATCACGCCAAGACTTGCAGGCCTCAGGCCCTAGGCGCCCACACGGCACAATCCTAAGGATTCAATGTCAATTTACAAGTCCTCTGGGCGCAGATGACGAAGATATAAAAAGTTAGAATCATACGGGTCTGGGTCATACTACGAGACGAAGGGTTGTATTGTCGTCAAGGTGTTGATCGTGCGGTCCCCATTCTCCCACCACGAAGTATACCGTGCTTTTTAATCCTCCAGGACCACGTCCGACAGCTCAGGACTTGGTTATCAAACATATAAGATAAGATATTGGGAGCCACTAATTCCCCGCATTAATCTCTAAGCCCCGGGTTCAAACCTCTCCAGACGAGCGCGCTCAACGTGTGGATTTTATTTGACACGCCTCAAACTATGTCCAGACAAGGGATCACTTTCTAGATTGGTGAGGAGAACACAATCCCTATCACCGAGTTGTCTTCGTACGATGTGCCGATTCCCGGGCATTAGCCAGGCTCATGTGCTTGATTAGGAGAATTCAGAAAAGGGAAGTATTCCCACGAAGGAAGCTAGCTCACCCCGGATCGTCCGTCAAAGGAGAGTGGCTGGCTATTCCCCACAGGCAGCCTTGAAACTGACTAGTTTGTTGCCAAGTTCCCAACGATGTACGGAGTATTGGATCGCTCGATCTTCTTTGGAGATTCCCACTCTCAGGAAATACATACCTGTTTCAAACCTTCTTCCGTGGCGTATAGGGTGTCTATGGACAAGCTCGGGATTCAGCATCAGCACATTCACCTGCGCTTCGGTATCTCGAAAGAACTTCTAGTCATGATTTGTTCCATTAGAAAGACCCAGCCTATTCAGGATTCCAGCTTTGACCCGTCCAGTGGCTAATGTAGACACTTGCCCTACGTTGAATCGGGTACAATATCCTCGATTTCGACTGGGTACTCCACAGCAATCAAATCAATCTCCATGCCAATCCCGGCCGGTAATCTGGGAGCTTCAAAACAGCTTCTAGCCGGACGCTGGGGGAGATACTCCGCGTAGACCTGATTGACATCATTCAAGTCCTTCATATCAACAAGATAAAGCTATTATTACACGATGTTAGAGTGGACAATATTTTTGGCCATCAACGCTAGAGAATATAACAGTGTATAGCAGAAAATAAAAGAAAATACATACCGTTGCCCTCACAACCCTTCCCAGACTAGGCCCTGCCGCCTCCAACACCACTTGCGCATTCTTGAGCATAGCGTGGGCCTGTTCGGTAGCTGAAGACTTCACGATTTGGACCTTCCTGTCGACAAGTTTGGCCGGTATTTGACCCGAGAGAAACATGAATCCGTTGGATTTCATAGCGTGGGACTGCTGTTGCTCTCTGTTATATTAGATATGATTCTGCGGAGCTCGGTCGAGAAATTCTATGAGATCACTCACGTAGGGACCAAATGCTAGGATTTGGCATTTGTTAGTTTGCCTTTCATATCATCTTGCAACGAAGCTAACTGTCTGTAGTCATGTCGTTCTGTTCACTTACGTGGGATGCCATTATCAGTACTAACAACTTCGAGTGCAGGCATTGCGGGTACGTATGGGAATAATCTTTCTTGTCAAGGGATTTTAGGATATGCTTAATGAAGTGGCTCATTTAATCATCTGCTATTGCTTCATATTGTCCCGGGTCATGTCATCCAACCTGATCCTGCCCTTCACAACTCTAGCCAAGGATTTCGTAAAGAAAAGCGTTCTGCTCTGCTACGTTCTTTTCTGTAAGTCACGCTTACTCGGTTCGGAAAGTGGAATTACATCACTGCTACGGTTACCAAAGAATATTTTACAAAAGCACCCACGTCTTGCAAGATTGTACGGTTCGTAGGGCATCTCGAGCGGTTGGACTTGACGGTTACCGGTCAGGCCCAACAGTAGAACACGCATTTATCCTCCAACAATCTATACCAGCTCATCTTAAAAGAACCGAAAACCTCCTATCATTGATCTACCAGTTCCGAGTTCAACTCAACAAAGCAAATGACCATGTCCTCGTCCCGCGTTTGGAGGTATACCACCCCGGAGGAAACTCCTGAGACCATCAAGTCCGTCGAGAAAAGCAGAAAGATCATGAAAACCATCATCACTGACAAGATTGATCGCTGTGAGTCTTATAACTAGAAAGATTGCTCGTGTGAAGAAAACAAACGAATCATTTCTCTTTCAAAGCTTTTAGACTATACGTAAGCCCTTCGCTGCAGCGGCTCCCTGCTGGTCCTGCCCCCAGCATCGTGAAACTACCTAAACGATACGAACTTGCATCTGTCCTTGCTCTATCTAGTCTCATGGTATTATCACCACCCAGCCAATTACTAGTCTCATCTTTCTTTGCGGCCAATGCCCAGTTCTGCCGAACAACACACCTCTCGTGGACACCGTCACAGAGAAGACCCATTTGATGTGCCCAAACGCGAAAGCTGCTCTTGAAGCCGCCGGGTCCTCGTTGGACAGGGTTGTTAAGTGTGTGGTAAGCAATCCATCACCTTGCTGAATATTGAACAAGGGGTCATCATGACTCTTGGCTCGACCCTATGGCTTTCTACATTTTCATTCTCTGCATTGGGCTACCTAACACTGACTGACTGGTCTTCCACCAGATTTTGTTCACTGATATTGCGGACTACGAGGAGTCGAACAAGGTTTATGTTTAATACTTTCCCCACATCCATGCCCGAAGCGCTATGGAGGTCTCGAAGACCCCACCCAAGGGAACCGGTATGCAACTAGATATCACCGCTCTGGCCTAGGTGCGTGGATCAGGGAGGTCGGTTTGCAGTTCTTGGTATCATATGAAGCTCAGAGTCGACTGCGATTCCATCGTTGACATGAGGCTTCCCGGCCTCATATGTGTGTATCTAACTTGATAATTTGATCGAGCTTAAACTTGCTCTTTCTTGATATCTAGCGTCTTCTTCACAGCCTTTGGGATATAAGGTTACTAGCACTATTCAGAGCGCAAACCCTAGCAGCCACCATAGGGTTGAATGACGTAACTTAGACCAAAATAATGGAAATGGGTGGAGTGGTCGTAACTGTGTTGACCGGTGGTTAAACTAAGAACACAACTCGTTGAGAGGGATTGTAGCCACCTGAGTAAGGCCATACTGACCTGGCAACCTGGCGAGCGGAACAACAAGGACGATTTTACAAATACCTACAGACGTGACATCCATCTCTCATCATGAATGCAAATAGATTGTGAAATGTATCTAATTTACATGGAACCCTGGCCACCCAAACTAATCCCCCAGAAAACGATTAAACAAATCAATGCATACATGACGAAGTGTAGATGAAGTAAAGCTGAAAGAGTACATACTCCTGCAATGCAATTGATTAATATATGTCCGAAAAAAGATCCATTCCCAAGAGAGAAGAGAGAAAATAGAGAGCTGAGAGCTGAGAGCTGAGAACAAAGCCCATTCCATCATTCATTTCTATTTGTACACACACGGGGGGCAAGAACAACAAGCCCCTGTTAACGCTCGCTTCTACGCAGAGCTTACCCGCCACGACGAGGTTTACGACTGCTCGGATTTCGCCTTGCTAGCCGCGGATTGTTTCAACGAGTTGGCTCTCTGCGCCGTAGCGTCGGCGGCGACGGAGCGGGCGGCTGCTGAGGCCGCGGCGTTGTCTTTCAGACGCTTCATGCGTTCGGAGCGGCCTTCGCCGGGAAGACTGCCCCAGACGGGCTCGATGGAGTCGGCGCGCCAGTTGGAGCGGTGGCCGGTGAGGCCGCAGCCGCGGGTTGGGAAATGGACCATCGGAGAGCTGCCGGCGCCGGCTTCACCCCACATGCGGACGCGCTGGAGTTTGCGCAGCTTGGCCAGTCCGTAGACGCAGATCACGGCGGTGATGGCGAAGGAGGTGACGGAGACACCACCGAAGCCGAAGTCGGATTCTTCGATGAAGTTCTTCAAGTTCATGCCATAGAGGGCCGAGAAGAGGGTTCCTGCTGCGAGGGCGAGCGTGCCGATGCTGAACTTGAGATCGAGAAGCATGAGGGAGTTGCGGTTGGCGTCGAGGATGGCTTTGACTCTGTACGGGCATTGAAGTCAGTGGGTGCGAATTATTATAGTAAGATAACACATAGGGTGTGGATGAAACTCACACTTCCTCCGTGTTACGGATCCCAGTGACCAGGTTACCGCTGGCCTGAACAATTTCATCGCATACTTTGTGGTACGACTCCAGGAGCATTTCCACCTCCTGGTGGTCGTCCTCCTCTCGTTGGATGCCCTTCCCATTCTCCGTCAGGTACATGGCAGCCAAGTCATCGTCGGCCTCCAGCAGGTCGTCGATGGCATCTCGCACAAGTCGCGCTTTCTGTTCGAACGTACCCAATCTCTTGGAGTAGATGAGCAGGTGTCTCAGCTTATCCCGATCAATGTCCTCTTCCAACGCCCGCAAAACGCGCACAACCGGCTCTCGCACGCCGTTAAATTCCTCCTCCAACCCGGTCGTGACGCTGATCAAGACCGCCTCGAGAGCACGGAACTCGTATGGCAGGGCCCCGGCACCCGGCGACTGCGACTGTCTCTGCCGTAATTTCCCCTCCAGGTCGTAGACGAACATCGATTGCATATACGAGTCCGTTGAGCCATACGCGTCGAAGACGAGGACCCGGTCCGCCTTGATCAACACACGCAGGTGGAGCAGGTTAATGAGGATAGCGCTCGGTCGCACCAGGATATGAGGCAAAGTCGAGGAGTCGATCTTGCGCAGGTCGCGAGGAAGAAGGCCATACTAAGCAGCCACAACGTCAGCTTCGTGTCCCAACCACACAGACCGGTCGGCCATGCCACCTCCCGGAAGAAAAGGAAACACACCTTCGCGATTAATTCACTCTTCCTGAAATCTCCATTGACGAGAGTTACATTCCCGTTGCGATCGAACTCCGTACATCGCAATCGCGGCTCATTCGAGGCCTTGGCCGCTAGCAGTCGTCCTCCGAAGTTCAAAGTTCCCTCTGTGCCCTCGTCGATCAGCGCGGGTCCTGGGTTGCGTTGCTGCTTCGTTTCGGCCGCGGTCTTGCCGCGTCTCAGGTCGAACAGCCTGCGGAGGAGCGGTCGGCTATGGGTGGATGAGGCGCGTGACGACAGCGGGTTCAGCGGCGAAAATAGGGCGCAGGGACGTTGACCTAACGAGACTCGATACCGCGACGGGCCCTGGCTCTGGTTCTGGCTCTTACGCAATGACGGCAACAACCCTGCTTCCAGGGTGGCTTGGCATCGCGCTGGGTTGAGATGCGTCCAGTTCGACGAGGATTCGAGCTGCAGCACACGAGACGGTCGACCGCGAGATGACTTTCGTGCGGGAAGATCGCAGGTCGATGGGTTCGCCGTGAAGTAGAGGAGCGAATCGGTCTGGGAACGCAAGAATCGAAGTAGCGACGCCGAGGGAATAGTCGGTTTCAAAGGCGACGGGGACAGCATATCGGTCTTGCCCGTGTAAACAAGCCGCCGTCAGGGATGATGAAGAGACTTGATGTCTCTCGGTCCTCCTGAGCAGTCCGTTTGGGTGATAATCGTGGCTTGTGATTCTTGTATACAATTTTTTTTTTCTCGCGCAGATCGGAGTTGCGCTGCGGCCGGAATTGCCGTCTCGGGCTAATGATGATCCGACGGTATACTTCGACCATCCAAACAAACTCATTTTCTTACGTTCATCTTGTTATTTAGGATGAAAGAATTATATCTGATCTGTTCTGAAATGGCTGGATTTCTCCTAGCTACTGGCATGTCATATATCCACCTGGAACCTACACACGCCACTTCCCATGCAATCTGCTCGGCCACTTCCCCTTCTGAAGGAATAATGAACGATAATTCAATACCTCGCGGAATACAGTCGTGATGTAGATATGTATGTATAAGGCATAGAAAGGGTGCGAGGATAAGCGAAAGAACGAGAAACGCTGACCAATGCAGGTATCAAACAAAGCGCAACAAGTCTAACCCACAATGACGATAGAGGATATTTTGAAAAGAAAGCAAGAAAAATAGAAGAATATACCGTCCGACTTTTACCAATCATCGTCGTCTTCTTTCTCATCATCTGCAGCAACGCGAGTTAGATCAGAGACGCAACACTTAATAGGTAAAGGAACAACTTACCGCTTCCTCTAACCTTCCCCTTTCTCTTATCCAACGCCTCTTGTAGAGCACCTGCCAATCCTCCTTGGGGAGGACGTGCGCTGCGGGGAGTTCCTCCGGAATCATTACCACCTCCTGGGACTGAGGCCCCACTACGGTCATTCTTCTCGGTGTCCTTAACCTTGCGCAGGCCTCCACCTCCTTTGCCTCCGCTTGCTCTGATAGCAGACAAAAGATCATCTCTACCGCCAGTAGGCTTTGGTAAGGGCGGTGCAGCTCCACCCGGCGGCGGCGGTGGCGGTGCGCCAGCGCCAGGAGGTGGGGGTGGAGGTGGTGCTCCAGCCCCAGGGGGAGGAGGTGGAGGCGGCGGCGCACCGACACCAGGGGGCGGAGGGGGAGGGGGAGGGGGAGGAGCTCCTGCACCTGGTGGTGGTGGAGGCGGAGGCGGAGGCGGAGCTCCAGCTCCCGGGGGGGGAGGAGGCGGGGGAGGTGCTGCAGCTCGAGGGGGGGCAGGTGGTGCTCCGGCTCCCGGAGGTGGTGGCGGTGGAGGAGGAGCTCCCCCAGCAGGCGGCGGCGGGGGAGGCGGCGGGGGACTAGCAGCTGCGGGCGGTGGCGGTGGTGGTCGCGCGGAACTGGCTGGCGCCGGGGGAGGTGGCGGAGGCACCGGAGGTGCCGTGCTGGATGACGGCGGGGGTGGAGTAGGCCGGGAAAGAGCCGGGACAGGAGGCGGTTGAGCTGGACTTCTCGGTGGTGGAGGAGGAGGAGCTGGCGCCGAAGGTTGAGCGTGGGGAACCTTGGGGGGAAGCTGCGGTGGTGACGCCGGGCTCATCGTCCGTGGAGGAGGCGGCGGGGGTCCTCCTGGAACAGCGTTTCGACTCGGAGGTGCAGGAGGAGCAGATACTTTCCGCTCTCCTGCGAAAGGCGGAGGAACTCCGAAACGACCTTGTGAATGGTCCTCCATAGGAGTCTTGGGAGGCCGGGGAGGCGGAGGCGGCCCCGGATTGGCACCCGACATCGCTCGTGGGCGACTGGGAGGTGCAGGGCCAACAGTATGAGCGAACTTACCAGCATCCGCAATTGGGGGCGGCGCGCGGAATCTGGGTCTGGGCGGAGATGGTTCCCGGTTCGGTGCAGGCGATTCGTCTCCCGCATCTGCGCGCGTTTTGCGCGACGGCGGCGGGGGAGGAGGAGCACCTCGTCGACTGCCCGTGCTGTTACCAGTGTTCTGCGGACTGATGGTACTCGTCTTAGGAGCAGGAGGGGCAACCGGTGGAGGCGGGGGTGGAGCCTTTCCCCTTTTCTGCTCATCACCGGAAGGTGAAGGCGAGGTCTCCGCTACACTGCCTTGCTTCTGCTCGATATATGCCTTGATGAAATCGGAATTGTCTGCAATCTGGTCCTCCGTGATTCCCATCTGCAACAGCTCGTCCAACAGGCCTTTCATGGAGGGATCGCTGATGTCGAAAGGCATTGATTTGCGGGGCGGGCTGCTGCTCGGCGGAGGCGGAGCAACCTGGATTGAGGGTGCCGGTGGAAGTTCCGCAGGAGTGATATGTGATGGATTGGACGCCGTACTTGAGCGATGGCCCAACAGACTACCGAATAGCGAACGTCCAACGCCAGACTTCCCATTCACAACCGGAGCAGGGCCCTGACCTCGTGCCGAAGCGAACGGTGTTTTCAAAGTGTCCTTGCTTGCGCTCTTCTCCCGTTCATGCACCTTCTTGATGAAGGTTTTGGCTTCCTTCTCATCGGCGAAAGACAAACCGGCGGGGCAATCCTCCAGCTCGAACGTGTGGAAGAAAGTGCGATCCTGATTGTACTGAAAGTTCTCGAAGATCTCTTGATCCCAAATGACACCTCTGCCGGCAGGCTATGACTCGTGAATACAAAAAACTGTCAGCGATCCATTGTCCGTGAGATTTACCGGCAGAGGCAGCAAGGTATACTTACCGAGACATCCACCAGCTTCAACCAAAAGGTGCGCCCGACCAAGTCATTGGCCAGCACAACAGCGCCCTGTAGGCCGGTGTAAGTCCATCTCTGAGGATCTGGGTGCGCCACATAAAGACGCGCGACGGCTACTGCAAGGATTTTGTTCGCCGGCTTGGGGACCATCCGCTTGACGGTCTCTTTGTCGGAGTCATTGAGGATGGACGGCATGACGAACGTAGAAACGACCGGTCAAGGACCGTAGACTAAATCGGAGTAGCGCGGATGTATGTGAATGTGTTTTAAGTGATTTCCCGGGAACACATTGCAGGTGGAGGGTGGCGCTCCAGGCAGAAGGATCACGGTGCGCTCGTCGATTCAGGCACGGGAGGGCTGCTGATATGGGCGGGTTGGGAGACGCAGCCGCACAACCGGGAGTAACAAAGGGATTGTCGAATTTCCTCGGGAAGGAGATACAGTCAAGTTAAAGGTATAAATACGGAGGCAAAAAGAGAGGAATGAGGGGGCAGAGGGAGGCGAGAAAGGCAAAGATTTTGGCGGGCGGAAGCCGACTGGGGGCAGAAGGGAGAAGAGGTCAAGTAGCAGGAAGAAGAAGAGGAGATCAGGTCAGCCCGTCGCACGGAGATGCCACTAATCTCAGGCTCTCAAGGCGCAACGGTGGGGAAGCACGAGGCCACTAAATTCAGGCTCCCCCAGCCAGGCAGTTGCATTCTTCGTTTTTTCTATGTATTATTATTATCTATCAATGCGACTTCTAATCCCCCGAGGATTTCTCTTCTATTTCAGATCATCAACCCACCGACCAACTCCCTTCTGGTCAACTTGCATACGGTGCCACCAAACGGTCGCCCGACATATCGTCCATTGATTCGACCGAGGCATGCCAGATCCAATAAACCGACGGGAACAAGTATTCTCATTTGTTATACTTTGTCCGACGGTGGCCAACCCTGGTGGATGTTTTGTACGCCCAATGCCCAGTCTGTCCCACTGTGGGAGAAGACCGACGTCATCCCGTCAACTAATACGTGCGGTGCATTTATATACTTCGTAGTGCCAATTCTCCCTTCAACTCTTCACTTTTACCTGAAATTCCACCTGAAACTCCTCCTTTCCCATAAGTTACATTTCTCCACTAGAAGCCTGACATACCATCCTCCAGTAAACCCTACAACTACAGACCTTCCTGAGATCTCTTCGCTAAAAAGATGCCTACCATCCCCACCGATCCTGCCAACTTCCCATCGCTGGAAAGCCAGAAGGAAGGCCAGAAGGGAGCGGATGACAAGCCCAAGCCAACTGCGCAGGACTTTCAGTCGAAGGGACCTCAGATCCCAGACAGTACGAGTCCCTTCCACGTCCACCCATAATGTGAAAGTCCCAAACTGCGTGACGAGGTGCTGATCTCTTATCTTACTAGGTATGCCACCCAAAGCATCTCGAGAGGAAATCGAAGCCCGCATGAAGGAACTGAACAAATAAGACGCACATGTGTATGCTGGGACTAGATGCTTCCCTTCTACCCTAAAGGTGGGTGTCTGATTTGGGCCATACTCTTGAAGTAGTCTGCCAGTGATGATGTATGATAAACGATGAAATGAATATTCTTGCAAATCTGGACAGGCTTTCCATATTCTCTAGACTGTAAAACTAGGCTCGTCTCAACTGCTCGTTTCCTTGGGGTGAGTTGACGACATGACGTTTGCCAACCACGACGTTCCATCGTCTACATGGAAGACCAGTTCTTTCCCTCATAGTTACAGAGATCACTGTCCTCGTAGTCTCAGTCAAACGTAAGCTCAAGCACATATCAGATCGTACACGCTACCCTCTACCCTCCCGGGTCTGTATAGACCATAGCCATTACGTCACAGACCACGTGACCCCGTGTTCTCTAGATCCTCGATTCGCGACGACGACCATTCCTTCTCGCGTCAAGAGACCCCTCATGCCGCCGGAACGCACCAATGTCCCGGTGAAGTTGTCTCTGCCGTTGGTACGTGTTCTTGATGATCCCTAGACGATTTGAAAGCAACTTATCTGACTGATATGTCTGCATCAGCAATACCAGCAGGACATCTTCACCGAACTGCGCTCGGAGGATGAGTTGGTCATCCTCGCCCGTGGCCTCGGGCTTTTGCGGCTAGTAACGAATCTGCTTCACTTTTACGATGCCGCTGGAAATAACCTCGTTTTGGTGGTGGGAGCAGATGATAGAGAGAATGAATGGATCGGTGAAGGTTCGTTGGCCGACCTCTTGATTATCGCGGTCCGCAGACTCGTCAGTTCTAATTCCCACAGCCTTGGCGGAACACCATGCCATTAGCAAGACCCCCCTTGCTAGGGGTCTCAAGATGATTAATACTGAAAGAGCCTCGGTCTCTATGCGGTATGTGGCGTCCGTAGACCAGATGCATGCGGGATCACTGACGGATACCTAGAGAGAAGATCTATGCTGGAGGCGGTATCCTGAGTGTGACATCCAGAATACTGGTCGTAGATCTCTTATCGAGTAGGCTGATTACCCTCAAAAACCGATGCTATCTTAACTCTCTAACACAATTTTAGAACTCCTTGATCCCGAGAAAATTACCGGAATGGTTGTTCTTCACGCTGACAAGTAAACCGGCCATCCCCAAGGACCTATGCACGCATGTGTACTGAACTTATGGCAGGATCGTGGCAACATCAACCGAGGCTTTTATCATCCGAATCTTCCGACAGCTGAACAAGCAAGGATTCCTCAAAGCCTTCTCGGATTCCCCCGAGCCATTCACAACAGGATTCGCGCCTTTGGCAAACTCCATGCGCAACCTCTTTCTTCGCAAAGCCTCCCTATGGCCTCGCTTTCATGTCACAGTCGCCGAATCCCTCGAAGGGCACCGGAAAGCAGAAGTCATTGAGCTCGAAGTTCCAATGAGTGACAAGATGCGCGAAATCCAGAATGCAGTTCTCGAATGTGTGGAAGTCTGCATTGGGGAGCTGAAGAAGGCCAACGCGGGTCTTGACATGGCTGATTGGACACTCGACAGCGCCCTGCATAGGAGCTTTGATATCTCAATCAGACGTCAACTCGATCCTATCTGGCATCGTGTGAGTTTCAGGACTAGACAAATTGTCAGCGATTTGTCTGACCTGCGAGCAATTCTTCAGTAGGTGTTCCTACCAAAGTAATTTCGATGCCGGGTTTATTCAAGGTAGCCTAACTGGTATTAGTGCCTTGCTTACCTACGATGCCGTCTCGTTCATGAGATATCTCGATACCATTGTCACAGCCCATTCGCCACCGCCTGGCTCGTCGAGACACAATTATTCACCATGGCTATTCCTCGATGCAGCCCATGTCTTGTTTCAAACGGCAAAGTCTAGGGTTTATCAAGGCAAAATAAGCAATGACACTCCCTCACTGTCAACTTCATTCCCTAATACCTTGCAACCTGTCCTAGAGGCGCAACCAAAATGGGAGGTTCTGGCAGAGGTGCTAGAAGAGATTGATACCGATGCATATCTGAACCCAGTCAACGTTGACGAATCAAATAGTACTGTGCTAATCATGTGTTCCGATCAACGCACCTGCCGACAGATCCGCGAATACCTCGGGACTATGCATGCTGGCGTGGACGCAGCGAAAGCAAAGGATGACAACGATCACCTCGCTGAAAACAATGAAAGAAAATCATTTGGAAATGTCATTATGCGCAGGAGACTGCGAGATTATCTGAACTGGAAGAGCTCTTTGTCCAACGTTAACAAGAATTTGTCATCCCGACCAGATAATGACGAGTCACAAGCTGGGAAGGCCTCGAATTCACCCGGGCCGTCGAATCAGTTAGGAAAAGCGCCTCCCAATAAGCGACGTCGAGTACGTGGTGGAGGTGCAGTTTCCTCAGCTGCCGCACGGGTACCGAATAGTAGTGTACAAACGGACGTCGAACCGTCCGGACAAGTGACCGAATTACTCGATGAAATCCAGCCTACAGAGATCGAGGAGGCCCAAAAGGAGGAGATCGTGATTGACGACCTCGAGGATATGGAAGATTTTTATGAATTATACGATATGAATGACCTCACCGTGGTGCATCCATTCGACGGCGACATGGACGAGCATATACTGGAGGAGATTCGACCCCGCTATATTATCATGTATGAACCTGACTCGGCTTTCATCCGGCGAGTGGAAGTCTATCGCAGCTCTCATGTGGGAAGGAACGTACGAGTATACTTCATGTACTATGGAGGCTCTGTTGAAGAACAGCGATACCTGAGTGCTGTCAGACGCGAGAAGGACTCCTTCACCAAGCTTATCAAAGAGAAGAGTGTAAGCCACTCCTTCGCGATCCCCTTCCTCCAACACAAACACTAACTCGACAACAGAACATGGCCGTCACCATCACACATGACAAGAGCCTTGAAGATCCCCAGGAGCAATTCCTCCGAACCGTGAACACTCGCATTGCCGGAGGAGGCCGCCTGGCCGCCACAGCGACCCCTCCGCGTGTTGTCGTCGACGTGCGAGAATTCCGAAGTGCCCTCCCATCCCTCCTACACGGCAACAACATGATCATCGCGCCCTGTCAATTAACAGTCGGCGACTACATCCTGACCCCGGAGATCTGCGTCGAGCGCAAATCCGTCCGCGACCTCATCACGTCCCTCAAAAACGGCCGTCTCTACAACCAAGCCGAGACGATGCTTCAGCACTACAAAAACCCGCTCCTCCTGATCGAGTTCGACCAGAACAAGTCTTTCACCTTCGACGCCTTCGCCTCCGCAACCACCCCAGGCACCTCCTTCCTCACCGACTTCGGCTTCTCTTCGTCTGGCACTGCAACTACCTCCTTATCAGCCAGCAGCTCCCTCGTGAACCCCTCCAGCCCCAAATCCGCCCAACACCTCCTCGTCCTGCTCACACTGACGTTCCCCCGTCTGAGAATCATCTGGTCCTCGTCGCCCTACCAGACCGCCGAGATCTTCGCCGAATTGAAGAAGAACAGCCCCGAGCCTGACCCGCTCCGCGCGGTCCAGATCGGCCTGGACATGGAGATTGCGTCAGATCCGTTGTCTGCGTCGGGATCTGCCGATATCATGGCCGCGGCGGGCATCGAACATCGCACCTTTAACATTTTGCCGCAGGACATGCTGCGTGCTGTGCCAGGCGTGTCGCCGCAGGCCGTGGAACGGCTGATCCTGGAGACGGGGAATATCACCGAGCTTGCGAACATGGATGTTGAGCAGCTAGATCCGTTAGTGGGGATTGAGGCTGCGCGGAAGATCGTGGGTTTCTTCCGGAAGAGTGTCTTTGATGGGGAATGATAGTAACTCTGGAACTTGTTACATGCACATACTAGGTACCCAACCGACAACTCTAATAATAGCATGTTCGCGATTGATGTACAAAAACTACGTAGAAGTAAACAAAAGACACCGATGCGTTAGGAAATATTTTCATTTTTCGTGACCTTCTTCGCTAATCTATCGACAAGAAAAAAGGAGAAACGAAACAATAAAAAAGAAATCGTAAGACAAAAAAAAAAGCCAATTGCCAGCAAAAAAAGACTACACTGCAAGACAGCAGCCTAGTTTCCATAAAAAGCTTGGCAATCAAATTCCTCTGCAAACTCTCGAGATCTATCCTGTACGATGAGAAAAAAAAAAAGAAAAGATAAAAGCGTAAAGGAGAACACTGATATCCGACTCATTGTGGAGGGGAGATTGTCGAGAGCCCCCAATGATTCATACCCTGAATTGATGACTTGGGAGCAGCACTGGGTACCGTATGGAAACCCCTATTGAGCGGGGGAAAGCGCTGCAACCCTGATCCCTTTTCTCGTTTGTTGTCCGTCAAAGGTTGAGGGAAAGATAGTTTGCCCGAGTGATAGACGATGAACTCGGCCGGCCGACAGACTTCCATCCTGATGTGCAAACTTTTGTGTTTCGCAGGACGAGAAGTCTGCCGAGATCAAATCCCCAAGCAAGGAGGTAGGTAGAGAAACAAACGTATCTTGAAAATTCTCGAGTACCAGAGAAAATATGAAGAAAGGAATAAGGGTCGACGAGAGAGGAAGTTCACAAATAAAACCCAGTGACTCTTTCTAGCAGGGGTGGAATGCATCGGGGACGCAAAAGAAGGTAGCCCTGAGAGGACCAGTTTAGAGCTCGTCGACATCGATCTCCTTCTCGTCTTCGCTCTCGCGGTCCTCGTCGAACTCGACGTTGTCCTCGAAGCCCTCGTGGCCGTAGGTGTCGGTCTCGTTGATCTTGGCGTGTTCGGGCAGCTCGCCGTAGGCCTTGAGACTGCGGGCCTCGTCGGCGGTGTACTTCATGATCACGTCGCCCTTCTCGTCCTGGTAATCACGCAGCGAGAGGAGGATGATGTCACCCTGGTTGATCCAGACCTTCTTCCTCAGCTTGCCACGGATGTGGGCGAGTCGCTTTTCGCCGTCGAAGCAGAGAGCCTCCAGACGGCCGTTGCCGAGCATCTTCACGACCTGCGCATACTCCTGGCCCTCCTCCTTGAACACGAGTTCACGCTTCTCGTTGTCGTTCTCGTTCTTTCCACGGCGACGGTTCTTACCGCCCTGTTTGGTTGGGAAGAGAAATGGTTAGCTTGTGGTTCGAATATTGTGGTTTATCCCGTTCCGGCTCCCAAGTCAAGTCCGCCACAATGGCAGGTACTCCATAAATTCCCACATGCAAGTGAGAAAAGGAAAAAGAATGATTCTGGAGATTCTCGTTTCTGCAGTCTCTCTTTCTTTCTCTCTCGTTCTCTCTCGTTCAAGGAAAGAAGATATGGCCCAAGCGCTGCCTCATCGCGACTTGGAAAAAAACTCTTATGCACAAAGCGGGGTATTTCGTGCGTAACCAACACGAAAACAATGGAAGACAGGGGGAACAAAAAGGTAGGGAAGCTTACTTTTCCCTTGTTCTTGGGCATGGCGGATATTCGTTACCTGTTGATTTAAAACTCGATAACGATACCAGACCGAAGTGCTGATAGAAGAGGAAGTGGGGAGTGGGAGAAGTTGGCGAGGGCGAGCGAGGGCTTTTTCGTCTTACGGCGTATTATTCAGTCGGTGGGCCTGAATTTTGCCTAAGGCTCGCCACAATGTGTTCGCTCTCACCGCTCACCCGACCGGGTCCGGTGTTTCTTTCGGCAGAAAAAAGATGCGGCGAGCGAGAGACCAGTTTCTACGTCGTTCGTCGTTCGTCGTTCGTCGTTCGTTCTCGACTGCAAGGTTGTTCGTGGAGTTGTCCTCCGTCTCTGCTCATCTTGCCTCCTAGACCTCGCCATTCTATCAATCTGACTTCTAGCCGAATCCCGTTTTCCCTGGCCATGAGCGCCCCGAATTCGTCTTAAACCCATCTAGCCAAGGGCTTCCCCGAAGTGCCAACATTAAACCTCCAGTATCTACCTCCTCTTCCTGGGGATACCGACAAGATAACTCCTCCTCTGAAAAGAATACCTTCAGAATGTCCTTTCGAACGAAGTTTTTCACCATACGGTACAGCCCAAATGCCATAATTCCGCCCGTCGCAAACCGATACTTGACCTCCCATTTCAACCCTCTTCAACCGAAGATTCGCCACATGTACAAAAACCGGGATCCATCTACACTGTGGTGGATGGTCTCGGCGCATAATCTGCTCTCACAAAAGCGGGTGGTGCGAACATGGCTGTCGCGGCGAACACGCGCGGCGTTTCAGCAGGCGTTGAGAGACTACGGCTTCGATTCCCAGGGAAAGAGGCTTGCACCTCCATTTATTAGGAAGCCGGGCAGCAGGGGATGTGTTAATGATCTGACCGGTACCGTCGAGATCACACTCAATCCGCGTATGCACGGAGGCGATTTGTCTGGGTTGGATAGCGATATGGCAGTGACGCTGAAAACGATACTACGCCATCGGAAGGGAAAGGGAAGGCCAGCAGTTGCTGAGGGTGAAGCAGTTGCTGGAGGTGAAGCAGTCGTGGAAAAGGGACACCTCCTGGGGGTGCAGCAGTCGTAGAAAAGGGAAGGCCAATTGCTCGTCGGTAGATGGAGGCTCATCCTCTTTTTCATCTGCCTTCTCTGCCTTTTGTACAATAATGTTTCTTTCAGGGTTCACTGTATATTATGGGTTCACGGGGCGACATGGGGTTCGGGCGCATGAGATGCATTGCGTGGTGGGTATATTTATAGATCATACACCGTAGATAGACATGTACATAAAAGAATCAGGCACACTCTCGACTTCACATTCGGAGAAAAGATGAAACACAATTCAAATGACTGCGAATGATCCGCAGGGCTGTCGTACGTGTAGTTTCCCGCTGGGGAGAATCCACGCGGCACTGCCTCCTTGGCGCCTTCGCTAATTGCCGATCCTCAGGCTTGGGCCAGACAACGGACAACTTCACGTTGCATTCTCCCTCTTCCTCGTCTTCCCCCTACCCAGTCCCTTCTCTCTCACCCTCTGTGTCTTTCATGCGCCTGATTTGATCTGCTCTTGCTTCTCCTCTCTTCTTCACGATGTTGGTCTCCTTGACTGTTGGCAAGGTAGACGCTGGTGTCGCCGTGCTCTTGACCCAGGACAACCGTCTTGTAAGCCTTCTCTCCGTCTCTCTTGTTCCTGCAGCAATGGATACATGCGATGAGCGCTTTTTGTCCATGTTCAGGCAATCTCCTCGGCGTCAATCGTCTGCTCAGAATGAGCCCATCTTTGATAACTCAGGCAACCAATGCGTTATCGCAAATCCGCTGACCCTCACTTTGTTTACAGATCGAATTCCCCTCTGTTCTCCTACCAAACAACATCACCTCCGGTAGCATCGTCGATATTACCGTAGCGCGCAACCACAATGCCGAAGCTGCCAGCGCTGCCGGGTTCCAATCCCTCCAGAAACGCATCCTGAACACCTACGGCGTCAAGACGCCCTCGCCGCCCATCCTGCGCCTCCGCAATGCAACCCAGACCTCCCTAGTCCTCGAATGGGAACCCATCGACCTGGCGACCGCCTCTCTCAAATCTCTCTCCCTTTACCGCAACGGTTCCAAGGCTGGCTCGATACCCCGTCCCCTCGAGACCCGCAGCACCAAGATCAGTGGTCTTGCCGTCCACGCCGAATACACCTTCCACCTGGTCCTGCGCACCACCGCCGGCACCTACCAGTCCGAGAAGCTCACCTGTCGCACGCACAAAATGACCGATCTTTCCGGCATCACGGTGACGTCGGGCGTGCTGCCCCCGCAGCAGAGGGACGCCCTTGCGGCGGCGCTGGACCGCATTGGCGGCAAGTTAATCGATACCGTCCGCATCGACACGACCCACTTTGTCTGCACGGAGGGCCGCGGCCCACTGTGGGAGAAGGCTGTCGAGATGAACATCCCCGTCGTCGTGCCCGAGTGGGTGGATGCCTGCGAGGCCGAGGGTACCATCGTCAGCGTCCGCGGCTACTACCTGAACGCCGACCCCAAGGCCAGACAGCTTGGCACGCTTCACGGCTCTACGCAGCATCAGCGCACCACCTCCTCGGCCACCTCGATCCAGCCGCCGCAGACCCCGACTCAACAGTCGCACTCGCAGTCAAGAATGAGTCTTGCGCCTCGCGCCTCGCGCGAGAGAGAATCGCACACGATCGGTGAACCACCCGTGACGCCCTTCCCAGGCGCAAACATGAGCGGACAGCCCACGGCTGCGGAAGACGAAATCACCTCGGACGACGACCAGTCGCCGCCTCCTGCACCACCCCCGAAGGATGAGACCGAAGAGACAGAAGAACCATCATCGAATGGCCCTACCGCGCAGATCGTCGTCACCGAGCCTACCTCTCCGTCAAAAGACCAGCCTTCCAAGGATGAAGAACACGAGAAAGAGAAGGACCAGGATCAAGAACCTGAAAAGGACAAGGAAGTAGCCGCGGCCAATGCCGGTGATAAAGAAGCACAAGAAGATGATTCATCGAGTAACGAACCAACCAAGGAGAAGGGAAAAGAAGGCGAGGGGGACTTTAACGAAGTCCCTCTTTAACGGAGCTACGTGAGCGATTTCTATTTTTCTCTTATGTCTTTTTCTTTTTTCATATTCTCTTAACTTTTTGTTTTACTTTATTCTATTCTATTCCATTCTATCTTGTCCCCCCCTTTTTCTATTATTATTTATTTTCTACTATGACTGAGTGGCCTGACGTACTTGTGGTGTGTGATTTGACAGTGATGTGAATGTATATTTTGTATAAGAACAGAGGCGGGGGCAGAGCAGGGCAAGTACAACTAGAATGTGTCCAAATCCCGGTTGGCCCAGTCCTCGACTAGTCGGAAAAGGGGTGTTGAAGGTCTACTTTCTAGGCACGCCCTTGTTTTTTTGTTTTCTTCTCGAAATTTTATGCCGATTCATGTGTGCTTTGTGGTTCTTTTTTTTTCTTTTTTTCTTTTTTTTCTGTCTGTGTCTCTGTATACGTGTGAGTGTAGCACGCTTATTCTTTTCGATCACCTGTTGTATTTTGTACCTTTTGTGTGTCAGTGTGTCGCTATCATATGTACAGTAGATAGTCTAATGTTATGTATAGGGTCTAGATTTGTTCTCTTCAGAGTAGGTTACTAGTAAATAAATACATATATTGCTGATCCCTCGACGTCTAAAAAGTCAACCGTAACCGAATTCTTTAGTATTCATTCCTCTATATAATATATAAAAAACATTGCCTGATGTCTTATTTATGCTGTGGATATTGAATAATAGCAACTTGTTCAGCCACCTTGCTCGTGGTCGTTATTAGTCAGTCAGTCATGCCTCTTTCTTTCTATCCGTTCACGTTCTCTTCTTGAATATTCGTTTAGTTGACGTTGCGGACAACGTCGTTGATCGCGCGCGCGACGTAGGCGACGTTCTTCTCGCTCACTGCGGAGAAGTGTTAGTATTGTATATTGGGTTGTTGGAGGGGAGGGGAGGGGAGGGGGAATGAGCTTACAGCCGCTGATGGAAGCTCGGCCGGACTTGAGCAGGTAGATGTGGTACTTGTCCTTTAGCGCGTAGACCTGCGAGGGGGTCAGGCCGGTGTAGGAGAACATTCCATTCTGTTGAAGATAGATGCGTTAGCTGATGTGCACTTGCGTATTTAAAAAGAGGGGTGTACAGAGTAGGTAAATGGTGAGTAGAAGAGGGTTGATCGTATGGTCTTACCTGCTCGACGATATGCTTCCAGGTACCCGGGGTCTCGAGACGGACCAGTTCGTCGTAGAGGGCCTTTCGCATCGAGATGATACGCGAGCTCATGACCTTAAGGTTCTCGTGCCATTGAGCAGTGAGGTCGTTGCTCGTCAAGACCTTCTTGACGATGCTGCACCCGCCCGTAGGACCCATGGAGTATTCACCACGGATGTAGTGGCAGAGGTTGTTGACGACGATGTCGCGGAGTTCCTGCTGGCCGTTACCCAAGACGTAGTGGAAAGCGCCGACACGCTGGCCGTAGAGGCCGAAGTTCTTGGAGAAACTCTGCGCCACGCACATCTCCATCTCCGGCTTCTCGTTGAGGAAGTATCGCACAGCCCAGGCGTCTTCGTCGGCGGATCCGGACGCGAAGCCCTGGTACGCGGAGTCGAAGAAGGGGAAGATCTTCTTGCGCTCGCACAGGTCGGCAATGGCCTTCCATTGCTCCTTGTTGGGGTCGAGACCGGTGGGGTTGTGGGCGCAAGCGTGCAGGAGGATGATGTCTCCTTCTTGGGCTTCTGTCTCGAGGGTGGACATCATGCCCTCGTAGTCGAAGGAGCGGGTCGAGGCGTTGTAGTAGGGGTATGTCTTGCGGGGGACGCCGGCCAGTTCCCAGATGGTGAGGTGGTTGGCCCAGGAGGGGTTGGAGAGCCAGACATTCTTGGGCTTCATTTGCTGGGCCAGGAAGATGGCACCCAGGTGGTTGGCTCCTGTGCCGGCGACAGCCTGGACGGAGCCAATGCGGCCCCTGGTGGCCTTCAGCTGCTGGGAGGTGTCTTTCGCATCGAAGCCGAACATCAGGTCCCGAGCCAGCTCGAGAAAAGCGACGTCGCCCTCAATGGCGGTGTACTCGTGGCGGAAAAGGTTGTCGTCGGCGAGCAGACGCTTCTCGGCGTCGCAAACGACGGGAAGAGGCCAGGGCTTGCCATCGTCAGTGCGGTAGACACCAACACCAAGACTGACCTTTTGGGGGTAGTCATCGGTGGCATATGCGCGGTTCAAGGCGAAGATCTCGTCGGCCGGCACCGGCGCCAGAGTGCTAAGGACAGTCATTGTGATATAGTATTAATAGGAGTCACCACACAGCGCGGTCAATTGGTCTGGTTCCTGGCTGAGAAAACCAAGGGATGCCTGGTAGTTAAGATTAAGGTTAAAGAGAAAGATGAGGTGGAGGAACTGGTGGGCTGGAATTAAATAGGAACTTAAGAACCGTGCTGGAGCAAGCGTGGGCACTAAAGATCAGCAAAGAATGTCTATGTTCCCTAATGTAGTAAGTGAGTGACGGGGTGGATCTGCATGAATCGGTAATTTGTCTTTGGATATTTTAGCATTGGCCCGATATCGCCGTCGCGGGCGAGTATTAAATACTCCTTAGTCAACCGGGTGCAATTTTTTTTTTATGTTTGCCATCGGACCGTCGCCTCTTGATGAAAGTTAACCGCAGCGGAAAAGATCGCTTAGTGAAGGGTACCTGAAACTGTGGGTCGATCAATGGGGCCCGAGGAAAGCATTCTCACTGGCGGAGAAGAAAGCCAGCATCATAATGCCCAGAATAATGTGAACAATGTGACCATTGACGGCTGCAACGTCGGTTTTCCATGGTCTGCCTCTTAGGTATGCTAGTCTGGAATAGACGGTGTAGTTCCGACTGTAGACCGCATCCTGTTTTTGGGTTGACATATCCTTGGAGATTCTTTGTTCAATGGTCTTGCAGGACTTGAGGCATCATCTGCAATACCAAATGCAAGGGATTCGGCTGACGTGCTCCGTATCTCGTTATTTGTTGTTTCTCCTAAGTTGTCTTTTTGTCTTCTGCGTTATGCTTATTCTTATCGTGTTTCTCTTGATAAGGTAGATGCCCACTGATTTGCCTCCGGAGATCTAGTCCTCTCATCAGCACCCCACATTTTATTGTAGCCGACTATTATGAACATAATACAGATCTGGAGATCTCTGATGGAATTTCAGAAGACTTGTTGCATCGGGATCATCTTGAAAGTAGAAATGGTGCTTGAGCTTAGTATTCCTATGTCTCCGTTCTACTATCAGCAATGCAACTGCAACACAATATATAAACGCGACACACCAGATGCTACTCGCGCAGCCTATATTCCTTGTTCTTTCTAACTGAACCTGACTGAGTCAAGTCTCGTATTTCGGGATATGATATCACAAAAAGAAGCGCATCTGCTTGTAGTATTGACAGAAGAGAATGGACATCAGTGGTTGGTGAACCAACACCTCTACTAGGAGCGACAAGACTCTCTAGCCGAGCCGAGGATACTGATAATGTGACCGGAAGGATCGCTGGATTACCAGTAACCAGGATGTCCTCCGCGTAATGACAGAAGGATGGTGTCGGGATGAAAGGACGATTGATAAGGGAAGAGGGGTTGTGAGGGGAAAAGCTGGCGGAAAGTCACCTGCCCGCGCTTTAAGAAGGCTGATTCGGATTGTTCAGTTTGAAAGTCATCCCATGACCTTTCAACTTAATATCCTGATTTGTTGTCCTGAGAATCTTCTATCTGATCATGACTGTGACCCAGGCATCTCAAATCTCACCCAACGACCTGCACTCGTTGCGGCCAAGAACGATTATCCAACCACTCCACAATAGTATTCCCCCGGAATTACTCCCACGATTTGACCCGGTCTATGTGGAGCACCATAACAAGTATAACGCGGGACGCCTACATACGCACGAGGTGCCAATCGAAGAATTTCGAAAGAACCCAGCTAAATTCGTCACTGCATACGGCCGCGCCGTTGGCCCGGATGTTTTTAGGATTACCCAGCAGAAAATACCCGTCGAGGGAGGAGAAATAGCCGTGCGGATCTTTGAGCCCGCAACAATCTACGACGAGCAAGGTAATCCCAAGAAGAGGGCCGCATACATCAACTTCCACGGCGGCGGATGGGTCTTTGGAGATCTCGCGGTGGACCATGATTTCTGCAAGCAACTGGTCCACGGTCTAGACGGCCATTTGGTGGCCTTTGACATCGACTATCGTCTAGCACCGGAGAACAAATTCCCTATACCCGTGGAGGATTGCTGGACAGCTTTCAACTGGGTTAGTCTATTTCTCTTACGAGTCAACCGCAGTCGACTGACTCGACCTAGGTCCGGTCACAGAAAGCCGAAGAATTCAATATCGACCCGGACCGGATGGCGGTTGGCGGCGCTTCAGCCGGAGGTCATCTTTCAGCTGTCATCGGCCATCTTTGCCGTGACTTCAACATCCCTCTCCGCTTGCAAGTGTTAGCAGTGCCGGTGTGTGACTTGCATAATGTCTTTACACCGGATGGGGAATTCGACCGCGAGAATTGTCCATATGAATCCTATCGAGAGATGGAGTTTACGACCGCCCTTCCGATGGCACGAATGAAGTACTTCCATAAGCACTTTCTGGGGCTCCCAAGGCCTGCTAGATCTGAGGAGGTAGGCATCTATTGGCGGCATAAAAAAAAATTAAAAAAGAGACAACATAGATCGTATGCTGATACACGCCACAGGACTGGAATATTTCGCCCATACTTGCTCCCAACTTCTCCAACCTAGCCCCGGCTCTGGTGTTCACGGCAGAAATGGACCCTCTGAGGGACGAAGGGGAGGTCTACGCCGCGAAACTCAAGGAAGCTGGATGTCGGGTGGAACTGACACGCATGACGGGGGCACCTCACACGTTCATTCATCTAGACGGCATTCTGGATGCGGGGAAGAAGTACAATGCGATGGTGATCGAGGCGATGAAGAGGGAACTCGTAGAGTAAATAATCACAAAGACGGCAGAAGGGAAGAGTATAGAGCGGCGGGATCAGGGTTTATCCGGGAGCAACAATTACCATACCGTACTCGATACCTGTCTATTCCGCCGGGAGGGGTATGGTATTCCGCGTAATACCAGGACCGGGCCGGGTGATTTCGGCAGTCCTCATCGGAAGGGAGGGTCGACGCTCTTCGACCGAATCCTTTGCCAGTCGAGCGCGACTTTCGTTTTTGCTTCTCTTCCTTCTCTTCCTCCATTCTGCGAGGCGATTTCCCTTTGCCATTGATTCTTATCTTCTTTGTGAATTCCTTTAATAGACTCTGTCGGTTTAGAGTCTCTAGCTTCTCCATTGAGTTTTTAATTAGAGCTAGACCAGCGTCGGCATTTGAAATCGTCATGTTGTCATCCACGAACTCCTCCCGGGCGGTGCGCTCGATGGCTTCCTTCGCATCGCGAGCGTCCACCGCCAGCTCTCCCGCAATCACCCGCACTGCTTTGCGCTCCCCCGCATCGTTCGGTTGCCGCTCCCTGAGCTCCAATAGCCGTCCTCTTCAACAATTCCCCCGCCTTCAGTCCCTCAACATCCTCGCCAACAAGAGAGCTTTTGGCACAACCGTCAGAATGGTACTCCCGCCTGCTTCTGGATTGCGCTGTACTTCGGAGACGATGCTGACGATTGTTCTCTACCCCTCATAGGCTTCCGCTCCCCGTACCGAAAGTGATGCCTTTGGTGAAATCCAGGTGTGTTTGCCCCGTTCGACGGACATCTCGCTGTTATAGGATCTAATTGCGGTTGTGTTATCTCTAGGTCCCCGGCGATAAGTACTGGGGTGCGCAGACCCAGCGGTAAGAGACCATCGTCAACCCACCGGCAACACAAGCTTGCACCAACTCCATGCGATATTGCGGAGGATGCTGATTTGAGGCGAAAACAGCTCCCTGGGCAACTTCGATATCAACCAGCCCCAGGACCGCATGCCCGCCGCCGTGGTGAAGGCTTTCGGTATCCTCAAGGGTGCTGCCGCCACCGTCAACATGAACTATGGCCTTGGTGCGTTATGCCTTCTTGTCCGATAAAGGTCAATTCTATAGTGCTAATACTTTCACCGCAGACCCCAAGATCGGCAAGGCTATCCAGCAGGCTGCCGCCGAGGTCGCGGAGGGCAAGCTTCTGGACCACTTCCCTCTTGTCGTCTGGCAGACCGGCTCCGGCACCCAGTCGAACATGAACTCCAACGAGGTCATCTCCAACCGTGCCATTGAAATCCTGGGAGGCCAGATGGGCTCGAAGAAGCCCGTTCACCCCAACGACCACGTTAACATGTCCGCTTCCTCCAACGACTCCTTCCCCACCGCCATGCACATCGCCGCTGTCATGGAGCTCGAGAACAGACTGCTTCCTTCCCTGAAGAGCCTGCGTGATGCCCTGCAGGTCAAGGTGGACAAGTTCCAGAGCATCATCAAGATTGGCCGTACTCACCTGCAGGACGCCACCCCCCTTACTCTTGGGCAGGAGTTCTCCGGCTACGTCGCCCAGCTCGACCGCAACATCGAGCGTGTCCAGGCTTCGCTCCCCCACCTTCGCTTCCTGGCCCAGGGTGGTACCGCCGTCGGCACCGGCCTGAACACCTTCAAGGGATTTGACGAGGCCATCGCTGCCGAGGTCTCCAAGCTGGCTGGTACTGAGTTCAAGACTGCTCCCAACAAGTTCGAGGTTTTGGCCGCCCATGACGCCATCGTCGAGGCCTCCGGCTCTCTGAACACCCTTGCTGCCTCCCTCTTCAAGATTGCCCAGGATGTTCGTTACCTCGGATCCGGTCCTCGCTGTGGTCTGGGCGAGCTGGTTCTCCCCGAGAACGAGCCCGGTTCCTCGATCATGCCTGGAAAGGTCAACCCCACCCAGTGCGAGTCCCTCACCATGGTTTGCTCTCAGGTCATGGGTAACCACGTCGCTGCCACCATTGGTGGCATGAACGGCCAGTTCGAGCTCAACGTCTTCAAGCCCGTTATGATCCACAACCTGCTGCACAGCGTGCGCATCCTTTCCGACGGCATGAAGAGCTTCGAGAAGAACCTCGTCCATGGTCTTGAGGCCAACGAGCCCCGCATCAACAGTCTCCTTCACGAGAGGTATGTGCATCTTCACTTCTTCGACAACATCCCCCATACTCTTTTGTCTAACCCGTATTCTAGTCTGATGCTTGTTACCTGCCTCAACCCCGTCATTGGCTACGACATGGCCTCCAAGGTTGCCAAGAACGCTCACAAGAAGGGCCTCACCCTGAAGCAGAGTGCTATGGAGCTCAAGGCTCTTAGCGAAGAGGACTTCGACAAGCACGTTCGCCCGGAGCTGATGCTGAGCCCCAAGGAGAAGAAATAAATATATTCAGCGAATATCGGGCAAGCAGGATGAAGTTGCCTTGGGTTCGTTTTAGATGTAGCGAAGATTAGCATTTTCTATGTATTCTGAAGAAAATATTACTGTACAATTTTTGGCCTATTAAATTTAGTGTCCTATATATATATATATATGAATTTTTTTTTAAAAAAGTGATCTATGAATTTCTTTTTTTCTCGGAGTGCCCGTCAGTCCGACTGAGATGCGGGAGGCTATTTTTGGAAGCCAGCGATCGGGAGCTGCGCCGACAAAAATTAGTGTGCCCCAACTGCATGGCAAAAGCAATAGTCTGGACTAAGAAAAAAATAATGCATGTTGGCTGGGACCGATTTGATATCATTTTAGCTTATTCTTTCAGGCACGATTTTTTCACGCTAGACTAGGTGAGCCAGGGATAAATGAAGATTGGATAGACAGGAGGGAAAAATACCTGTGGTATTGATTGTGTCTCACACTTGGACCATGGGACCGGGCAGTGTTGTTAGGTATTTTTTCGGGCTTGTTTATCAGTTGCCTCGTCCTCCTTCGGGGAAACAGTTAACCTGTCCTCCTTCACTTTCTTTCTCCCCATCCATTGTCTGCTACATTGAATCTACTCGTATCACTGTCCTTCGTTAAACTCACCAAGCTATCTTACTGGAACACTTCGTTTGGTTCCTGCTTGCTTATCTTATTTATTACTCTAAACCTATCTTAATTGAAAGACCCCGCTGTCTCACTCTGCCAACGGACGACTACTTGTCCTACAAAATCTGATAGTAAATCGGTCTCTACTATTCCACAGCAAATACACCGACTCTCACATATCTATACCTCACATTCTCCTGTCAAAATGACCAACATCACCGCCGCCACTACCACTGCCACTCCTATCCCTGCGACCAAGGCGGCCGCAAACTCCCTCCCCACCGAAGATGCCCCCCTTTTCCCGACCTCTTTGATCTCCGCCGAAGTGGCCGCTCAGCTGCCTCAGGATTACACCATCCGTCCCATGCGCCGCTCCGACTACAAGCGGGGTTACCTCGACGTCCTGCGTGTGTTGACCACCGTTGGAGAAATCACCGAAGAGGCGTGGGACAAGCGGTTCGACTGGATCTCGTCCCGCAACGATGAATACTACATGCTTGTGATTGTGGACGGAAAGGACCGTGTGGTCGGCACGGGCAGCTTGATCGTGGAGCGCAAGTTCATCCACTCCCTGGGTCTGGTCGGTCACATTGAAGATATTGCCGTGGAGAAGGACCAGCAGGGAAAGAAGCTGGGATTGAGAATCATTCAGGCCCTGGACCACGTTGCTTGCAGTGTTGGTGCTTACAAGGTAAGGCTTATATTCTCCTTCACATCCCATCTAGGGTGTTCTCGTTGACTGACAACTTCGTATCACAGACCATCCTGGACTGCTCAGAAATCAACGAAGGTTTCTACCAGAAGTGCGGCTTTAAGCGTGCCGGTCTCGAAATGGCTCACTACTACTGAGTCTGAAGCCCTTTCTGGGTCGTTGATTTATATACTGGCGTTATCATTATCGGATTCGGGGTGGGGTTCGATTTATCGTTCGGGGTATTCATCGTTACGTCTGTGACGGGCCCTCTTGATCGATCCCACAGCTCGGAATCCTTGGTTGGCGGCTGGTGAGCGAAATGCTCGGCGTTATGTATAGACTGCTTGCGTGTTGGAGATTCTGTTGGATAAGGTTCGCATAGGAACTGCGACTGAAGCGTGCATAGGCAAATTCTTGTCAATGAAGAGCCTCATTGATCCTTGGGGTGTTCTTGTGCCTTCATTTCCCTTGTCTTTGGTTTCTCCATGACCTCATGCATGGGGTCATTTTGATAGAGTTGGAATGCCATGCGTGGGTTCCGTATGGTCTGTTGGACCAAATTAATAAAGCAACCTCATCAATGCTTTTGATCAATCTACTTTCTTTGTTTTAGGAAACTTAGTTCGAGCCGACTCTGTCTAGATTTCCGGCCGCTGCGATTGATAAGGACTGGACGACGGCATACTTAGGCTATCCACCTAGTCATGATGGGTAAACAAGAGGGGCTCTTTGTTCTGGATACGAGCTACCTTTCTCTTCACTCTTTTCCCTTTCTGACCATTCCATAAAGATCTCTGCAATGCTTTTACTCTATGATTTTTTATTTATATAGTTTTGATTCGGCTTTCTTTACCAGAATCTCGACGGACGGATGTTTGATTACTTTAACATACCCCTCAAAACGGCCTAGTGCAGGGCTCGGGCCCTCTGGTTTCCTTGCTGCATGGCGGACTATGTCATACATTCATCAGATCTACGTCTACCAATGTCATTAGGACATGACATGTTTCTTCCATCTCACTTAGGGGGCGCAACCTGGAAAGTGTAGACGCCTGAACTGGGTTTGGGCCGGGCGATCCGTTCCAGCGGCAATCCTACAGCTTAGTCTGGCGAAGGATCATTTGAGCCAGAATGGACCAACTTACACTCATGGCATACAGCGTCCAAGAGTTTTGCGCCGGTGGAAATCTACAGATTACAGAGATAAGGCGAAATCAATACGAGCAAAACGAAAACATAAGGCTGATCATATCACATCCAATTTTCCATTTTCTGGTAAAATAGTAAAAACCATGGCGCGCAATGAATCATCTGAAAGCCCATTGCGGGGGTGGTAGGGAGGGAGGGGAAATATTCTCAACCTAATGCATTGCACTCATGAGAAAGCTCAATACGCCGGAAATCCGTTGTCTTTTGAAAAAGTTGAAAAGGTTTTTGTGTAAAGGAATAACGTAAAAAACCGAACACAAATTTCATTTCCGGCTCCGGTTAATAACCTCCCAAGTTTCCCAGCGTCAAATAAAAAAGAACATGTTTTTCCTCTTTTAAGAAATTTCCCCAGCCCAATTGCCTAAACCGCTTCGATTTCGTTTATCTTAACGCGACTTGGCGGCGACCTTGGGAGCAGAGCCCTTGGCGCCCTGCTTGCTCTGGATGCGCTGAGCACCACCCTTGCTGGCGGCGAGCTTGGCCTTCTCGGCCTTCTTCTTGCTCTCGGAGGCGGCCTTCTTGTCCTTGGCGTCCTTGATGGCCTGCTGGCGAGCGGCGGCACGGGCCTCGGGGCGCTGGTTGCGGCGCTCCTTGATCACGTCGAGAGAGGCACCGACGATGGCACGCTGGCTCTTAACAGCACGGCGGGTACGCTTCTTGGCAACTTCCTATTCACGGTGAAAAAGAATCCGTCAGCATTTGTCTCCTTTTGCCATGTCTTGAAACCTGCAGTTATTTCCGTTCGTCGCTTTTCTTCATCCTTTCGATAGACAATAGGTGCTGCGCAAGTCGCTCTTGTCGAATAGTCACCCCCGGGCTCCTTTGACCACATCCCACATCCCACATCCTCTCCCATCTCATTGAACGGAAATAACCACACGTCTCAACCGAGGGGGAAATTGAACTGGCGGTACTGACTTCAGAGATACCCTTCTTGTGCTGGCGACGGAAGAGGACAGTCCAAGCTATCCGGCGAGGGTTCTTGCGCTGGAGGAAGAGGGACTCGGACTTTCCATTCTGGAAGCGGAAGATCTTGCTGTCGCCACGGACGAACAGCTTACCCTATAAGATTAAAGTCCATGGTCAATAATTCGTCCTTTCTTTTTGAGTAAAAAAAAATTATCGGGTCTTGTGCGGGAGAAAATATCCCCTCCTTCTCGAGGTAGGTAGGGGATTCGGGATTGGCGGCTTGATGACGACGGGTTTTCGATCCTTGTGTCCGCCCGTTTTTTGTGAAGAGGAAGATGGAACGCACCTTTCCGGGGTAGATCTTCTGACCGCTGAAAGAATCGTCGTAGGTACGCATCTTGAACGTCGGAGATGCGCGACCGGGCGAGACGAGATGTTGTCGGTTGGCGTTGGGTGGTTGAGTCGATTCGGTCTCTGCGGCGTAGCGGATCGCGAAGTCTGGCACAATTGTGGTGCGGGTGCGCTCGCTAAAGTGCAGTGCGCCACGTGACCTCGGCTGCCCTTGGCCGGCCGCGCTGCTTCCTACTACCTACATACATCTTCCGTTATGGGAGTCATGACTATGTAAACCATCCTTTTTAGGGGAGGGTTCACTTTATTCAGAGTAGTTTATGGCGTGGAAAAAATGAACTTTTACTTGGGTTTTCATTATTCCTCCATGATTCATTGGTACAGGGTCTTTTCGTCGACGGATAACGGAACAACTTGTCGAAGTGCCCATACATTTTCCCAGAAGACTTGACAATTCATGTCCAACGTCGCCCATATCCTTGCATATCGCTTAATTCCGTCTCATTCATGACTCGTTATCTCATACCACGTAATTTCGCTAGTCTCGTGGACTGTCATCCCCCCTGGGGGTGCCAGTCGCAGGGGCCCCAGGGATCCGCCTTGCACTCCTATGTAAAACGCTCCGTTAACATCACTCATAGAGACTATCTCAAGTCGGCGATGGGAAGACTGAGTCGCATACCTTGCACTGCACGTCGCGGCAGATCACATTCGGACACACGCCGCAGCAGCTAGGGCACACGTAACGACCACAACCGCCTGGCTGGCTACACAGCTGGTAGGTGTCGAGATCCGTGATATGAGGGCTCAGGGTCTCGATGACCTCGAGGATGCGCTTCGCTTTTCCAAGCTCCTCAGCGTCTGCGCTCTCTCCAGCGATGGCTCTGTTAGCGCCTGCGTACATACAGCATGCACCGTCGCAAACCGGACAGGCACCACGGCAGCGAATGCATTTGAGGTTCGCGGTGTCCCAGATACGGACGTCGTCCTTTCTCTCTTTCTCGTTGGGATCGCTGACATCACGGAACTTCACTTCGGTGCCGGTCATCCGGCGCACGTACTCGACCTGTTTCTCGGTTAGGAAGTTGCTTTGATTGAGGGAGGAGAAGCAAGGTCGGGACGCTATAGTTACTTACCAGCTCCTGCTTCCTGCTTTTAGCCTCCGCCGGGGTCTCCTCGTCCACATTCTTGAGGTGCAGAGCAGATTGGTGGTATTTCTTGGATAGCTTTGCGCCGGACTTCTTCTTGTCCATGGCCTGCTGTGCGGCGTCTTTCATTTTTGGCAGAAGACCGGGCTCGGGGGCCTTGGGAGCGGGTCGAGGCTCAGGAAGATCCATGTCGACAAGCATGTAATCTTTTTCGGGAGATCTGGTTAGCTTGGCTCAAGCACTGAACGCAGTTGGACTTGGAAACGAGAACAAAAAGAAAAACAGAACATACCAGCGGGCGAGATGTATTTCAACTTCAGAGGCACCGAGGGGGAAGTAAAGGAACGCTTTCCTTCGATACCAGGACGACTCAAAGGACTCATGAGATTACCAGCACCACCTTCTGCTGCCTTTGAAGCACCGGCCAAGTTGGCTTCGCGGACTGTCAGTGAATCAGACGCAGCAGAAAAAGAGGATGCGCCGAGACTCGCGCGCCTGAGGCCAGATCCCAGGCCAGATGAAGGAGACTTCGGCGCGCTTCCAGTCAACGCTCTCAGTCTTCTTTTGAAAACGTTCTCTCTAGGCGAGGCCTGCTGCTCTCCCTCGAAGCCGGCAGCTGTGATCGACTTATTCTCCTCAGACAGCACCGGCATGGTCAACTCAACCTTGGTGTCATCCTTGGTCTGAAACGCCGACTCCATCTGGCTCACCAGACTCTCAGTGAAGCCTTCTTCCATCTTGGATGCCGGTGCTGCGGTAGCGCTAGATCTAGATCTAGAGCCACCAGCACCGAAGAGAAACCTCCTGGAAGAGCGACGTTTACCGGCCTGTGAAGTGGATGAAGACGGGGATTGTTTTGCGCAGCCGCGTTGCTGGGGTCCGGAATAGGTCCATGAGTCTGGTCACGGTCTTGAACCGCGGGTCTGGAAACGGAGCTAGCGGGCTCATTATCTTGCGAGAGGAGATGTGTGGAGGAATGAGTCTCTTTACCTGACGGGGGTCTGTGAAAGGGGCTTTTTGGGCCTTTCTTTTGCCCTTGGGTTTGTTGCTGGTTGAGGGTGACATCGTTCACTGCATGGGTGGGTTGTAGATTTGCTTTAAAGGAGTGTACTCTTGGTGAGTAGGAAGTAGGTAGTATAGAATTGTTAAGAAGTAGATACTGTGTGTGAAGGGGTCTAAGGATAGTGAATATGTTATCAAGGTCTGTGATTTACTAGACACTGAGTTATGTTTGCCTTCAAGTTTACTTCTACTGCTGTGAATGAGAGCAAGTAGGGTTATGTTCTAGATACTGAGTGAATATAAAAACAGAAAACGTGCACTCTAAGTGTATTTGTTAGTAGGTTATCTGCAGAACAGCTTTCTTCTAGTTCATGCTTGAAGGGTTCCTCAATTTACGGATAATAAGCCCGTGAGATATATGTTTGTTAAACTAACTTTGCTCAGCGCACTAGTACTTAGACCTGTACCCCAAGCGCAAATTCACGTTTAAATTTGTATGTATTCTGGTGAAGCCAATAGCAACTGTTATGCTACCAGACTAAATAAGATAGTGCACCGCCGAAACAAATTAATGTGAGCCTTGGTTTATAGGTTTGCCCCTTCCTGCTCGATGTCCTCTCAGACCGGATTGACTAGCATACATGGGGACAAGGAACTATTTCGAATATACTTTTGAATCTACTGAATACAATAGAAGTGGATGAAAGAAATTCTATTCCAGCTTAATCGCTCTATCACAAATATTCGGAATCGCCATTCCACGAGATAACATGGGAACACCAGAAGAACTTAGAGCATTTCTTCACAGGCATAAGCGACAGGAGCGTTTCGTCGTGGAATGGCATGAATAGGGTGAAAAAGGGGCCCAAAGTCGAGTCCTGATGTAATTCGATGAGAGAAGACATAAGTAGTAGGAAAGGTGACCTGCTCTCGCGGATAAAAAGATGATAAGGATCTTAGGACCATAGAAACTGATCCAAGCAAAAAATGCCAGACAAGCCAACCAACGCGCCGTAGTAATTTTGTCTTTTGTCCTCTTCTCTTTATTTCCGCTCGTTTCATGGTCACATCATAAACGCGGTCGCTCAATTTCTGTCAATATGAAAAGGATGATTGCCCAATTTTGCTAGTCTCATAATCTAAGTCATCGCGTGCGTCCTGGTCCACTCCTTCGCTGTCTGGATCGCAGCCGGCTCATCTTCCTTCCAGCGCTGAGCAACGTCGTTGGCAAGCGGGTCGTCGGGGTTGGGAGCACCTAGTAGGGCTTGGATCGAGAGGAGGATTGTGCGGATTTGGAGAGCGGGGGACCAGTTGTCTAGTAGAGATGAGTAAGTCGAGGTCCTAACGGGGATATTGGCGCGCATGCAGATTAAGCAGGAAACATACTCTTCAAGACATCCAAGCAAATTCGTCCGAGACGGTCGATGTTGGGGTGGTAGATCTTGGTCAAGAATCGGATCTTGGGGGGCGTCATAGGGTAGTCTTCAGGCAGGAACAGCTCAAGACGGAAGATGCCACCTTGTTGGAGTCAATATACAGTGGCCTGAAAGCTTCAAGTATAGAGTGCATTACCTTCATACGGGGATTGCGCGGGTCCATGGATCGAGACATCGAAATATCGCAGGTTTTCTTCATGGGGCACTGCGTTGATACCGGGGACGCTGGAAAATAGCAACAGATCAGTAACTGAACCCTCTCGTCTAATAGTCAATATATCGTACGGTTCGGCCATAAGGCGCTCGGTCTCTTTAATGATTCTCTTGGGCAACGCCATATTGTTTCACTCTAGTCCCCGCGTTTGTGATGGTTCAAGGTGGGGTATGATTCGTCGTACAGCTTCGAAGCTGGAGGTGGCCGGCACTTGCGGTTCGGCAGGGATCTTCCAAGGGGCCCGGAATGAAGAAAGGGAATTGCTCACGAGCGGATGGCGCGAGTCTGAGCGTTAGGATCAGCGGGGAATCTTTGTCAGGCCAGATCTTCAGGCAGTCGAAGTCGGAACGACGTAACCGACCGAGGGGCACGACGGAGAAGGTTTTTCTGCTCGGCCGTACCGACTCCGGAAGGCTGTAGACACTACTCACGTAGTCCAGCAGACTAAGCCCCATCGGGCGCATGGAGGGAATCCCCACAGCGAACTTGCGGAGTTGCCCTACCGACCTCATAGCTCATTCCCTGGCAATCTGGACGGAGTGGTTGGTCAAGCTACATGTCCCTATCTACTGCTCTACGTGCTGACATCCACACCATTTAGTCAATCCCCGTGATCCTCATTGACACCTCGCGCAATTGCTTCACGTTCCAAACCCAGTTGGCCGATCGATTTTACGATGCGCATGCAGTTCTCGATCCCCTTCACAGTTAACGGTTGACCGCTCGCCTCCGCCGAAAACCACCGAAATGATATTCGCCTGTAGTACCGCGCATGCTGTTGTACCAATGCATTGGATGACACCTGGATACCGAGTTCATTTATAAACTAGTCCCTGCGCAGCATTGGACAGACACGAAAACACAGAACAGTCGACAGGTCGAAGTCCCGCAACGGCACAATGTCCGATACCGTGGAGCCCAGGCCTCTGACGTCGGCCTTTGAAAGTCCAACTTTCGGGGAAGACAGCTCTTTTCACGTGGAACAGCCCGTGGGATCAATGTCAATATCGCCATGTGGACGTGACGTGGTTCTGGCTTCAAAGGAGGGCCTGCATGTCATTGACCTGGATTCACCATATTCACCACCTCGGTATCTCCCGCATCATACACCATGGGAGGTCGCAGATGTTCAATGGTCTCCGTTTGCCGCTCGAGATTACTGGGTTGTGAGCACGTCGAATCAGAAGGCGTTGGTTTGGAACTTGGCTATGAAGACCTGGCAGAACTCTATTGAGCTTGTTCTCCATGCCCACACGCGAGCCATCACGGATATCAACTTCTCCGCCCATCATCCGGATACTATAGCGACATGTGCAGTTGATAGTTTTGTACACTGCTGGGACCTACGATCACCTGCGCGCCCAGCGATCACATTCTCCGATTGGTTCGCCGGTGCGACGCAGGTGAAATGGAACCGACAAGACCCCAATGTCATAGCGAGCTCTCATGACAGGTTTCTGCGGATATGGGACAAAAGGAAGGGTGCATCTCCAATCAAATCCATCGAGGCGCACAATACCAAAATTTACGGCGTTGACTGGAACAGAGTCCGCCCAGGAGCTCTTGTGACTTGTTCGCTGGATAAGACCGTCAAATTCTGGGATTACACTGTCGAAGGTGAAATGCCGGAGAAAACCATCAGGACCCCTTTTCCGGTGTGGAGAGCGAGAAACACACCCTTTGGGTGGGGTGTTCTGGCCATGCCTCAGAGAGGCAACAGTGACCTTCATCTATATAGTCGCAGGGCTGGCGAAGGCTCCAATCCGGATGAAGATCTCCCGCTGGTGCATAGTTTCCCCGGGCACAAGGGCCAAGTGAAAGAATTTCTATGGAGAACTCGCGGAGGGGAGTCGGATGGGATCGACCATCGGGAATTTCAATTAGTATCATGGGGGACAGACAGGGAGCTACGGCTACACAGAGTCAATCCCGATATTCTGCAAGGAGTTGGATATCGAAAGGGCGATTCATTCCTAACAAATTTGAACCTCACCCGCAGGGGCGCCGCTTATCGAAGTTTCCGGGATGAAACTGTGAGCCAAGAATACGAAGATTCGGACTCGGCATCTGCTTTTCAGGAACCTGGCACCCATGGTGCTCCTGGAATGAGCACCGTGACTGCCCCGTCTGCTCGTTCTTGGAATGGGGGCAACCCAGATTCGAGGATCGGCATGCAAGGCAGGTCAAATGTGCGCGCCGACACCAATCCAATCTCATGGATGCGAGGCGTTAAGATATCAGGGTGGGAAGTTGAGACTTTGGGAGATGAAATCACGCATGTTGGAGAAAAGTTTACCAAAGTCTCCTTCGAGTCTGTTGATGTCCGCCAGCGCAAGGCAACAATATCCCTCCATGGGCCATGGGGAACGGATGGGGTCTCTTTGTTCTTGAAAGTGGACATCAAATTCCCAGTTGACTACCCGAAGTCTGCAATGCCAACTTTCAGCGTACAGAAGACCTCTGCTGTTACCGATCAGCTCTCCGACAAGATCATTGGTGAGTTGCGTACAATAGCGGAGACTTATCTTTCCCACAAACGAGGTTGTCTTGAAGGTGTTGTCCGTTATCTCCTTGGCGAGAGCAGCCTAGAAGAAAGCATTGCTTGGATCCTTGGGGAAACCGTCGAGACGGTCAAATCTCCGGTCAACGGACAGATGGGTGGCGAAGAATCTAGTGATGAGGATGAAGTTGGGATGTCTCAAAGCCAGGAGCTAGGAATGAGCTCTGAGTTGCTTCGACCCGTCAATGCTAACGTCATGGTTCCCGTAGCAAAGGTATGCGGTGCGCTATGGGCCAATGATGGTCGCTTAGTGTGCTTTTTCCCTTCCAAGAAGAACGATTCCGCCTCTTTCCTAGAAAACTTGGGGTTCAAAGAAATGTCTAGAGCGGACAAAGTCTTTGAGGGATTCGGCAGATTGCAGACAAACTCGCCTGGTCCCCGCATAAGCAGTGGCATTGCGAGCACGGACGATGGAGCCTCTGAATACTCGGACGATTCGGAGGCAGAAACGTCGAGCTCTTCCGGGTCTTCTGGTATCTTGTCGAGTCTGCAGCATCGGTTTCCAACACCTCAAACCTGGCGCAGTGCTGGTAGCCTTGGTTTGTACCGACCGAGGTCCACCGACAATTCTCAAAGGTCGACAGTTGGTGCGATGACCGCCAAGTCGTCCGGACAGGCCCAGAATGTGATATCGATATATGACTTCAGTGACCTGCTCCCAGCAAAACGTGACTTGGCAACTGGCTATCGCATCTACGGCAAAGGAGCAGACGTATGTGCTCATAACGCCTCTGTGGCCCTGCAGCAGGGCTACCATGAGTTAGCACGGATCTGGGGGCTTGTGAAACTTATATTACACAACGACAAACGCCCTGTTCCTTCCACAAGCTTGGATTCCGTCGGAAGAAGTAGGCAAATCCGGAGAAAAGATAGTGCTGTGGACTTGAGTTTTGACACGAGGGGCCAAGATCCTCGGGCAAAAGATGCCTTGAGCAGCATTATCCAATGGGGAGCCCATCCTTTTGGTAGCCACTGGCTTATTCCGGCACTATTTGACCACTTTGAACGCATTGGTGACGTACAAATGGTCGCAATGCTGTCCTGCGTGCTCGAACAGTCTAATCGTCAGAAACGATCGCTGAATCAAGAACGTCGCGGCAGGGCAACGTTAAAGAAGATGGACAACCAGTCTTTCTCGCTGGACTTTGATTCACACCATCCCTCCCAGAGCAAGTCTCAAGCCACTACGCCATTGATTTCCACGCCTAAAGACAGCCACACCACCCCGGTCACACAGAGTTCTGGGCGATCCTCTTCCGAGATATGGCGTGCTGATTCCACGCCCCCGTACTCAACAGGCACTACTCCCCCGTTGGCGTCTCGTGGGCTGGTCACAGAAAGGAGGATGATGGGACACAACACACCAGTAGCCGTCTCCCCCGACCAGCAATCTCAACCACGCAGTGGATCAGGGATTGGCTCTGTTCTCGCTTCTTCCTTATCCCGATCGTTCACATTTGGACCTTCTTCGGCGTCGCCACCTACTAGTGCCCTTAGCAAGAGAAAGCAGAGTCCGAATGGCAGCCCAAACCTAACAGGCGGCTCGGGTATATGGTCTACAACATCTTTTCCCTCAAAACCTCCTTCAACGGTTCCGGAATACCTCACGGCTACGTCCACCGCTGTCACCTCGCAAACTCATTCCGACACCGAGAGCGAGAAGCCGGAGCGAGGGGCAGCAGCTAAGCCGCAGCTCAAGCTCCTTGCAACCTTGAAAAACACCGGCGCCTTTGATACCGATTGGGGCTCACAAACTTCATCTTTCCTCGATCCCAATAAAGACTGGCTGTACCGGTCCTATCGCACTGCCTATGCCCACCTCCTTTCAATCTGGGGTCTACCAGTACAGCGCACTGAAGTGCTTAAGATTGGCGGAGTCACCGATCAAACTAGCGACGCCAGCCTTCGCCAATGGGCCTACGACAACTTCCAAACCTCTCTTTCCCTCCCAACCCTCCCCCGCAAAGACTCTGCCACTGCAGCCGGCGAGAAAGGCAACGACGGCCTCGAAATCCAACGCCACTGCATGCGATGCGGGCGTCCTCTTCATCTCTCTATATTCTCTACCAAATCCACCACTGAAGCAGCAAGCAAGTCTGGCGTGAAGATATATCCTTCATCTACCACCTGTTCCAATTGCAAGCCCAAGCAGCGACTACCTCTCAAACTTCCCTGCGTTGTCTGCGGAGAAGTCGTCGAAGGAATGCTCACCCCTTGCTTCGGCTGCGGGCACGTGAGCTGCTTCGACTGCCATCGCGGCTGGTTCGCCATGTCCTCTGACGCCAGTGACTCCTCCAGCCCCGAACAGCAGGCAGAATCCCAGTTCTGCCCAACAGGCTGCGGGTGCAAATGCTCTGAACACATCGCCACCGATATCCTTCTCCCAGATTCAAACCCCGTATCCCCCTTGACGCAGCCCAACCGGGAGAATTCGCCGCTGAGCATTCGAGCGCGTAATCGCCACTCTGATGGATCCGGCAAACATGTTATCACAAGTGCCCATAATGATCCTCCAACGAATGTTGGCCAACACGAAGATGATCTTGACCACTGGCAGACATCTCCGTTCGCGTCCTTGGCGAGAGGTCTGGGTGGTGGTCTGAGTAGGGGTTTGCGTCCGAAGGAATCTGATAAGCGGAAGTCAAAGCCGTCGGGGACGGGGTTTGTACCGAAGAAGTCGGCTATGAATCAGGTTGAGAATCGGTGGTAGTGAGAGTGAAGATGACTGAGTGGGTTGCATGTTTTATTTTATGGCTTGGGACATTTTTTTTTTTTTGGTTCCTCTTCTGTTTCTGTTGGGTTTTCAGCCTGCAGTTTCTTCTCTTCTCTCTTGTATACCCCATACCCTGGATTTTGTGTTTGTTTGGTTACTAGTTTCATTGCACTCATGTCTTGAAGTGAAGCGAGTATAATATAGCATAAGCGATGTTTTCCTTGGTCAGCGTAGTCCTGAATATCTAACTACCTACCTTATATCTTACTAGGACAACACAATGAATATCATTCCAAAAGATCTCACCTCATAAGCTAACACATACACTCACTCATCAATCATAAACAAACACCCCTCCCCCTCCCTTTCCACCCAACCTCTCCACTGCCCCTAAATAACAACCGCAACATGATCATCCATATAATCACCAATATTCCCCAAAAAACAAGCCGCGAGGATCGACACACCCCCGAACCCAATACTAGCATAATACACCCACTTATAGCTCTCCGCGTACGCCATCTGCCCGGCCACCACAACCGCCTGGTACGCGGCCTCGCTGCCATTAATGCCAGGGAGGTGGTGGAGCTGGTCGAGTAGCGAGGCGCCGGTCAGTTCGATGGCGTGGGTGATGATGGTGGTGTCGGTGATGTTGAGCTTCGTAACCATTACGCCGCCGATGTAGTGGGTTGCGTTGGGGACGAATTTCGAGATGAAGACGTTGTAGTAGATCGTGTAGCCGATGCTGCCGCCTACGACGCGGATGGAGAGCGTGAGGGCCGAGATTGTGGCGATTAGGTCCTGAGGGTTGGGGATGGGGGTTAGTGGTGGGTAAGATGGAGATTGGGGGGAGGGGAGGTAGGAACACACGTCTGGACATATAATGGTGGTCATGATGGATGCTGGGACGACGATTCCTCCGATTCCGAGGCCCGCGACGGTGAGGATGCCCCAGAGTTGGTAGAGGTTGTCGGTTCGTCCGACTGCCATTGCGCCGCAGCCTGGTGGGGGTGGGTTAAATACGTAGAGTAATAGATGGGGGGTGCAAGTAGACTTACCTGCTGTCATCAGGATGCTGCTGATGATCAACAGCTCCTTGTTATGTCCTCGGAGGACACTCAGTAGCCAGAGAACGATACATGCACCGCCCATGATGCCGAATCCAATGGGCAGGCTTCGGACACCGACGTCCACGGGATCGTGACCATAGACATTGAACGACTGCGTAGGCCAGAACATAATCACCGAGAAGAAGTTCGCTCCGGAGATGAACGTGATCACTAGCGTTAAGCCCAGCGTGCGTGGTTCCTGCTTCAACCGACTTGGGAAAATGGGGTATTTGGCGCCGTATACCTCCCAAACGCCAAATGCAACTAGGATAACGAATCCAAGGATAAGTGGGACAAGCACATGAGCTGATGTCCATTCGTACTGCAGTTCAATAGCTTAGCTTGGCTTCGGTAGATATAAACACAGGCATAAACACCCAGGGGGAAGCACGTACTTGATAACCGCCCCATTGCATACCGGCCATGAAAAGAATCAAACCAACTATGCTAAGAAATCCGCCAACATAGTCCACTCGAGAGAGGATATCCCGTTTGCTCAATCCTTCCGAGTTGGTTCTGGGAGGCGGAAAGTAAAACAGGGTTGTGATGAGCAAGCCAAAGCCGCTCCAGGCTCCGCAGAAAGCACCGACGTAGCGCCAACCACTGTGCGATGAGATGAGTTGGGCCCAGAGAACGGATGGACAGAAGGGTACAATGGTGAAGATGAGCACGGCGACATATTTGCCTCGCTGTCTCGTTGGCGCCATTTCTGATGTCGCCGCCAGCGCGGTTAATTCATTGACTCCTGCTCCTGCTCCTGCGATCGCCATTCCAGCTGCTCATGGTTAGCGATTTGCTACAATGCACTCGATTCAGCGGTAGCCGAAAATAGGATTCCTCGGATAGGTATACATACCAATGAAAACATTCATAGTGTTAGCGGTACTGCACACGATCATGCCAATGCAAACGAGAGAGACCCCGATAATGGCAACATAGCGACGACCGATCAGATCCGACAGAGATCCGACGAAAGGACAGACTCCAGACAGCGCCAATAGATTTGCAAGAACCTATATATTATCGAGGATCAATCAGTTTCACCGCACGCAACGAGGAAGATTCTCGATTCAACCTACAAACCAAACCCACCGATCCGACCCGCCAATATCAGCATAGATATGCGGTGGAATGCCTCCTATAAAGAACCGTCAGCATGCTTGTGCGAAGCGGTCGTAATACTAAACGCCAACTGACGACGCACCGAACAGGTATACCGGAATCTGACTGCCCGTCCACAGAAAGGCCATGGCCGCAAACCCCATGAATCGACGAAAGGTCATCTAATTGGAGACATTTTTATTATCAGCCATCCGGTTCTTGCATGCATGGGAATCAATGCCACCTTGTACTCACTGGACGTGCGTTCTCAGGCTCCCCGGCCTCATCCGCGTAGGAATTCACCGCGACGTCTTCATGGTGACTATAGTTCTGACCCTCATGTCCCTCGAGGACTTGTCTTCCGGGAGATTTCTCATTTAAATTAGATAGATTGGAGAGATTGGTGGCCGCCATGATTGCGACAATGAATAGGGCAGGTCAAAGCCCAAGCACAGAAAATCAATCCTGCAAAGAGAAAAAAGGTATCGCGAACGGGCAAACACTCAAGACAAAACCAAGAGAGAAAAGAAAGCAATAAGCTCCAACCTAAGCCGTGGCATTTTATATTCCCCGCGAAGGTGTCACTAGGCGCGTGGGCCAGCAATGCTTGTCCATACTCCATGCATGCCGGTGAGGGGCAAGCAACGGCGCACAAAGGCGATCGAAGACGTAGACTTTCGGCTTTGGTGCCATTCTGAGACAGCCGAGGCAAAGTGCAATATCTCTGGGGAAAGACAAAGTCAGTGCGCATGGTATTAACACGGCCGACGCCAGCGAGCCATGGATGATCGATGGATGGAGGATCGCGATGGGGCCTTCTCATACGCCGGGAAATTGCGGGGAGGCAAAACCGTGGAGAAGCGCGAAACTCAGTCGGCGGCCAGAATTCTACTCTCAAATTCGTCAGTGACTCAGTCTCGATTGGAAAAATTTCCGGTTGGCGTCGGAATCGCCGATCTAGGCCTTGTGTTCGATAATGTTTATTTGTTATCACCGTGAGAGATGTCTATTTATGTACACAAAATCTATGGAACTCTGAGCGAACCATCGTCGTGCTGCTTCCCCTCGTCCAAGTAACTATTCCCATGGATTCAGAGCACATGGCTGTCTTTGAAATCCTGGGAAGTTCGTGGCGTTCATGGCGCCTAGGCCAGCGCAGAGTGGCCGATGCCTTTCCCCCAGGACTGATCCCAGGCCCCATAACATGCCCTTGTACTATTCGTATAGCGAACCTCAATATTCCGTGCCAACCTCTTGCAGCTTGTAATTCTTGGGGACCACGAAAAGCGCGGAGGCTTGAGCGCACAATCTTCCAACGGGGTCACGCACTTCGCCAGTCACGTAGGCCTTGCGATCATTGCTACGTTCCTGGTCGACAGTCGCATGGAACGAGTAGAAATTGCCCGAGTACACCGGAGCCCGGTAGTTGATTTCGAGGTTGGCAGTGACCCCCGTGCGCGCGGGAAGATGGCGGATTGCGACACGTCCCAGACTCTCATCCATCACGGTGCCAAGAGCTCCGCCATGAACGACTGTTGGCCATCCTTCCAGCCCCGTCCCAAGGAAGACCACGCTAACTGCCTTCTTCTCCCTCTCGTTCCAAAAGACTTTCTGTAGGGCCAATCAGTTAGCCGGGAAGGGTCAAATATCCGAGGTTGATCTGATCTGAGGCTGCCGGCAGTTGAGAGATTCGGCAGATTGCAGTAGCTCGGTAACAGCGAGCGTCGCATTGGCCAAGACTACTCTCTCAGAGCTGACCAAATGCCTGGAGTAGACAAGACAACCATCACAACATTGGGCTGAAACGGGAGAGGGAAGCAAACATACCTGAAGCGCCAGCCCTCGGCTCCCGCGCAAGGGTCCAGATGTCAGCCTCCCTATCTTGTCCTCTACCGAATAATTCCCATACACGTTCGCCTCCACATAGTCCGGGTTCTTGCGGAGGTCTTGCACGAGAGGCAGCCCGTTCTCGTAAGCGTAGTGAATCTCCTCCAGCTTGGCAATATCTTCAACTGATCCCGGCACTGGAGGTGCGGAAACTTGCTGGTCCATCCATTTCCCAGCAGCCAGTCCCAGTCCACCAAAAATTCCAGTATAGATCAGACGTCGCGGCCATTTCGATGGTTTGGGTGCGGGCTCACGGGCAACGGTGCTGTTGTTTCGTGGTCCTAGGGATCTGGGCCGAGACCATTGTTGCGCTTGGGGCGCGAGGTTGCGCAGTCGGGATTGTAAGACTCTGCGAGGGCCAAACATGGCGGGTCACATCGCAATCCTGCGCTGAAAATTAGGACGTGGTGAGAGCGGCGCGAAGAGCGGTTTATTGGATTGAGCGACCCTAAAGACCGCGAAGGGCGGCAATGCCGAGGTCCCCTTGTCATCACGTGACACATACAATAATCTATACGATACCTACGGAGACCAGAGTTCTTCGCCCCTAGTCGTGTAGGGTCTTTGATGATACTTCGTTCTCTTTCGGGTAGTCCCACTCAAATTATTGTCATAGACCTCAATCAGGTTACATGGTATATGGCCTGGCATGTCTGGTGACGAAAGTATACATTCCCGAAGGTACTAGTAACAAATGCACACAGTGCAACCAGCGGACAATGAGCGAGCTAATACCGAGAAAGGCTGTAGAGTATTGATTGAACGAACTCAACTAAACAGGATGATCACGATAATGGGGTTTGAGGAAGGAAAGAGGTCTTCTCACTGCATAGTTACTCCGTACATGGCGAAATGCTTGGCATATCGCAACCTCAGGCATTCGGAACTTCCGCACCGACAACTGATTATCCAACCAAGAAAAAGGAATAAGCGAGCATAGAGCACGAGACATACGTAGGTACTATGGATTATCTCCCTAAATCTCAATTCCTCCCAAGAAAAGACAACAAACACCAGAATTCCTTTCCCACCCAATCAAAGCGCCCAATCTGTTAGCCCTGACTAAGCACCACAATTCCACGTGACCCCAACCGGCGGAAGTCGGCAGGAGCAAGCAGAAGAAACGATATGCGAATCCCTCTCTGAACGGAACTGGAGAATTGCCCGCGGGTCCAACCAACAACCACCTCTTCCAATTCCCGTCTCGCGCCCATCAATTGCGATCTCCCGAACCCGGTCAATACTCTCCGGTTGAGACATTGAAATACCCCCGGGTGCTTTTGTCTATTTTCCCACGAACCACCGCACATATACCTGTTCATCATGGGCTCCGGTAGCTCCAAGCCCGAGGCTACGGCGGACTCGAAACATATTTTCCAGGGGTAGGTGCTGTTTATGTCTGCGCTAGGGGAGAGACTCGTTGGATTGGACTGAATTCCTGGGTGGGAAGATGAAGAGGACATTGGGGGATTGAGTTATCTGTTGATGACTGGGTTCATGTCGATGCTGGTTGATAACTGATGGATGTTGGATGGATGGACGATTCGACACGCAACTGAAGCTACCAGACAGCTAACACTTACCCTCAAATACAGTGCCGCGCCTATCCAATTCTCCTCGAACGTCGTCGACTCCCTCCAAAATAACACCGAGGTACGTATACATACACATCACATCGAACCCTAACCCCCCCCAAACCACCATCCCCAACCAACACCTAACACAACAAACAGACGGACTCTGCGCGCGCCAAAACCCTCGAACTGCAAATCCAAGCCCGCGTATCCCAAGAACTCGAGCGCCTGCGCGAACGCGAACAACAAACCCTCGCCGAGATCGAGAAGCGCCTCTCCGAAGTCAAAGACACCGGGGCTTCGTCCTCCGCCGGCCTGTCCCCCGCAACCCCCAATGTCAGCTATCCGCCTGGCTCTCTGAACCTGGACGCGCCTCGGATTCCGTTCGCCGGCCGCGAATATGAGCCCGTGCCGCCGGTGGCCGCGGACGAGGCGAAGCCGATCAACCGGGACATTTCGCGGGAGTCGGTGAACGGGGAGATCGAGGAGTTGCGGGCGAGACTTGAGGGACGGAGGAAGTTGGCAGAGCTGGATTCGGGCGTCGAGAAGGCTAAGGCGGACGTGGTGAGCTGTCTGCGGTTGAATGATCGGAGGCCGTTGGATTGCTGGAAGGAGGTCGAGGGATTTAAGAAGGAGGTTGCGAGGTTGGAGGAGGCGTTTGTGGATCGTGTGGTTGGTTGATCTGGGTTTCCCTGTGTGTTTGATCGCCCTTCCATTCCACCTGTTCGTTTCCGATTGTGATTACCTAGGTTCGGTCCGAGCCTTGACCCCGTGATTGTGGGCGAGAAGATAAAAGGAAAAGCGCTGGAGAAAGCGGATTGTGCTCCTAGATGATAGATTTTTATGGGCCCGATTCGCGTGTTTATGTGTATCTATATAGCTTAGTACTTTTTTTACGTTGTTTGATCATACTGTTCTCCTCGCTCCAAGTATCTACCGGATTCATTTCCTATCAAGGCTTCACTAAGAACAATATCATGTCTATCAAACTACATACATCTGCATTACCAGCTGAGCATCTAAACCAGAAACTCTTAGACGGGGGTATCTTGAAACAGCCATCTCACCACATTTCACATAATCATATCCACAAACTAAACAAGATTCCAATACCCCAATCTCCCCACCAACTCACCCGCTGGGCGAACAATACACATATTCCGCTCCCGAGCTTTCCCTTTCTTCTGAGCCGGATTCTGACTCGCGGCCTTCGACACAAGGATAGAGCCAATGCCCGTGCCTTTGCCCTCCGAGAGATTGTAGTTTCCGGTCGTAACGAAACCAATGAGGTCTTCTTCTGATGGGAGGGGGAGATGCGTTTGCTGAGCCTCCGTGTCAGCTGAAGGTGCGATTAGAGACGCAGCGAGGTGCGACTGAGCGAGATCTTTGTTTCCGGCGAGGTCTTTTTGTGCTGATGGGTCGACAGGTTTGGGAGTTGTGGTGCTGGGTTTGTGGGATGCCAGAGAGAGCCATTTTTGGCGAAGCGCCGGGTTGGTTGTGGGGAGGCGGTAGATACGGGCTCGTGGTGTAGGTGTGCCTCGGTGATGAAGAGAGATTTGAACGGTTGCAAGGTCAGGGTTGCTGCGAGGGTTGGGTTTAGGAGTGTTGTCATTGACTACTGCACGCGCAGCCGCTGTTGGGTGCAGATGGCGGATACCAAGGGGTGGAGTTTGAGGAGTTTCGGCCTCAGCAGTCGAAGTAGTGTTCTTTGCATCAGAATCAGTATCGGTGTTAGTCTTGGGATTGGGCTTGGCCGATTTCCCCTTCGCAGCTTTAGTGGCAGGGTTGGGAAGTGTGTCCACGAGCTTCTCCCAGTCGCAGGCCCAACCTCGTCCGACTTCCCCCTTTTGACCATTTCCGAGATCGATGCTGTCAAACTCCGTTCTCCGGCCCTTCGGTCGTCGCTCCCATTCCTCCTTGGCCTTGCCTTGCTCGCGTAAGTTCCATTCCCAGCCGGCTGTGGTCCCGGGGAAATCACCCGGGAACCAAGGCTCTCCTGCCTCGAAAGCAAGCTGTTGTTGTTCCTTCAGTCCGCCGAATCTCGGGTTCCCGCCGCTCGAGAGAGGGTAGTACATCAAGGAATACCACACCGGGAGAACACAACTCCATGGGAGAAAGACGGTCCAGCTGCCTGGGGCATTGCTGTTCTTGGATTGCGAGCTAGGTCTAGTTGCAAGGATAAGGACTGGGATTTGCGGGTCCGAAGATAGAGGCTTCGGGTACTTCCCGGGTCCGTTCACGCTGCGGCGTCGGTTGATGGCTTTTTGACTGGGTAGTCTGCGCGTAGCAGCTAATCGCGCGCGACGATCGAAAATAGCAGGGGAGGATTGGGTGCCGTCAACAGGCCATGTTGATAGCAAGATGGCCAGGTTTTGCATATCGGTGTCAGAGGAGGGAGGCTTCTTTGATTTGGGCGGGAAATGAAGACGAGGGTCGGATGTAAAGAAGCCAAGAAGCGCGTTCTGAGGCAGAGAGGATGGGTTAGACACACCCAGCAACTTACCCCAGGTAGACTCTGGGCTGTTTGCCGGTGCTGTTCCTCCAGTCGTTAAGGGTTCCAAAGCGGCGATGAGGGCTTCCGTAGAGCCCGGGCCAGTGATTTCAATGCTGCCAATCTCGAAGCGAAGATCTTCAACCATGACAGGTGGGTTCTGGTGTTTCGACACTTCAAGCAGCTCGTTCCATAACTGCAAGAAGGCAGACGGATGCACCCGGACAAAAACCTTCTTCCAGTTTTTGTTCTGTTTGTTCTTGCCTTTCGTCTCTTTCGTTTGCGCATCAGCAGCATCGCCATCCACCATCTCCACATCCTGAGACTTAGCCTCAGCACACCGAATCAACGTGACCGGCGCAATCAGTCTCTTTTCACCCTGATGCTCAAAAGTCCAAGCCTGTAGACCTCTCGTCCCAGCTCGCCATTTCTTCCCCTTCGACCCCCAAGCCTCCTCTCCATCCACTCCTACAGCCCTCAGTACCCCTTCCAACGCCGACTCCGACCCCTCCAGCTGAATCGTAGCCATATAGCTCATATCCCACGCCACGGCGCCTCTCGCGCCTCTCGCCCTATGCGACGGCCTATAACTCTTCTCCGTCGGCGACAGCGGCACCGCAAACCGCCACAGCGGATCCTTCGACGTCGTCATCCGCGCGCGCTTCGCATGGAACATGTGGGTTGGCAACCACGTCTTGTCTCTCTGGCGCTTCTTGAACCTCGACTCCGGCGGCGCTGGACGCGAAAGCTTACTCTTCTTGATCTTCGGGACCCGCGGCGCGATGCTGAACGCATGGGATCCGGCCTCCTCTAACGATTTGCGCGTCTCCTGGTCACGTTCTGCTTTCGCGGCGGCTCGCTTCGCTTTCGTTTTGGAATTCAGGTTCTGTAACCGGCGCGCGGTCTCGAGACGGATTCGCATCAGCTCGGTGGGTTTCCTTCGCCGCGCTGTAACGGTGGGGGTATTGTCTTCGGCCATCTAAAAGTAAAAGAGAGAAAAAAAAAACACACAAGAATTAGCCCCTCGTCCACCTATCAGACAGAACACCGCGGAAGTAAAAGAAAAAAAAAAAAAAAAAAAAAAACCAACCTCTCTCTTCGCCCTAGCCCTCAACCGACTCGGCACCCTTTTCACATTATGACTCGCCGTCCTGCGTCTCATGGACCGCGGCACCTGCTGGAATGCGCGACTCGTCAAGGCAGCTTTGGAGCGCTGCATCCCCGCCTCCAGGGACCGGATCTCATATTCTCTGGAGCCCACGTACGCGGCGGCGTCGAGCTCGCCGGAGGCAGAGAGCGCCGCGTCGGAGGACTGCACGGCCAGGGTGCGCGCATCGAACGTTTTGGCGCGCTTGCGGGCTGCGGCGGAGTTGTTGACGGGTCGTTTGGAAGGAGGGTTGAGGGCCATGGTTTATTTCTTTTGCATGCCCTGGGGGCGCGGGCCGGAGAAGGAGAAGGGGATGAAGATAGCGAAAGGGAGAGAGGGAGGGGAGGCCAAAAGCAGAGAAGAAAAAGGAAACAAGAAAAAGAAATCAAGAAGGGTAAAGATAGAAGGAAAGTTAAGCTTTGAGCTTCTATCCAGCTAAAATTGGCTGATATCGAAATCGACGGTGGTCGGTCGGGTCTGGAATCAATTTTTGATTAGCGCGTTGACTGACTGCTTTTCCCGGCCGAAAGCCACACAGACGCAGACGATCATGCAGCCACCAATAACGAGGGGATAACGCTTAGAATCAACGTAGATCTTTTCAAGAAACCGGGGTAAAAATAAAAATTTTTTTTGAAGCTAGTCTGTGTTACTATACAGTGTTTAATTTAGAAGGGTTTAAGGTTGCTAGAGCGCTGACATCAGCATACGTCTACATACGGAAGAGGTAAAAATGAGTTGCTTTTTCATAGCTTCGTTATTGCGTTGTATTCTAAAGGGGAGTCTAGCTCTCTAAACAGAAATCTTTGCTTTCGCAGGTCAATTAAGCCCATTTGAATATCAACGCCGTTCTATTAGGCCCATGCCACGTCTATTGCGTTTCTCATTGGTGCATTTACAGGTTCTTGATGACGGTCTCGGCGCTCGAGAACTCAAGGTGGTTCTTGGCGGGCTCGAGAGCGGCGTAGGTGACCTTGCCGTGGTCAAGGATGATGGCGAAACGCTTGGTGCGGCCCTCCTCGTCGGCCCAGCCAATGCTCTTGGAGAACTTGGCATCGGGGTCGGACAGGAACAGCTGGGAGAACGTTAGCAAATCTGTGCTGATGGACGACTGCTCCTCAGAGCTGGAGAGCTACTTACGATGTCGTCGTTCTTGACACCGTTGGCCTTGGACCAGGCGCTCATGACGTAGGCATCGTTGTAGGCAAGGACGGCAACGACGTCAACACCCTTCTCGCGGATCTCGGGGAGACGCTCCTGGTACTCGGGGACGTGGCGAGCAGAGCAGACGGGGGTGAAAGCACCGGGGAGGGCGAAGAGGATGACCTTCTTGTCGGCCCACTCCTTGGAGGCATTGTAGTTGATGGGGATACCGCAAGAGGTGATGCCCTCAGCCTCGGGGGTGTAGGGGATGTAACTGTAGCGGTCCACGTCAGTAGGAAGATCTTCGGAAAGAATTGGATCTCGTCTGAGCGGGCTTGATGGGAAAGAAGAGAAAGACAGATAAAGAGGGAGGGAACATACGAGAACTTAACGTCAGCGGGGAAGCTGTCACCGGCCTTGAGTCCAGACATTTTGACGGATTGATTGGGGTGGAAGAGGGTGAAGTGGTGGTGTTAGAAGTAATGAGTAGGAAGAGATTGGATGACTAGCAGCAAAGATGGGAAAAGGTGGGTAGGTTATATAGGTTTAGTAGAGTGGATAAGGGGAGCGAGGAAAGCGAAGGGGAGGGGCGCATGTGGCGGGAAATATGTAACTACGGTTCTAGTCGGCTTAGACGCGCAGCGACGGGCCGCCAGAAAGGGCCCTTGGGGGGCATAAGGTGATCCGAAGCAGAAGGATACCGAAACCTTTCGATTTGCTTGGGTGAATCAATCCCGTATTATCAAGAAGACCGCCCGAGACTTGGGAGGGACCCCACCAGTCATCGTCCACGGTTATCTATCTAGACCGCCCGCCTTGACAAATCCTTTTTGCCCTTTTTTTTTTTTTCCCTGTCTCTGGTCAGTACTGAGTAACTCTGTAGAATGGCGGTCTGACATCCATCTGGCCTTTCTTTGTAATGTTCAAACGGATTCAAGATGGAGGAATTGGGTCCCCCCATCCCTCTGAGCATCACCCCTCATCCACGGTTCCAAGGCTCATCCTTCACAAATCTCCCACCGACCAGCTGGTTGCCGCCCCAATGACGAAGGGTGTGGACCGAATATGCCAATATCGGACCAATTGCATCCCCGTGCAATCGCCGTTTGGAACAGTAGGCATCCACCGGTTTTCTCTTATCTAATAATTCTGCCATCGGACGATAGAGTGGTGAATCGGAGTTTTGGATGCTTCCCTGCTGCCAAGGGTGCCTTGACCGGGTTAATTGGCCATTCAGAGCAATGCACCCTGGTAGAAACGGAATGCAGCGCTCATCCGATATTCAAGCTCGGTCCATCAGCTGGGTTGCATGAGGTGAGGACCGGGGGGGTCAATCGGTGTCTGTCGGAAAAAGGAACGCTCGGCCTGAGCGTGGTGGGCCTTACCGCCTTCTGCTTGTGTCTTCCACGTGATATTGTCCCGAGGTCAACCGTCGCTGGCCCTTTTTTGGTCTCTCCCTTTCTGGACTTTCTGGACTCCTGCGATGAATAATTGAAAGACTCCGTAACCCTTGCCACTTGCAGATTAGCCGGAACGTCGGGTCTGGATGCCGAGGAGATTACCGGTAGGCCGTCAGTAATCAGATAAGATCGGTTCAGGGTTATTCATCATGACGGGCTGGGTCCTGCTGAGAGTGGCAAGTTATGGAGGTGAGAGCCCTTGGGGTTACTCCGTACTCCACTACGATTACGGAGCATCGGGATTCTAGAAGGGATTCTGCCTTCTTTCCCCCGGGGGTCCCTCAGGGGTAACTGTGGCGCCCGTTGTGCTCTGGAATTAATCAGGTCGCTGTTTCTAGACGCCGACCGACAGGGCCTGGGTTTAATGAGAGAGACGGAGCAGGTGGGGGATCGAAGGATGACATCACCCTCCGCTAGGTCCGTCCATTCCGTATACTTTAGATGCTTCTTCCAGGTCCTCTTGGACTCAAAAGCTTAACTACACACTGTAATTTGCCCAAGAGTCTATGGCACATCTGGTTGCACATGCTTGAGATCGATTGATGGCTACGTGCTAGTATGCCTGCCTGGCTGCCCTCAGTCGAAGCTCTAGATGCCTCGTAGTCACTGATCTTAGCCCCCCAAACCCCTGGCCAAACACGTGACAATGCTTATATGACTCAATGGTGCTACACATATCTGCTACCTGCTTCAAATAAACAGGAAAATCACACCATCGATCAACATACCGTTGTCATCAAAGGAGAAACAAACGCATTGACTAACATGGCCGACCTCAAACCCCCATTTACCGAGGAGACGGCGAGGAAGAAGGTCAAAGCTGCACAGAATCTGTGGAATACTCAGTAAGTGGGAAGAGCGGGGATGTTGGATGTTGCTTTCTATCTTTTTTGTCTTCCACCTCTCTCGCTGTCTCTCATTACCGACACGTCCGACCATCAATTCCTGCTCGGGTACTTGTTGGTATGAGGGATCGAAGATGTGCGGAAGTATGAATGTTTCATCCCTTGCATACCATTACCTCACCTTCCTGACCGAGTCCTCCCCTTTGAGATTACTCTTCGATATTCCAGCCGATGGACGGCCCATTTGAAATTACATTGATTTGTCGTCCACAATATCCATGTTCGTGCTAATCACATTCCCTCGGAAAGAGACCCCGTTCGGGTGGCCCAAGCCTATACTCCGGATTGCATCTGGCGCAATCGCACCACGTTCTTCTCCGGCACAGATGGAATCGTCTCATTTTTGACGGCCAAATGGAACCGCGAGCACAACTACAAGCTTCGCAAAGAGCTCTTTTCCTTCACCGATAACCGTATTGCGGTGCAATTCTGGTACGAGTTCCAGGATAGGGAGGACGGCTTGCGGTGGAAGCGGTGCTACGGACTTGAGGATTGGACTTTTGATCGGGAAACTGGAAAGATGTGTAAGAGGATGATGAGTGGGAATGATGTGTTGATTGGAGCTGATGGAAATGGAGAAGGGAGGTGGTTTGTGGACGGGGTTGATGTCGAAGACGTGAAAATCGGAGAGGAGCATTGGTAGGGGGACGGTTCAGGAGTTAAGTATCCTTTGAAATACTGCCTTTTCTGTATAATTCAAGCGCCAAGATAAATTGAAACCATGTCCACGTTGTCGAGCTGCACGTTGAGCTGCACGTTGTGCTTGCCCGGTGCCATCTGCATGTAGCTGTAGATAGAGCCTTACTTCCCCTGCTGCACGACCTAGCCAGGGTATCTTGCTCTCGATAGCTGGACAAAACCAGAGCGTAATCTGCCAGCGTAACATGAAAATTTGAAAACGAGTGACGGCATAAGAATGCAGCCAACATGGAACTGGACAGACTGGCATCGGCGCGATGACCCCCTAGATTCGGGATGCTGGGCATATCCATCCCTCTTTTTCCGAACTCTAAAACCGCCTTCCCGCTATGAAGGGTCAAATGGCTGGAACGGAAATGCTGGCAGTGAGAATGAGTGGGTCTTTCTATCTGGTTGGGTAATGCTTGTCAAGCTCTCCCTTTCTTGAGGGTAGGGGAGGAAGGAATGCGTCGACTTCAGCGAGTTCAATTGACCTAGAATCCCGGTTAAACCTAGGAGATGGTTGACTATCAATGGTAAAACACCAGGAAGCGGTCTTTTGTGGTTATCAAGAAGCGTTTCAATTGAAGAAGAATTAGTTCGTCTAAAACCATATCAATACTCCTCAATAGGTTGTATGCTTCAAGCCACTGACAGATAATCAGAGAGGGAAATCAAAGATTTGGAAATACTTGGGAAACCCCCTGAAGTAACTGAGAAGAGAAATTGCAACGTCGAGGGGAGGCGGAACGGGGACGAGGAATTCCTGGTGAGAGAAGAAGGTGGTGACCGGGGAGACCTGAGGAATCCGGAGGAAACAAACAACCAAACACTCATTCCACAGGAGGCGACCTCACAATGGCATGTCCACGTCCTCGTTAGTTTGCCAGCCCAGCTAGCGCGGGCCACCAACGCCGTGTTTTGGAAGCATGCTTCTCAGAGATCAGCCTCGCCATCCATGATTATCTGCTTGGACGCCTCCTTGTCGACCACCCAACGGTCGAATCATCACCACCCCGGATTTGTCGACATTGATTCCCCACGTTAGCCACTCAGTCGCCATTTCGGTTCTTTGCGGGAGGTTACTACTAATCTGAATTGAAGAAGATATTACAGGGTTGATACATTCGTTTACGCGTCGGAGGCAGCATCTATCTCATACTGTTCTTACGGTACAAAACTTCGTCATCCAGAGCCGTTCACGACCCTTCGACTTGTCAGTTACCTCGATCGATTTGATATCGGTAAATACCAACGCCCAGATATTACTGTCGATAAACACTCTTGAGGTTGTGAGAGCTGACGCGGTCATCACGAAGTAGTATTAGATACCCTAAGCTCCCGGACAGCCCAGCAGGGGCATATGTTGCTGTGCGACAACAACCGCCTGTGACGCGCTAGCCTGGGGTTACCTGGCAATGGACGAGAAGAGAAATCGTCTCAGCCTGCAGATAACACGTCCCCCTCTGACAGATGCCACGCGCAGAATAATCAACGGCGCAACCATCCGGGCCGAGCCAGAGGAACGAACAGTAGAAGACGACTACCAGGAAATATTGTCAGACCCAATGTCTATCGTGACCACTCCATTGTCGACCAAAGGCCATGTGGAAATCAATTGCATGTCACCGGGAACAAATTCACAGGGCGGCTCGAACCGCAACTCGACGCTCTCCGCTCACTCTCTGCTTTCAAACAAGGGGAAACGAAAGACACATGTCGGACCATGGCAGCTGGGGAGAACCCTCGGAAGGGGGTCTACGGGTCGTGTCAGGCTGGCCAAACATGCCCTGACGGGACAGACGGCTGCGATCAAGATTGTCTCGAAGAAGTCGGCGGCAATGGCCCAGAGCGAAAGTATTGCAGCCATGGACAAGAATATCGGTCATTTCAGCTGTGCAACCGCTAGACCTATGCCATCTGGCATTGAACGAGAAGTGGTTATCATGAAGCTTATTGAACACCCAAATGTCATCAGTTTATACGATGTATGGGAGAATCGGGGTGAATTGTGGGTAGTATGCGCCTGTGAAGCATGACGAGATTACTGACATTTGGTGACTAGATATCTTGTTCTCGAATATGTCGAAGGGGGAGAATTGTTCGATTACGTATCGAACCATGGCCCGCTTGCAGAGGAGGAAGCTGTTCGAATCTTCAGGCAGATCATCGCAGGCCTTGGGCACTGTCATCGATTCCATATTTGTCACCGCGACTTGAAACCGGAGAACATCTTATTAGATTCGTGGCGCAACGTGAAGCTTGCTGATTTCGGCATGGCTGCACTTCAACCCGCTGGCCACTGGTTAAACACATCCTGCGGAAGCCCACATTACGCTGCACCTGAGATCATCTACGGGCGGAAATATCGTGGCGACAAGGCGGATATATGGAGTTGTGGCATCATACTCTACGCGCTCTTGACAGGATATCTTCCATTTGACGGAGGAGATCTTCCTACAACCTTGCGATTGGTAAAAAAAGCGGAGTTCATGATCCCTCGGGAGCTCAGCTACGAGGCGACAGATTTGATTGAGCGTATTCTTCAGAAGAAACCCGAGGATCGAATTAACATGGAACAGATTTTCATGCATCCGCTCTTGAAAAAGTACGAAAAGTTTCACCAAGCCAGATCCAATCACTTCCTTGGTCCTGCGCCGCCAATATCCGTACGGGACTGTGGGCCACCAGTACTTGCCAGGCAGGACATTGATGCCGATCTTTTGAGAAATTTGCAAACACTTTGGCATGATGTCAAGCCAGATGCTTTGATTCAGAGACTTCTGGAGACTGAGTGAGTTATAACGGCTTATCGATCATGGGGTCATCTTCCACTGACATGAATCACTAGGCCAACGCAGGAGCGGATGTTTTACAATGCGTTGGTGAAATTCAGGAATGAGCAGCTCGAGAACTACCAAGGCCAGCCTCTCGAGTATTCTGCCAGTGACTACCACCACATCTCACGCGGACCGGCCCGCATCGCCAACAAAAGAACAGGCTCTCGGAAACGCAACCAAGTGCCAACCAGGGATAAGATCCATAGCCCGCTCCGAGAGCCGAAATACTGTGCCACGGTCGAAAGTTACGACCCGTTCCGATCCCCGAAGAACCGGATCACGGACAGAGAGGCACAATTTGCTAAAGTTACGATTCATCGCAGGATCCCAGAAGAGGTTCAGAAAGAGGCAGCAGAAGAGGTCGTCCAGGTGCCAACCTCCGTTCCGGACAGTGAGCTTGGATTCGAGGACTGTCTTCCTAGCTCACCTTTTGCCGTGGTGCGAAATAAGAAAACGAAACTCAATTCTGTCAAGTCATTCCAATCGAAAGCGTCATGCGGCAGCTCTCGTCGACCCTTGAATGGTACTCCAACACCTCGTTCCGCCAGCTACAAGAGGAATGTATGCTTTCGTCATGGTCGCTATCGGTCACAGGGGTCAATGTCCGCTAAAGGCAGTATCTCGCATGTTGATGTCCCGGATGTCCCGGATGTCCCTACTATGAAGGACGACAAGAGCGACAGCAGCTTTGAATATGAAGATGATGGCGACCCCTTCTCCGACAGACACGGTAGTCCTATGTTACCCGCTCAGCCGACGGTTGTTCGAGGCACTGGCATCACCGTCAAACACTGCTCCCAAGTGAGAAAGGTGCGGGAGTCAGACTTTATCTGGAAAGATGAGGCTCGAAAGGTCTCTCATGAGCTCGGTCAAATCTGCGAGGAAGCCTTCAACGGCGGCTCTGTCTCCACGGGGTGCACATCAAGTACAAGCACAGACTCAGAAACACCGGCGACGTCAGTTTCAATGGCTAGCCCTGAAGACTCATACCGCCGTATCCCAGTACGACCGAAGAGAAAGTCCGGTCCTTCGATCCCTGGTGCATCGTCAAGGTCATATACTGCAGCTGAATTGGCCGAGACTCGCCGTAAATTGATCGCACACTCCACACAAGATGGTTCCCAGGACATTCCCGCATATCTTACAGCAGTAATTAGCCATCTCGACCGCTTGATTGAGCAAGACCGGCTCAGACATCCTCCAAAACGAAGTGCCTCTGATGAAAACACACGTGCCTCCCAGCCGGACCCGTTCCTCAAAACCTCTCACGAACCCTCCTCTCTGCCAATGATATCTGAAGAAGCCAATAACTCCAGCAAACCCAATATCATTGAGCATGAAAACATCACGTTCCCATCAACCTCCATGTCTGGTAGTCGTCCGACCAGCAGTGTCACTTCCGGCAGAAGGACAATTCGGATGGTCCCTCAGAGTTCTGTACCGTCCATCGACAATTCCAAGTCTCTGGACGTACGAAAACGATACCGCAACCGCGAAACCACCCCCGGTGACACTCAACCCTTGATCGAAGATTATGAAGCACTTCCAGATATTGAAAGTGCCACATCCACTAGGTACACATCGGCCAGCTCTCGAACAGCTCGGAACCCACCTGAACTCGCCCCCATTGCGGAAATCCCACCAAAGTCGCCTAGACGGAGTGGTCCTCGTGGCCCTGAGACTAAGAAATGGTCGTGGTTCCGTAATCGCTCTCAAACAAGCACCGAGACGGCAAGACTACAAAGTGACATGAAGCCACGACAACCTAGCCCTGCTACGTTAGTGATCCAAGAGGTCAACCAACCCGCACAACCTACGCCAGCAGAAGTGGAAGGAGCACTAAAAGCTCAGGAACAGACACTAACAAAACAAAAAGGCGGCTTCCTAAGGAAGCTGATGAAACGAAAGCAGAGCAAGACAGTTGATTCTTCAACAACAGGTTAGTTATTCCTCAAAACTTCAGCAACCTATCAGCTCACCCAGATAATAGAAACCCTCCCAGTGGAAGCAGGTGAGACAGCGGATAACAATCCTCTATTGACCCAACTCAGTGGAGGTGACACCTCGTTCGAAACAGACAACAACCAACAGCCGCTGCCACGGAGGCCCAGACCTGCGCGAAGCCAAAATTGGTTCGCACGCGTTTTCCAATTTAAACCTGCCACCCGAGTTATTGCCTTGAACACCTCGAAGATCAAGGGCCGGAAAGAGGTCTACAAGATCCTCCGGGAATGGGAATGGAAACAGTACGGTCTGGTAGACGTCTGCATGGACAAGTCCAACAACGTTATCCATGGTCGTGTTGATGAAGTTAACCGTAAGTCACTTTCTCCCCTCTTCACTCAATGACAACCCCACTCACTATTCTCTCTGCTAGTCCTCCGTCTTCGACCAGTCAAGTTCTCTGCAGAGTTCTACACCGTTCTCGAGCACGGCCGACAAGCAAACCTGAGTCTCGTCCGCTTCAGACAAGAGCGAGGAGCCGCCTCGTCTTTCCAGAAGGTCGTTGACACGCTACATCTGGTAATGAAGCAGCGCGGGATCTTAGTCGAAGACCCATCTCGTGCTAAAAAGATGACTCAAATTCTTGATGCGTTCCCAGACAAGACTTAATCAACCATCTCCCTGTCCTCCTAATCTATCTTTGTTCCTTTTTGTCCATTCGATCAAACCCCAGATGCATACCATTTTGGAGCGTACTTGCGCGGTTTTCTTGATCTCTTTGTCATGTTTTTTTGCATTTCCATCCATATTTCATGTTTCCTTTGCATCCCAAGCCTCCTTTCTATTTCGTTCAATTATTGACTCGCGTTTTTCTTGGCTCGATGTCAATTAACATCCCTCTTCCTGTTTGGTCTGGTCTGGTCTGGTCTTATACTCCGTCTCTAGGTCCCAATGTTTGTGTCTACCCAGAACAGACGAAACTAGACACGCCAAGAGGTCTTTCTTTCTTCATCTTCATTCTCAGCCTTGATTTTCCCATCGTCTTGTTACCCGCTCTTCCCTTCATTTTCACCTCCCGCAACGCATCGCAAACGCCACAAACAAATTCTCTTCATTGAAGTTGGTTCTGGGCCTTATTTACGGCGAATAAAACATGTATTGGAGCTAGGTTTATGTCCTGTCGTTAGATAGTTACTTCATTCTACTTTACTTTACTTACATAGGTATTTGGACAGTTGTCTAGTCTAGGCGGTCAATTGAATCGAATCAATTAATCAATCTATCTTTGTTTCAAGTGGAAAGATATTGGACTAGGTTTTTAGTCTACCTTTTCCCTCAGTGGGGGCGCGGTCTACTTTCTATCCATTGTTATCTATCTCTTATTGTATTTCTGTTTCTGAGTCATGGTTATTAATCGATCGTTTCCCGACTAACTTACTGGTGGCCTCGTACATAAAAGCATCATGCAGGATCATACATAGGTACATACATACATACGAAACAGAAATCTCAACACCAGACATACATACTGTACATACAGTGTACATATCAAATCTACCGTCCCTGCATATCAACTCGTCATTCCAGACAGTTTTTTTCATTCCATGTACTGTACATACCTACATACAACCATACTCACAGCACTGCGTATACAGTTAGTTAACTAGTTGCTTCCAACTAAGTGCGTAGGACACCTAGGTGTGTACACACATGCCTGCACCTACTCAGTCAACCTATAATTCTTATAACAACACTTGATTACTAGATAGAATACCTAGGTATGTATGTACATGTACATATCTAGTTGTCCGGATTCGATTCGTCAATTCTCAACGACCTGAAAGGAAACCAGTAACCAGTTTATAGAGCTCGAGTTTAGAACTACCATACTATACTATGCCTTATCCACTAGATACCTAGAAAATTATGTACAGTATATGCACCATCAACTGGTATACTGTTATAAGAAATTACAAGCTCAATCAAAACACAATGACCGAGCACAGTACAGTACACATGTAACAATCATATCGTATCATATCGTGTTCAATAACAAGTGAAGCATTCATCTTATTCATTCACGAAAGGGTAGCTTATAGAACTAGACTATACCATCAAACTCGGCAAAAAAGGTATGCACAATGCAATGTGTATGAAAAAAAAACTACTAACGGAAAATAGAGTGAAAGAAACAGATAGAATAATGAAGTTAGCTTAATTGCAGATCATAGCGCGATGTGATGATAAAATAAAAGATAAAAAAAAAGTTGATCAGACAGCCTCCCACGTGCGATAATAAGCAAAGAAAAACGAAACAAGACGAAGGTGAAGCTATAAGCAGGTAGCAGGTGAACGGCAAAGAAAAGAAAAATCCTCCCTTTTTGAACGGCAAAGAATACCACCCCATGATAAACAAGTGCAAATGACGCGATCCAAAAAGAAAACAAAGACGAAACCTAAGTAGACTAGAACGCAGACCAGAGAGCCTCCCGAAATGTATTCGAACAGTTGGAAAAGAAATGATATAGCCACCGCCAATTGAACAAAAAGCCTCGCAGAAGATTCCTCAGGGAAGAAAGGTAAAGAGAAAGAAGAAAAAGGAAAAGAGCAAATGCAAACAAATTCCCACCTCGTGATAACTGACATAGAAAAGCACGCGCATCAAATGCATAGAATCTCATGTGGTGTCAACAGATCTGTACCCAAGCATCACGTGCCGAACTCGACAGGATTTCGCAGTGAACAGGTAGACAAGCGTTCTGAATTCTGTCGACATGCCTATCCGCTGAAATCTGAAGCTCAAAGCTGCCAATGCAGATAGACCCACTCCAACACCGAAATCAAAGGATCTATCGGGTCTGAAACAAGTTCGGAGGCTTCTGGTCGTTGGGATGGCCCGAAAAAGCAAGCGCAGAAACCGTCAAATCCGATGCGCACATGGTAACAGAACAAAGGCAAAACGAAAAGAAAATTTCAATTAGTGGGTTGCCCCAGATAGTTTATAAAGCCGTGATGTAAATTTCGAAAAGGTGAAGGTCTCTAGAGAGAATGCAAGAGTTGCAGCAATTATTGGCTTTCGAAATATCTCGGATTGGCTGACACCACGAAACTGACAACTCGCATTTCTCAGATTAGATGATTCAACGTTCAGATCGTGCAGCTCATAACACTCTTGCTTCTTGTTTCATGACATCATATCGGTCGACATGGCGCCTTGACCCGTGTTTGTTTTCTTCATTTTTGTTCTTTTCCAGCATGAGACGTTGTGGCATCCAGGTAATATGTCATTCAGTCGATCATCAGAAAATCCCGAAACTTGCGGTCTTTCGTCTTCGGAATTTCCGTATCATCTCCCGTTAACTCATGTTTTGATGTTGATCCTGAAATCATTGCGCGACCTTCCTTCGGGTCTTGAGTTCTTTTTTTTTCTTATTTTCTTTCTTTAATCCCCTTAGAAGTTCTCGCGACAGCAGACATCACCGGTTTGTGCTTTGGATGGCACGCAACAAAGATGCTTAGAACGTCAGGGAGTGTGGCCAGCACACAATGCCTTCCACCGTCAATCAACCGCGAAATTAAAACCGACATTGCTCTTTCTCGTTTCCCAATTTCTGGTATTTTCCCCCTCAGTAATCTGCCACCGCCAAGAATAAATGTGACCAGACTTTGGATTCAAGATCGTACCGGTTATTTATTTATACCCCGTCGGTTCAATGCATTAAGCATATCATTGTCTGCATCGGAACGGCCTTGGTCACCCGGATTGAGCATGTCGCGAACGTTAAGTCCTCCGCGCGAGCTTCCCGGGGTAGATGTCGGAGCAGGTGGGGGAGTGCCTTGACCAGGATTGGGGACCTGAGGAACGCCTTGCGCGGGATGGGCGCCCTGTGGGAGGGTCATGAGAGGGTACGGGGAACCGTGGGGGGAAGACGAATGGCGACCATCATAGGGATACGCAGATTGTGGCGAGGGACGACGATCGGTTTGCGGAGGATAGTAGGGACTTGGAGCGGTATGGGCCGAATGCCCCGGATTGGACGTAACGGGCGTAACGGGAGCTAAGTTGGTGGGGTCTGGGTATTCAAACCCAGAGCCGGAACCACGACGACCAATGGGTCTCTGAGAGAAAAATATAAGCATCCATTGAAATCATTCGGCAGAGAACTCGCGACTTACGTGATCTTGGGACCCGGAGGCGAGGGGTTGAGGCGCACCGCCATACGAGTGTTGATACATGGTTTGCGGTGCCGGGAGGGTGCCCTCAGGACCTGCTTGTGGCTGTTGTTGAGGCGGTAGAGGTTGACCGTGAGCACCGTAGAGCATTACGGGAGCCGAGCGCCCCTGGTTCTGAGCGTTTCTCAAGTAAGGATACGCGGCGTGTGCCGGGACGAATGCCTGTGCTTGTGAGGAGACAGGCGTGAACATGCACTCTTGATTGAACCGGGTGCAGTTGCTGCAGCGTCCGTCTTGAGAACTTTCGAAACCCGAGCATCGGATCTACCAATCCCAGAAACCGTCAGTTTATTTTGATCCTGCCCTATAGCATCTCCCCCAATCCGGTCCCGACAACGTACCTTCCGTCTTCTGCAGTAACGACAGGCGATAGCCGTCCGCTGTCGAGGAGCGGCGGCCTGGTAGACAACTTGGGGAGGAGGAGGGGGTTGACCGTAAACGTCTACGGGACGATAGGCACCAGGCGGCGGCGGAAGACGGTAGGGATCTTGCGGGCCCTGGACATGCGGGCCCTGAACATGCGGGTGCATGGCAGCCATGTTTGTCGAAGGCGAATACTGCGCTTGGGGAGGTGGAGGTGGTGGTGGAGGGTATTCTGCGGTCGGGGGATACGGAGCGTACTAAAAAGTAAAGGATCATCAAGTCAGTACAACACCAGAGAAGATGGGGGAGGGCATCTGAAGACACAATGGGGCACGGATGATTGACAATGGGAATGTATAGAGCGGAGCAAAGTGGTTCGCGGCATCCAAATGACGTTTGAGTCGGATAGACCAAGCAGCAAGGAAAAGGGACCAAGGACATACAGGAGGGTACTGAGAAGAAGGTGGATAGTGATTGGGAGGGTGCTCCTCAGGTTGACTAGTATTCCATGGAGGATACTGGCCTTGTCGATTGGGATGATTGGGATCGTTGGGGTCGTTGCCCTGCCGGTTAGGGTCGTTGAAGTCGTGGGGATTGTTGGACATTTGTAGGCGAGAGCGAGCGACAAAGGCTGCTTACAACACGGGTTGAGTCGGGGGGCAAAAGAAAGGACGGATGCAGGATGTGAGTTAAGAGTCACGTCCCGCGGGTCGTCGGCCAAGGAGCAGGAGCAGGGGTGTGTCCGTGTATGTATAGATGATAAATTCAAGGTACGCCCCGTTCTCGGGGGTGGGCGTAAGTACGGGGTGTATGACTTGGTTTGGTTGGGTGAAAATGGCTGGATGGGATTTTCGGGGGAGGTGGAAGGCTGTGGAAGAAACGAGGAACCCGGTCATATGTGTATGCGGTCGGTGTATGGAGTATGGCGTCAGGCGTTAAAAAAAAAAAAAAAGGGAAAAAAAAAAGAGTTCAGTGTATGTATGTGTATGTGTATGTGTATGTATGGATGTATGTATCGGCAGGCTGTATGTAAGTTAAGTGTAAGTACGCAAGTATGCAGACAGGCAAGAGTGAGTGGTGTGCGTGTTCCTCTGTGCGCGGGTAAAGTGACCAGGATTGCAATGCGGAGTCCAAGCCGGTCAGAAAATAGACCAAATCAAAAACAGTTCCAGCTCCCGTCGGGTGATGTGCAAGGCTAGCATAGCCTCGTGGTCACGCTGGAACCGGACGGGGAAGGGTAAGAGGGTAAGGGACTAGAAACGAAAAAGAAAAACATAAAATAAAAAAGGGAGACGGGTCAAATAAAATAAATCGAAAAAAAGAAAAAGAAAAAAGAAAAAAGATGACAAGGATCTAGTCCACAGAAGGAAGAGCTGGGCGAAAGGTAGAAGCCGGATAGTGCGAGACAAAAAAAAAATTATAAAAAAAGAGCAGGGGTGAAGAGAGGCGGTGGAGAGTGTGAGGGCAAAGATGTCAAGGTGGTCAATTTAGCAAGGTGTCAAAGATGCGGTTGCGAGGGGTGAGCAAAAAAGAAAAGGACAAAGAAATCAAATAAATTCGACAGGGTGTGAGAAAAAAAAATAGGAAATGGGTAATAGACAATCTTTTTTCCTCCCCTTTTTTTTTCTAAAAGAAAAGAAAAGAAAAGAAAAAGAAAAAGAGCCTCGGGGGATTTCAGTTATGACGTGAGCGTTAAAACACTCTTCTCAATAACTAATGGCCCTCGCCCACAAGTGACAAAGGCAGGGTGCGGATGAGGCTGGATGGGGGGAATGGGTGAAAGGGTGGAACGAGACGGACCACAGAGGAAAGAAGATAAAGCAGAATGTTGAGGAAGGGAAAGGGAAAAGAGATTTCTGTCGGGCAGGAGTACGTACGGAGTATGTCGGTATTACTCAAGTGGTGGGAGTCAGCAAGCAAAAGAAATAAGAAGCCTAGCAGTAGCGCGATGCACACTTGTCAGTATAGGATCAAACATCAAAAACGCCATCCACGCCGTGAGCATTGCGAGGTCAAGCTGTCAGCGGCAACGTAGAAATGTTCCAATTGAACTCCTGCCCCTTTCCCCATTCTTCTTTGCCTCCCCCGGTTGTGAAGAGACCAAAAAAGAAGGGGGGAAGACTAGTATCTCCAAAAGAATAAAGGGATTCTGCAGGAGCCCATGGATCTGTGATTTGATCGAGAACCGTACCTTAGGCAAATTCGTGTTCGGGTGACACAAATAATGAATGGAGAATGGAATCAAGTGGAGGGATCGGATGAAGAAACTATAGACAGGTTTCTTATCCTGAAATCGTGAAGAATGAGGACCCCAAAATAGAAGAAGAGAGGGAGGAGAGGAGGAAGGAAGGGAGAGAAGGTTTGGACAAAAGCAAGTCAATTTGTTCACTTGAATGGACCGGAAACAGGCAAGGAACGAGAACGGATCTATTTAGTCACTACAGAGTACCTTACTGTTTTTTTTATTTATTTATTTATTCATCGTCGATTTTTATTTATTTTATTTGATTTTCTTTTATTTTTACCGATTCCTACCATTTTATTTTCTTTCGATTCACCACTGACCGTTTGATTTATTTCAATTATTTTCTTTTCAATAAGCCTCTTCCCAGACACTTTCGATTCTCAACAGCCCAAGAACCGCCATCTTTGCCCCTTGCAACTTGTTCTTGACTAAGTAGTTTCAATTGTCAACCCCCCAAAATGCCGAATAGAATAAAACCATGCGAAGAGATCCTAAACGACGGCTAGTGCTAGTGTGTATGGGTCGCCGACTCGCCGGTCCGTCCGAGAGGCAAAAAAAAAAGAAAAAGGAAAAAAGAAAAACGGTTGGGTCAAGCGCAGCCAGACGACACGAGACGCAGGGCGAGTGCCCCCCGGCTGGCGGAAAGCGGAAGGCGGGAAGGGATGGAGATCTCAAGGGATGGTAATTCTCTGGGTCGAATGGGTCAAACTGGGCACCGGTGGAAGATTCGTTCCATGGATGTAGCCACGCCGTACGGAGAAGCTGTTTTCCTTTTTTCTTTTTTCTTTTTTTTTTTTTGATTTTATTCCTTTTATTCCTTTTTATTTTCTTGTTGTCTTCTGTTCAACCTTCCCAAAAAGGACGGATGGAAGGACTCAAATCGGTTCACATTGACATGGTACAACCTGAGCTAATTAATTCTAGGTTCGGGAGCCAGTCTCCATTATTCAGGTAGAACGAGAGATGATCATTGGTTTAGACGGGAAAATCAACCACGCGGGCGATAAATTCGTGTCCGCCCCAAGATAGAGTCAGTGTCTTGATCCCAGATTTCATCGACAGGCGATGGTTGGGCAGAAGACGACCATTCCATCTGATTGGAAGGCGGGAGTGGAACCTTAGCAGCGGTCTAGGAAGCAAGTACGAGTTTGGCTGTTTAGGTGGATGTAGAGGGGAGGGAAAAAGAGGGGAGAGAAAAGAGGGGGGAAATTTCGTAGTCGAGCGAGGTCCATCATGGTGAGGTAGTGGGAAATTCCAACTACCGTAGGAACTAGAAAAAGAGAGGAGAAGGAGAAAAAAAGGCGGTCATGGAAAGAAACTTAACTGCACGGAGTAGAAGAACGGTCCGCAGACGGAGTGGAGACACGCTAGCGGCCCATAGATATGGATGGGCTAGAGTAAGACGCAGCTAAAGCATTCATGGTTCCATGGGGATCACCTGAGTCGCTGAGCGGTCGTCGGGTTGGGCGTTTGGCAGGCCTGGGCGACCACTTGGGACCGCGACTACTGTAAGTTTGCGAAAAGGCGCAAGTGACGACTGATGACGGAGGGGGGAGCCTGGGAGGGTACGCCGGGACGGGTAAAGGCGCTGTGACGGAACTCCACCGACCTCCAGCTCCTTCCGTCTCCAGTTGGTTTGTTTAGCGCTCGGGAGGTACGGGAGCGTATCATTCCCTGTCAGTCTGCCCTTTTTCTGGTCTATGGTTTGTTCTGATTTCTCTCCTCTTGGTCAATTCCCTGCAGCTGTCAATCACTGGGGAGTTTTATTTTAGCAATTATCCCTCAAGCCCTCCGTCATCCTATTATTCCAGCAACAGTCTCACATAAGTGATCATAATATCCAGGTAATATACCCGTACATCAATGCGCACTGATACTTACTCCGTACAAGCCATTTCTGGTCCCCGCTGAGGGTACTAGAAAGAAGGTACACCTACTCCGTACTCCGTATAGAGTTAACCCCAGTGACCAGTCCCCATCTCTATGCATCGCATTGAGTCATTGCACAAGAAATATTATCAATCAAAATCAAATCCCGTTCATGACAAACAGACGGCATAAAACGAACAAAAAAAAAAAAAAAAAAAAAAAGGGACAGCCGAGGCAGGCAAAATCCAACAGCGTACGGACTACGGAGTATGTCTCATCTGACCATGGCAGAATAACATCGACTAAACCAACTAACCCAGTTTCAGCTCCTTAGACCGACAGACGGTGCTTTGGCCTGGTACCTAGATAGCACCTGCATGACTAGGGAGGACTGGGGCAGCCTTTCAAGAAGAGCTTCGTGCATCGGAAGGATGATTATTATTTTTCACTATAATAAAATAGCCCTGTAATATGCGTACGAACCGCCTTCATGGCTGCAGGTCACTGTGCGCCCAGAGTGGTACTTTAAGGTACCATTCAACCTGCCCACTACCTATTCGAGTCGCCCGTACATATCCCGTGTGATGCTGATGATTACTATGCATGGATCACCACAATCCTGCAAATCTGTCGTTACTGCTACAGGGCGTCCGGGTCTCGGTGAAAGGGAGAGAGAGGGAGAGGGAGAGAACCAGACACCGAGAGACAATGAACTAATTCGAAAAAAAAAATAATCATAATCAAGAAACGCGGCAACATCGCTGAATCCGACCATGATTGGATACCAACAGGGTACGCCGCGATACCAATCGCAGGCCTCGTTAGCAACTCCGTGTCTACTCCGTGCGATGGTGGTGAACCAAGGTTCTGCTCGGGGAGAAGCGACTCCTGGGGTCCACCCGGGTAATGCCCGAGTCCTAAGAAGGAAGAGGGGCTGACGGGCCGTGGATGGCCAAAAAACGAAGTGATTAAAGTCCTACTTTTACCTCGACTATCTGATTGGGATTAGGGACAGTGAACTGCAGCTGCAGAAGATTATTCATCAGCTTCCGCCTTCCGCCTTCCGCCTTCCCACTTCCGCTCCAGCTTCATCATTTCTGGCCCCTCGCATATCGGAATCGCCCAGTCGATAGGGGAATCCAGTCCATCCGAGTTACACCACCGGCTGACAGGAAGATAACTACCCCACGCGCCGCACCGGGCACAATCAAGCAAAGTAAGAAAATAAAATTAAAAAGCAAACAAAGAAACGAAATTAATTATTATCATTGAACCACCCAGCCCCCAATTTAAGTCCCACTCTTTTTCTGACTCCGTAGTCCGTGTCCTTTGTCTACCCATTTCTAGAATATACCGGTCTTGTGTCTCTTGCTAGAACACGCGCTAGGATTTAAGGGTACCAAAGAATTAACTCGGCCAATGGAGACAAGGGCAGAAACGAAAATCCTTCGTCTCTCTAGGCCCCCCTTCGTCTGATTTATTTTTATTTTT